GTTGTGCACAATGATAAACAAACACACAGTCCTCTTTGGTTCGTTCGGTAAAGTCACGTAGGTATAAAATAAACAATTGTTTCTTGCTGTGGTTGTCCCACCTGATGACGGACGCTTGCGTTGCGCCCGAAACGTCGTGATTTATTTAAATTTATACCCACGTGACTTTACCGAAAGAACCAAAAAGTATGGGTCCATGCAGTCACGAAAACTTCAAATCTAGATTTAACACACCGTCGCAAACAGACTGTTGGGGCAAGAGCTGTGAGCGAGAACCTCTGTCAAGGGGGGTGGGGGGGTGGGCGGTGTGGCCAGAGCCAATACCGATCGCGATGGTCTGACCAGCGCTGGTAGTTGGCAGAGCGCAACAGACTTGGCCCGGGACTCGAACTCAGTCTGGCAGGTTCACAGCTGAGTGCGCGAACCACTGCGCCACTGCTCTCCGCCAATCCATAACAAAGATTCCCCGTATAGCCTTAACAGATTGGTGAGGCAAGTGCTGTCAGCAAGCACCTATGAAGGCCGGCACGGCACACGAAGGGATGGGTGGCTAACACCACGCCCGGCCGCCTTTGTCTCCCTAGTGGCAATGTTTTTTTACACATAGCACTAGGTACTCATTTGAGGCTGAGTCGACCTAGGGGAGGCCCACGACCGATTCAGATAATCGTCACCGATGTTGGCCGTGAGCACACACACACACATTGCATACAGACGCGTGTATGCACTTCGCACACATACACAGACACGTCCCACACATGCCTGTGACTGACACGATGCCACGTGAAGTGAACGCCGTCCCCTTCATAAGTGCTGGGACCCGGGGCCTTCCTGTCGCTTAAAGGGTCAGGGGGAAGCCACGGGAGCCAGCGTCCCTGTTAGAGAGGATCAGTCTAAACCACGCCCATTGTCTTAAGGGGACTGTGCCCAAGTGCAGTCCAGATTTGTTTCCAGGATAATGGATGCAATCATCACAATCACAGTGATGATCACAACGATACCATCCTCATAATGACTATCATATACATCGTGACCATCACCACTTGAATAATAATTCACTTATTTATGAAGGAAAGCAACAACGGACACTTTTTTAAGGAGGGTCTTTCTGCTACATTGGGTTTTTATTAATTTTAAGATGTTTTCAGCCAATTAATGACCAGAGTTTATAAAACACGTGGTCGGATGTTTTATAAACTATGGTCATTAATTGGGGGGGGGGGGGTAACACTCCACCCCCCTACAGATGGAAACATATGGCGATCAGTCCACTCGCTGTACTGCCTTCTCCTGGCGAGAGTTCCACACCATCAGTGCGGTGAACCATCAACCCTCGCTGCTGCCTCCACACAGCGCAGCCACCACCACCACAGCAGCCCAGCTACTCTTATCATCATCATGGCAACTCCCATCATAATCACCGTAAAGTGTGCATTGAGATGCAGCTGTATGCGCGCGTAATATCAATCTAGATGCTACTGCATCGTCATTGCCAGCGCGATAACCATTATGAAGACCATCATTGCAAACATAATAAACGGCGTAATTATCATTACCACCACCAGCAGCAGCACCACCACCATCACCACCATCATCACCCGCCACGGCCTCGCCCTGCAAGACGCACGCGGCGTGGCTCAGGAACTCTCCGCACTTGAGTAATAAATAGGCGGTGAATGGGAGCGCATTAATATTTAAAATTAACACGCACCCATTAATTATTCACCTGGCGCATTTGGCCTAAAAATGACAGAGACAGAGTGCGAGGCACACACAGACAGCGAGACGGAAACACACACACACAAGACAAAGATCCCCCGTATAGCCTTAACATACTGTAAGAGCAAGTGCAGTTAGCGGGCACCTATGACGGCAACACAAGGGGTTGGGTGGTGTGATCAGCACCACGCCCGGCTGCCTTTGTCACACCGTACCAGGTACTCATTCAAGGCTGAGTCGACCTAGAGAAATCCCAGCACCGGTTCAGATATTCGCCACTGATTGTGGCCGCCGTGAGCGGAAATGGAATTGTGGTCGCCAGGTGCCAGGTTCGTAGCGCAGTGCGCTAAGCAGCATTACACTACCGCTCCCCGCAAAGACACCCAAGCAAACTCACACAAAACAAATGCAAAGATCCCCCGTACAGCATTAACAGGCTGTTGGGGGGCAAGTGCTGTTAGCGAGAAGCACCTATGAACGCTGACACATCACACGAGGGCGGTGGTCGGCAAGCACCACGCCCAACCGCCTTTGTCTCCCTAGTGGCTAATTTGAGGCCGAGTAGACCTAAAGGAGGCCCAGGACCGGGTCGGATAATCGTCACCGGTTGTTGACCGTGAGCGGGAAATCGAACCCGGGTGGCCAGGTTCGTAGCGCAGCGTAGCGCTAACCACTACCCCACCGCTCCCCGCAGGGACACGCGCACAGAGATTGCTTCGCGTTGGTGGGCACGGCTTGGTGCACGGTTATTTTTGGTCGATCTCAGCCGCTCAACAGCGACAGGAAGACAAAGAGGGAAAAGGAGGAGAGTGCTATGATGAATGTCCACGCTCTCACGACGACGATGATGATGATGGCGGTAGTTGTGATGGAGATGATAACGGCGGTGGCCATGGTTGACGGTGGTGGTGAGGATAACGATTGTGACGACGGTCATCACGATGAAGATCGCGATATTAATAACACCAACGGCCGGTCAGAGTGATTAAACAATTGAATAATATTAATAGTTAAAACGGAAAGCAATGATGAACGTTACGTAACCACATTTCCTCGGTCGCTTTAAGACAGTGCGCGGCTGATCCCCTCCAACCGGGACCCTGCCGACTCCGCCCTCCCCGTGACGCTTTAAGGGAACAGCTGACAGCAGTTTATTCGAGCCATCACGACGACGACGATGATGATGATGGAGATCATGGGAGATGGGCCTCGCCGTGATTTCACCATTCCCGCATCGTAGAACGTCCGTCCCACCATCATCATCATTAGCTCGGGTGTTTTCAACAATGAACAAACCCCAAGCCGAGGTGCCTTCAGCACCGAATTGGCACCGAACCGACACGGAAAAGATCTTCCTCTGGCGCGTAAACGCATCGAGTCGTCATCGCACGGCGATGACTGCGCGCACCGGAGCGAGACGTGGCGCGTTCCGAGTGCAGCACGCGGCTCACGGAGCGCAAGGAACGGGCAGCCACCGCCCCCCCCCCCACATCGACGGATCCGTGGCCGAGATTCGCTAAAAAGACTCGAGCAGCAGTGCGAGAGAGAGAGAGGGGGAGTGAGATGGATCGATCATTGACTTCGATTTTGTAGCTCCGCGATGCACGTATCTGATCACGTGCGCACAGACCCGCGCGTCCACAGACGTGGCTCGTGATGTCAGTGGTGCCCTACTTCTCGTACAGTATCTTGAGATGCAGATTCTATAAATACTATATTTTGTTGAACTGAATAACCATACAGGACCTCACACAAACACCCAGATCCCCTGTAGGGTCTTAACAAACTGTTGAGGCAGGTGATGTTAGCGAGCACCTATAAAGGGCTGGCACGGCACACGAGGGGTTGGGTGGTTAGCACCACGCCCGGCCGCCTTTGTCTCCCCAGTGGCGATGTTTACTACACACCGCACCAGGTACTCATTTGAGGCTCAGTCGACCTGGGGGAGGCCCAGGACCGGTTCAGTTGTTAACCGCTGCACCACCGCTCTCTTAATACACACAAAGCCACACACATGTACAGCTATTTTTTTCAATCCACTGCTGGATGAAGGCCTCCACACGCAACGCGGGTAGCTGGGGTTTATTTGACTCTACTTCATGCTGGTCAGGGCAGGTGGGTGAAGGCAAAGGGCATAGCTGGGAGCATAGAAGTACAGTACAACAATGGATGTTGTCGGCCTTCAATTTCCTACCCCCCACTTAGCCAAGCAACCACACAACCACGAACGCGTTCAACAGAACCCATCGACTACAACCACCACCACCACCACGAGTGAAATCAAGTCACCGATCAAGCATTGGGACGGCGATCGCCTTTCAGCCGTTAGCCCGAGCCAGAAGTGGAAATTCCACATTTTTATGGCCGGGGGGGGGGGGGTGTTCACAGCTGGTCCGCGGAACGAGCCGGATTGACTCTCTCGCACAAAAGCGATGCTCGCAATGATCACGAACAAAATCGGCAGCGGCAACTCATCATCAACAGCAACAGCAACCGCGCGCACAGCACGCGCCTCGTCATCTGCCGTGTCTCGTGCGTGCATGCGATCACGACAGCCGTCGCGCAGAAGATGTGCTGCAAATCACCCCTTGCACGCAAGCCTCTACACCCTGTGCATGCGCACGCCACGACCCTCTCTGCGTGTGCACACTACGACGCAGCAATGCATGTGCCCACAAACTGATCCGTACATGTGCACATTGCTCAATGCACGTATCTCACCCACCCGTCATTATGCATATCGGCATATGCACGCGCGTCAGCGGCTGCGCATCAATGACCCCCGTACATGGACACACGTGGGGGAACGCACAGAGAAGGGAGGAGGGAGACAGTACGGGGAAGCAGGGGCAAGCAGGGAGATATTAGGGAGAGACTCCGGGCGACGGGGAGAATGCACGGAGATCGACGGGGAGCAGGGATTGGAGCAGCACAGAGGGATACAACTCGGGAGATCACGGCTAGAGCTGGAAGCGCGGTGCACAGATAATGGAGACAACACGAAGATCACATAAAGAGCTGAGAGATAGAGAGAGCTGGGAGAGATTCGAAAGCTTCGTGGGGGCGGTCGGGGGGGGGGAGGAGGTGGCACAGAAAACGAGGACTCCGCATCCACAGCGGAGAGATGGAAAAACTCGTGGAGATTTACGGAGAGAGCTGGGACGGGAAGAGGATAGACGAGGGAGATAAACAGCGGAGAGGAGAGAGGGCCGGGGGGAGAGAGAGGGCCGGGGGGGGGGGGGGGAGAGAGGGTGGGGAGAGAGTCAAATCCCTCTCGGTACCTTCCGAGAGTTCCAGCTCCAGTTCGGCGAGGCGCGCGCTCACGTCGGGCGGGAGACGCGGAATCGCGTCGCCCCCACGCTCGGCCATGCGGGCTCCCTCTCCCCGCGGTGCTGGGGGCAGCAGCAGCCAGGGGCAGCCTCGCCTGGGCTGGGCTTAGGGGCTGGGGGATTATCCCTCCGACTCTCAGTTCCCCCGGTCTGCGTATCCGTCGGTCCCTTCGTCCGCGTGTCTTCACGTAACCTTTGTTTCTCCGCGTCTCTCTGTTGGCCTGTGAATCTGTGTGTGTCTCTCTCGCGCTGTCTCTGTATCTCCCCCGAGTCTTTGTGTCGCGTCTCTCTGCGTTGTCAGTCGATGTGCCCGTGTCCTATTCTGCCCGTGTGTCTAACTGCGGAAGAGCTGACTGACTCTCCCGTCTGCGCCTGTATGTCCGTGCGTGTTGCTACTGCTGCCGTACGCTGGAGCGCACGAGTGCACGGCACCATGCGAACAACGCCACAGCCTCCCTCCCCCCCCAGCCACCACCACCACCACTCCTCCTGCTCTCTCCTCTCCGCGCCGCGCTCTCCGATTCCTCCAGCGTCTCCCCGCACCCACCTCCTATAACCATCCTCTCCCCTTCCCCACCTCCCACATCGAGAGCTTGACTGCTCCTCCCTCCAGCTGCCACCACTAACGCCACTCTATCTATAGTTCTGTAGCCGCTACCCGTCTCCTCCCTGCCCAGCAGCCCTCTTCATCATACATCCACAGCGACTCTACAACGACTCCTCCACCTTCTCTCCATCTACACAAACTCCACCCCTCCTCCTTCTCATCCCATCAACTCCACTCTTCACCCCCCCCCCACCACCATCTCTACACAGCCCCCCTACCCCTCCCTCCTCTTCATCCCATTCACTCCACCCAACCCCCCCCCACCGGTCTCTCCCCCCCCCCCCCACTTCCACTATCCAGGCCACGTGACACAGCCATATCGGCGCGGTCACGTGACGCTCTCCGTGTCGCCTTGCGCAGGAATCTCGAGGAAGAAATCTGCGGAAGTCACTCGCGTCGACCACGCCGCTGGTCGACGCGCCGATATGCGCGTTGGTCGACTGTTTTAGGGCCCCCACCCCCCGCCCCCCGACCCCGTCGTCGAATTCCTGTGTCGTCATCGCGCCGAATAATGTCCCAATTCCGAACTCGAGACGCGTCGGAATAACGGCCCTCGGAAGATGATATCACAGAGCTCGTTCAGAAAGTCGTATCCCCTTGTCGGCTATTGGCCACTCACAGGGGTGTCGTTTGGATGTGCCCTACAAAGTATTTATTGCACGTCAGTCGAAGCGAATAGTTTTTTTTTATTTTCAGCAAAGGGATTTAACGAAATTATGTATGAAAAAAAATTGCCACACCTTGCTTCTAATGTAATAAAAATGTTCGTGCACTCATTGGTGACACGGCTGAGACCATCAACTTACAGCGTTTGAGAACCCGGTTTAATCACGGGCCGATGATCTCAGCTGTACCGGCTCGGTGTCTATGACAAGGCCATTATGAACCCACTGATTCACCGGCGGTATAATATGTCATCTAGAGTTCTATCACTTCTTGTAAACGATGAGCAAACTCATCTGACATAAAAAATATAAAGTTGTGTGCAGGCTAGGAACACGAGTCTGCCTACGTACACACGCACATTGTGGTTTATAGCCGGGACGTGCGGTCAGGGGAGGCACAGCCTCACCTGTCATACTCCAATGAAAATAGCTGTTACGAAAAGTAAAAAATAACAAACTAAAAATTAAGATTTTTTCTACTGATCTATGTTATAAATGTCATTTCTGTACGATTCCAATCATTTTTATAGTCAAAATCTCCAAATTTGCGGAGCTTTGCTGCAAATACAGGGGGAGACGAGAGGTGAGGCAGCGACGAGCTCAGCCTCCCCTCTGATTGCGCAACCCCTCAGAAACTGGATGGAGCGCGGGCAATAATCGCGTGTCTGTTACTATCTCTCTGTGTGTCACCAACGTAATGTTTGTAGACCCCTTCATTTCATGTCCTCGCCTTCCATACTCCAGGTAACTTATTTCACGTATGTGTATAAATATATTTAAGCTCGCTGGTCTCGTCATTGAAATTGCAATGAAAAAGCACCAGGGGAGGCAGCTGTCACATCTGCCTCACTGAGGGGGGCGTGTCGGACACGCCTCCTAAGTGAAGCCACGCCCCCTCAGTGAGGCCACGCCCCCCGGCTCTGACACGAGCCAGTGCCTCCCCAGCCGTTGACCTCACCGCACGTCACTGTATATTCTTAGATTTTTTCTCGGTAAGGTCACGTAGGTAAAAAATTAAAATTAATAAAAGTAAAATAAAAATAAAAATCACGACGTTTCGGAGGCAACACAAGCTTCCGTCTTTGCCTCCGAAACGTCGTGATTTTTATTTTTATTTTTTATTTTACTTTTATTAATTTGAATTTTTTACCTACGTGACTTTACCGAAAAAAACCTCAGAATATGAATCCTTGCAGTCACGAAAGCTTCAAATCTAGAATTAACGCACGTCACTGGTTTATAGGCAGCAAAAGGAGCGATTGTCACGACCAAAGGGGCGGTTTATCCCATCACGGGACACCAGCACGAGGGGTGTTTAACAAACCGCAGCCTTGGACTGGACCGCCGATTCTCGAGACAAAACTGTGGACAATTATATTCGTCGGAAGGGCAAGAGAGACAATTGTGCATCGGTTCTCATCGTGCTTAGTAATCGTCAGCACGGAATCGCCATAATAACCCACTGCGGCCCGGTGAATTGGCCGTGGCTGGTGATGGCAAAGTGTTGTTGTTTGTGTGAACATTTAATGGAAAATGGGAAAATGGGAAAATGCACACGTCTGTCTAAAAAGAACGTATCTCACACGTGACCAGGATATATACGTGATGTTTATATTTTAACTGCGTCCTTTTCTTGTTTTATTCGAGTAAAAGCATTATCAACGCCCGGTACTACCACATCCAGTATACCGAACCCGGCTACGCGCACGGCTACTCGCTCCGTGCTCATTCCAGTCCGCACCGCCGCACCGCAACACAATCGGTGGGGAAACTCACCCCCCGTCTCTGCCTGCGTGGGGACATCTCGGGCGCGCGGGGGGTTGGCGGGGGGGTCATGTGACCCGAAAATTGATACCAGATTTCTCCGGCTGATAGGAAGAGAAGGGAGTTCTTTATTAAATCCAACTGCCCGCGTGGTTTGAAGGCCAATGCGGGAACAAAGTGGCCGGCAGACTGTGTCAACGAGGCTTGGACAACGGTTGCATATACAAACGATTATTTGCGTTAAAATATAGAAGCTATTTCTTACTTAAATGTCTACTGTACGCAAGTTGGAGATATCGTCTTGACTGGTTATGGAAGGTTGTCGCGGGCTTGGGCCGGACTCTAGGGCTGAACGATTTGGGGAAAATATCTAATTGCTATTTTTCTGACATTGCGATTGCAATTTGATTTGCGATTACATTTTTTTTAAGTCATAGATTTAAAACATGTGATGGAGCATTACCACATGACACCATCAAAATATGAACTGCTCTATATATTCTCATGCAAGGATGATAACTTAAAAGATATGAATTGCTTTCAACATGTATTTTTAAAATGTTTTAATTGAAATAGAACAATCGAACATAGAACAATTAATAAGTGAAATAAATAAAGTTATTATAACAATAAAAATAAAAATTCCAATAAGAAAGTAATAGGACTTTTCAAATCGCAAAAAATCGCAGCCTTTGCGATTTGCTAATCGCATTGTTTTCTAAATTGCAATTTCAATTTTAAATCGATTAATCGTTCAGCGATTAATCGGGTTTCAGCCATGGTAGCTGTCGACGAGGCTCGTGATGAAACGCGTGATGAAACACATCCATCCCTGATTGCACCACTGTGTGGATTATGTCTAAACTAGAAACTAAAATCTTGTTGGTTCTTTCAGTAAAGTCGCGTAGAAGGGAAATAATAAAATAATAGAAAGAAAACATTTAATATATAACATTTTTATTTTTATTATTTTATTATTTACCTTCTACGTGACTTTACCGAAAGAACCAAGAAGATGAATCCCTGCAGTCACGAAAGCTTTAAATCAAACTAGAAACTAAAACTCTACTTTTTTATTTTCTCAGGCAAGGCCCACTGAGCCTCTGTAGCTCTTTGTCGGAAGCGACCTGGCCACAGATGATAGCTCAACAAAGTGCCCGATCGTGTGGAAATGTCGAGCAGCCAAATACTCAAAATGCATGTTGGTTCTAAATGTGGAGGGAAAACCGGAGGACCCGGATAAAAATCCACGTGACCACGGGGAGAGAGACACATAAACTCCAAATGTACAGGCGTCAGGGGTCAGGATGGCACCGAATGATGATCCTTACCAACTCCAACAACCATCACACCGACTGGGCTCTCATTGACAGTTTGTGTACGGCCATGGTTCACTAATGAGCCCTAATATCTACGAAGATGTAGCTTGACATGGCCCACTGGTGATCCATAATAATTACAAGGGCCATTAGAACACGCTGGTGTGTGTTATTGGAAGTCTGTCTTGGCGTAGCGCACTGCTGTGCTCTCATTATAACGAGACCCATACAGAACTGGCTTCTTCTTTGCTCGCCTGTGGTAGGGAATTTCTCACTGATGCCTCATCATAAAGGCTAATAACAGTATAGACGTTACATAATTGAATCGCGAGGAAGACGGTGGCTATTTAATCGCAAAATAGTAATTTATCGATTACAGGCGATTCTTGCGTGCACACTATGCATCAGATCGTGCGTCTGAGACTCGGTTATTTATGATTTATTTAAATTCTACGCATACCATATGTGCGAATGATGTGCGAACGTTTCGAAACTTGAATAACGAAGAGGACCAAAATTAGACAAATATTATCGATTAGAAAGCAAGTGGAGATTCCAATCGAATCGCTTGGGCGGTGTGTTGCTACGGTCTTTAACTCCAGTCCTCGCGACCCTTCGAGGTGCAGATATACGTGAGTCCCACCAATCTCTTATATTCACGTGCATGCCTTTAGAGCACATATTTGGCTGCAACAGATGTCCACGTGATAAGGCCACTTCGTTGAGCTATTACTTGTGAAATCTTGACTCGAAGCTTTCGCGACTGCAAGAATTCATATTCTTGGGTCTTTCGGTAAAGTGGCCAGGTCGCTTCTGAAAAGAGCTATATAGTTTAGTGGGCTTTACCTATTAAAAAATATACTTTAGTTTAATAGTTTACGCTACTACACGCTGGCCGCGTCTGACGTGAACTGCGGAGGACTGGAGGTTAAGGGTCATTGCCTCTAAACATCGGGCAGTTCACGAAGCAAGCCGGATAGTGAGGGTCTAAACCGGTTCAGGATTTGCTTTCGCTAGAACGAATGCTGCTGAAATTGTGCACTGCCAGACTGCCGTGTAGCTGATGGGATGTGTAAAAAATACTTGTATATCTTTATGTGTAAGCACGAATAAGGCCTATTGTTTTGTTCGATTATGTTGTTACTTGGCGGGGAGGGAGTGTTTAGAGGGGGCTAAACGGGCGTGGCACGGGCTGGAGAAGAGATGGACTGATGTGGTACAGAAGGATGTGGAGCTGATAGGGCTTGCCAATGACTGGTACCAGCGGTGTCAAGATGGGTCTCTGTGGAGCAGTTTCCTGAGAAGTTGGAGGCAGTTGCCCTCCAACAATACAAGAGGGCAGAGGAGCGTCGCTCACAACAACGAGCGGAGCGCAGGACGGATACAACGCAGAAAGTTGGCACAGTCAGTGCATCTGCCAGTCATCTCAATCAACCCATGGCGCATGGGTCTGTTTCGTGGCATCATGCCAGCGGGCCTTCGACGCTTTGCGTAGCCTCAAAGTGCACCGAGCCTGGCACAAGCGCCGTGGTGACGTCGGTTGTTGTTGTGTCGCTTTTCATTGATGTGCCCACACTGCCCTCGTGTGAGCTACTCGCGGTAGTGACGGCACCACCACCACCACCACCACTCCCACCACCCCACGTGGATGAATCACGGCACCGGAGAGCAGAGGTCGCAACCGGGTACCCGATACCCGTACCCGACCCGATATCCCTGGTGCGGCCGGGTACGGGTACGGGTAGACCGTGAGTCACTGGTGAGTAACTGTTTGTCACTCATTTCCCAACGTCTTGTGTTTCTTCTCACAATTCAAGTTCCTAGAATCAACCCACCCGCGCCTGCAACATGGCTTCATCCCAGAGGTCGCAATCAGGTACCCGATACCCGTACCCTACCCGTACCCGGCCGGGTAGGGTACGGGTACGGCCGGGTACGGGTACCTGTTTGCGACCCTGGTGCGGCCGGGTACAGGTACGGGTAAGGAGTATGAATCAAAACCCGTTTGCGACCTCTGCCGGAGAGCCACAGGCGAGGCTCACAACTCAGCACAATGTGGAGTGCGGTAAAGCACCAAAGGTACAAGTTGGCGAGCCAGTACAACAGCAGAGTCTCAATTGCTCTTAGGGGTGACTATTCTCGGAAATCAGCCGATGATGCTGGATGTAATTACTAGCGAAACGTCGAACTACTCAATTTGTAAATGTTGTGGATTTACTCTCCAACACGCCGGTGGGCTGAAGTAGTAACTAATTGGCGCGTTTGGTTGACGTGACAAACCTTACTGGTTGTGTCGGGTGGTGGAGGGTTACGACACATTCATACTTACGCGATCTAACCCAAAAACCGTTATTATGAATAATATTTGTCGCGAAAGCATACTGTTAAACTACTCTTCGGGATTCGCGACTACGAAGGAAAGTGCACACGGAAAATAACTTTCAATCACAGAGACTTACACATAAACCCATTTACTCGCAGACTTGTTGAGCCCTACAGACTCACATCGAGACCCATAGACTCACACAGAAACCCATAGAGCAGGGGTCGGCAACCAAAATAACCAGAAAGTCAAAGTTTTTTAAAAATTTGGTATAAAAAAAACTCAATATTTCAAGAGTCGCAATGCATGTGAATAGCGTCACCAACCAGTCCTTAAAGTACCATAAGGGAGAAACACAAATAGACTGATAAGAGGTTGACAGCTATGCGATCATATTCTTGGTTCTTTCGGTAAAGTCACATATATAAAAAATAAAAATAAAACTTCAAAATAGAAATACATTTTAAATAACAAAAGCGATCACTCGGCCATCGTTTGACTCGACACAAATAATACTCCGATTGATGCTCCTGCTGTTGTGGAGTGACTCATGCAGCCAGCTATGGCTGCAGGGTTTTGGTAGTACATGTTTATGCCATTTATTGTGAAAATTCCGTCACAGTTCCTATGATCACTGTTTCATTGCTTTCATGGCTTTATTTTGGTGATTTCGAAACGTGTATTGGTTTAGCCATGTTTGTTTGTTGTAGTACAGAGTTAGACTGATGGCCTTAATCTAAGTTGTCTTATGGTTGTTGTTGTTGTTTGACTTGCATCCCACTGGGATTTTTGCACACAGCGTTGTTGTACGGTGTTTTTTTCTGCAATATTTTGCTGTCTTTTCTTGGATTTTCTGTTTGCACTTAGTCACAAATTCAATTTAAGATGTTTTTTGTTCGTGTTTTTGTTTTTTTGTTTGTTGCGGTTGCACCCGATTCAAGAGCCGAATGGCTCACAGGGCGATACCTAATACATGAACTTTGAATTTGAGTCGCCGCTTCGTACACAACAATCGACGTTCATAAGCCCCGCCCCTCCCCCTCATCGCCCCTCCCCCTCATCGCCCCTCCCCCTCATCGCCCCTCCCCCTCATCGCCCCTCCCCCTCATCGCCCCTCCCCCTCATCGCCCCTCCCCCTCATCGCCCCTCCCCCACATCGCCCCTCCCCCTCATCGCCCCGCCCCCTCATCGCCCCGCCCCCTCATCGCCCCGCCCCCTCTCCTCCGCCCCCGCATCCTCCCTCCCGAGGAACCCCGGGGGCCACCGGAACCGGTATGTCCGTGACGTCATGCGGCCTAACTTCCGGCGCAGCCCCCACCGTTGGCCTGCTCTCCCGGCCGACTCCGCCCGCGGCCGCACGGCTCGAGACGCTCCTCCTGAACCGCGCTCCTAGGAGTGGCATCCCGCTCGTAGGCGGTGCTCGCTCTCTCCGCGCGAGGTATTTGCCTCTCGTCCCGTCTGTTGTTTTTTTTTTGTCCCCCGCCTCCCGCGTTCCGTGCCACACCGCCGCGATTGCCTGAGGGCGGGAGGAGCGAAGGCCTAGTTGGGCCGGAGGTCCTCACGGAGCCTCGGTCTTGCCTGGATTTCTCCCCCCCCCACCCCTCCCCCTCCCCGGGCGATGGCTGCATCTCCTCTCGTCGGGCTTCGTAGCCCGGAGGTGGTTTCCGTCGGGATTGTGCGCTTTTTGGCGTTGGGTTGTTGTTGGGGTCGTTCGTTTTTGTGGAGTCTTGCAATCTCGAGCCTACGCGAGGGGGAATGGGGCTTTGAATGACGCTTGGTTTTGTGTGGCGGGGGAAAGTGGCGGTGCTGGTGGCGGCGGTTTTTGGTGCTGAGAACGCCGGAGTTGGTTTGTGCGCGGGGATATCGGCGTCTCCTTAGCAAAGAAACCGCAAACCCGGTTCATTACGAGTAGCATTTGTTTATTGCATACGAGACAAACATGTCCAGTGTCCTTGATTCATCAGACGTAGCCCGTATCGTGTGTGTAACCCCTCGGCTATTACAAGAGACATGAGTGTAATTACTCCAATTAGACGATAAATAATACAAATGCTCAATGTAATTTTGCTCTCTTATTACACGAGAGATACACAGCACGTCGGTTTTGCGTGATCTGCCTTCATTAAGCGAGAAGGAAGTCATGTTGTGTAATTAGGAATTATGTCATTGGTGTTATCCGGAGGAATGTACTGCATCCACTACACACACTAACTGGGTTTCGTGTAATTATCCCGGTGTGTACTATGAGGCAATACAAACCCTTTTATGTAATTCCTATATCTAATTACGTACGTGTTGACGCGCGCGCACTGATGCAGTCTTACCTCACGGCATAGCGCGGCGCGTTGCTACTGTACAGTAATGTCACTTGGCTGGAACGTCTTCGCAGCTGCGTGTATCCCCCAGCAGGTATCGTGTTCAAAGTCTCCGTTTCTCTCGAATCCATTCGCTCACGACGATTGAAATAACTGGAACCTTAAAAAAATTACCACGAGCAACATCTTACCACCTTTGTCGCTGACACTGCATTTTTTGACATCGCTCTAAAATAGCATTAACGCAGCATCATCCTAAGCCATACATTGTTTTCGTTCGAGCTTGCGACCCAGAGTTAACGGGCCACGCATGCACACCTGTACGGCCGGCTATGCGGTGTCCGTGACTGACCGTCGTTTCGCGGTGGTCACAGCTTTGTGGAGGTAAAGGCGAGACCTGTTTGATTGCGTGACTCGCTCCCGACCGCTTGTGTGCTTCTTTTTGTATTCGCTCCCGACGTGAAAGAGATGGAAACAAGACGGCGCGCTGGTGGTCGTCACTGCAGTTGCAACGCTGCGACACGGCTGATGGGCCTAGAGTTGTTTTTCGCATTCGACCCGCGTTGTTTTTACACTACGATAAAGAATTATTTTGGTTAAAAAAACTACTTACGAAAGCAGATTAAACGACTTCATTGAGATGATGGGTTTTTTTTTTAATTCGAAACTTTTTTTTTATTCTAAGTTAAATTGGTTCAACGAAATCGGATTATATTGCTACATGTAATAAGGGGCCACTGGCACTAGTGAAAGAATGCGTGGTCACTCCACTCAAACGTTTCATCTGCTCCCAGGGCCCTCTCCCTGCGTTTCGCCTCATGAATGAGCAGTTGTAAGAAACGGACAACAGCTGTGTGGTTCATTCAAAAACGCGGGGGGGGGGGGGGTGGGAATTGTAATCCGCGCAAAGAAATTCAATAATCTACCGCACAAAATCCATGCTAAATGGATATTTGAACCTTATGGCGGGACCCCGGGGTCCCGAATAAACGGAAGTCAAAATCGTAATTTTTTTTATTTTTGGCGACTCCGTTCCACCACGCACATAAACGCCGCGACCCACCCGGCACGCGGATCATTCTGTTGTCGTGTCGTGTCCAAGCGCAGAAGAGCTGAACAAGCGAATGCACTCCATGCTGGGGTACAGGCAGGATCATAAGTCGTATCCAAAGCTGCTCAAACTGCCTACACGATTTAAGTCCTTTATTTGTCATCACGGGATGCATAATACAGTGAAACTGCTCTTATCTTCATTATTATTTGTGAACTACCAATGTCTGCAGCCAGGATCATTTGATGACAATCCTATTACCTGCAGATATTTAACAGATGAGATGCGTTGCACCGTTAATTCCTCCTGTTTGATAATACTTATCTTCATCATGGGACCTTTTTTGCCAGTACCAAAATATGAGAATAGGTTTTCCCCTTTTTGCTGGCAAAAAAACGGTTGTTAAGATGTTTAAACACCAAAGTGAAACCTTTGACAAGGAATCATGTCTGTCTGTGTGTGTGTTTCTGTGTCTGTGTTTTGTCTCTCTCTCTCAAAGTTAGTTCTACCTGATGACGGTTGCTTGTGTTTAATCGAAACGTCGTATTCTATTTAAATTATTTTCTTTCTACGTGACTTTACCGAAATAACCAAAGCGTAATATATGCATTGTCTTTTAAACTGATTGGTCCACACCAGAGACAGCTTTCTTTTGAGCCAAGTCTCAAAACGGTGTTAGACCAGAGGACGACATTTTGAGACTAGGCTCAAAAGAAAGCTGTCTCTGGTGTGGAACAATCAGTTTAAAAGACAATACCTATATTATCAGAGTATGTTTTTTGTTTGCATTCTGACCACAAGTATTGTGGTTAATGCAGACATGATTCCTTGTAAAAGGTTTCAGTTTGGTGTTTTGACATCTTAACACCTGTTTTGTTGCCAAAAAAGGGGAAAACCTATTCTCAATACTTATCTTGTCCGTATGCATCTGCGGTTAAGCCATAGTCCCCACATACTATTCGTATCAATGCGGATAAGAGGAGCGGCGACCCACTACTCTGTAGAGTAACATTGGTATAAACGCTTATTACAATATGAACAGCGCATTGAAAACGCGTACTATTTTATGTACTGTTTACAAAGTCTGTTCACAAATCCACACTGAGAAACACGATGATTGACAGGGATGTAAATACTTTTTCGATATTGTATTTAAATAGAGGTACAGCAGGTAAGTAGTTTTCAGTTTTAAAGGCATAGTTTAACAAGACAACACTTGCCACCATCCTTCAAATCCATTGGTGAAAAAGAGCAAAGTTTTTCTTTACATTATAATATAATGTTTATGCGCGAGCCAGGGGCTCATGGGACCCTGAGGTCCCGCCATGAGGTTCATTTCCACACCATGGAAATGACAAGGACATCGTTGTGTTTTTTCCGCGGCAAGGATGGCCGCCTTTAGATCTCTTGGATCACACACGGCTCATCTTCCACATCAAGTAATCTTCTACGATGACATGCGAGCTCTGTATCAAGTGTCCGGTCACACATCTGCTCATTATTTTATGTTGACGTGCACACTGTTGAGTAATCCGGACCCACAGGCACCCGCCCAGCACTCTGTGCTAAGCGATGTTGTAGCTGTGGTGGCCGATGGACGAATGTATTACCCACATCAACACCGTTTCATCATCTCAGAGATCCCGGAGTAATGCTTCGTGTTTAATCTCAGCGTGGAAAGGGTTCCTATGTAGTAGAATGGGGTCAGCCCAAGCAAAACGCCATTGTTTAGATTTTTAGTAGATGTGAGTCAGCCTGAATACAATGAAATCGGCAGAGATGCAGTGTATCACATGGATACGCCCATAAAACAAGTCCCACCAATTAAAAATAGATTCTTGTAGTGTCATACTGATGCTATGAACCATGGAGGATGGTTGATATTATTTCCGTGGAAACATTATGATCGGGTGAAGCCTCACTCCGTATCTAAAGCTTGTAACAAAAACTGTCCGATTGGAAACAACAGCCTTTCTTGAAACGCCGCTTGTTATTTCCGCAGGACTGGCTGGCCGAAGCAGGTTGCTGCATCGACGGCGGCGCGCATTTGTTCCCCGCTTTCCGGTCCCGTCTGCAGCACGAACGAGTACCATCGCTGTCCACAAAATTGACCGCCGACTCAACGGGGGACGAAAATGATTGCGCGGTGTCACCAGAGAGGTGCGTCGTGGGAGCGCCCCGCTGCCAACGATGGCACCGCCTGCACGACAACTTTATGATAACGTCTCGGGCTTTTCCAAGAAACGCGCAGGCCCCTCTCCGATGTTCGCCTCCAGAGAAAACAGATGAAGAAACAGAAGCGCAAACGCTTGTTTAGGTTAGGTCTGACGAGCGCTGTCTTTTGAAAAATTAACACATCCACCGCACCTCGCCAAAGAACTGCTCGTAGAAAAATTTGGGGGGGGGGGGGTGGGGGGGAAAAAAACTGGATTATCGTTACCTTTAGTTTAAAAAAAAAAGCAAACGTTTTACGAGTCCTGTGCAATCTTTGATTTGATTGCTCGCAGGGAGAACCTTCTTGCCCAGTTGCAGAGCTTTGTTTCTGACAAGGAGAAAGCTGCGCATCCTGAGCCGTGCAACCTCCCCCTCTTCCCCTTGCCCCGTTCCCCCAAAGCAACCGGATCCCATCGCCTGCCCCGGTCTCTCTACCCTGCCCAACGCGCACCTCCCTTCCTCTTCCTCCCCCTCCTCCTCCTCCCCCCCCCATCGTCGCCCTCGTCCCACCGCACAAGGCGCCCGGCTTGCCTCCTGTCCCGCCCGATTGTCCTCTCCTTCATATTTTCGGCACCGCTGCGAGTCCGCGTCGGCGACCATGTCAGAGGGGTGCGGGCGCGAACGGCGCGTGGACGCGGAGTACGCCGTGTGCCTGCTGGAGCAGCTGCGCGGTTTCTACGAGCGCCAGCTGCTCACCGACGTCGTGCTGGTTGCCGAGGGCAACGAGTTCCCGTGCCACCGGACTGTGCTGGCCGCGTGCAGCTCCTACTTCCGGTTAGTGGAGCCGATATTCGCGCGCACGCGTACATACACACGCGCACGCACACAGACGCGCGCGGTTGTCGTCACAGTTATTTGACCTTGACTTAAAGCTTTCGTGACTGCAGGAATTCATGTTCTTTGGAAATTTCGGTAAAGCCACGTAGATAGAAAAATAATAAAAATATCACGACATTTCGATCGCTGTATTCTTTTCACCCGATGGCGATTGCTTGTGTTGCGATCGAAACGTCGTGATATTTTTTATTGTTCAACGGTTTTACTTAACTTGATTCCTCTGTTTGTCGTGGTCAAATCTTGTAATCAAAATTTCGTCCACTTCCCGTTGTCCGATCAATTCCACATTTTGCACACGTACTCAGATCCGGTGACAAATGCATGCCTGTATCAAAATCGGCATCAATTAATAAATTAATTCGCTACTTTAAAGCCATTTCATTTTGTATGGACGACTTTTTTTTGTGGAAGTCAAAAACGCCGCGATCCCTAAACTGTGGAATCTGCTCGCACAAAAGCAGGCGCCGCATGTCTCAGACACCATTGACGTACTTCTCGGCCGTGAGTTAAACTAAGTTATTTAAAAAAACACTTTTTTAAAGGAGTTAATTTTTTTTTATTTCCGTGGCTTTACCGAAAGACCCAAAGAATAGTTATTTGACCGTACGCCTTGTCACGCTAGAGAGTGTAGCTTATGAAGGCAGATGGCCTCTGAATGTTCGAGCATGGTACAGTAAAACCATGGATTTTGCTAAACTGCCGTTTACTGCCACCATTATAGCCCCGTTGCTATTCAAAACAACCTGGCATCATGCATGGTGGTTGCCCATCAAAGCGCTATTCAGGCTTAACCCTACTTAAATTATCTGACGGAATTGAGTGCAACACACACATGTAAAACGACGGAGAGTTGAGGCTGTTTGCAGCATCCGTTAAGATCTGTACAGCACGCGAGGAGGTCGTGTGTTCTCTAACCCAGGATTCAACCTCACAGCTCGCGTGCACATAGGCGTCCATGCGGGTCCACATTCCTGCATGAGTCACTCGCATCATGTCCGCCCACACGCACAGACTCCTTCCTTTTGTGACCATGACTTATACCTAGCGATGGATACCCAATGTGCAAAGCCTGGCCATGCCGCATTTAGTTGCTGATGAAGGGTTGAAGCCGGGCAAGCGTTTGAACTGCACTTCACGACACGGTGAGCACGTGTACAGTTTCTGTGCCATTCGTGGCGAAGCTGGAAATTATAACGTTTTGTGGGGTTCTTCAACCCTGATCTCACGATGGGGCCTGTGCAGTTTCCACTGATGTACTGCCCTTTGCCATTCCGCTGATGGACGAAGGGCTCCCCCGTGCAGCGTCGGTCACGGGAATGATTTAACCATACGTTGCCACGCTGGTCGGTACGGGTTGGTGAAGCGGAAGGGTCGCCCTGGACCGGTTTTGGCGTCGCTCAGAGGTGCAGACATCACTTCATTGTTTTAGCCATGATTGGGAATGGAATTGAGATCATCTGGTTCGCAGAGCAATATGCTTTGAACCGTTTAACCCCTCTACCTGTATTTAAATGAAAAAGAGCTAATAAAATAATATTTCTGCCACTTACCATTTTGAGAATACTGAGTGTATTAGGTTTGCTAGTACAGAAATGGATTCATGAACTAATCTGTATAGCGTTGATAGTGTATTATCCCCTTGTGTGCTTGGGATAAAAAAAAATGTTGGTTCTCTGGTTTCATTCACATGCCAAATGCGCATTAATGAGATTGGCTGAATCTCCGAATGCAATTACTTACCCTCTTGAAAAAAAAAGTCTTAAGAATCTTGAAACTTTCCTGGTTGGCATTACTATTTTGACTGTTATCAAGAGGGACCTGGGTGACAAATGAGGCATTCCTGGATAAATAAAGTGCATGTTTATTTGAATGATTTTCCACTAAAAATTATGAAAGAGAGGATTTTGGTCATCGTATCAATAGGTTGGTTATTGAAGGCAGACCTCGATAAAAATTCTGAATTGAACTGGCACGTGACATTCACTTGGAGGGACTTTGGAAATGTAAAATTGATGATGAAAAGCAACAAAGATATCAATGTCCGTAGAGCAGCGGTCCCCAACCTTTTGGCACCAGGGACCGGTTTTGTAGAAGACTATTTTTTCACGGACCGGGGTGGGGGAGGGTCATCATTGGGTCTTTCCCCCTTTTCAAAGAAGCTCTCCAGCGACGTTTGTTTTTTACTCATGTTGGCTAGGGGTTAGCAGCTTGTGGGCTTACCAAAAAACTGTGACTGAGACAAGTGCGCAGTGCGGGAAGGAGGCGCGGACAGAAGTGGTGAATTAAATAATGGGCGGGCCACGCGCGGACTCACCGCTCACCTCCTGCTGTGCGGCCCGGTTCCTAACAGGCCACGGACCGGTACCGGTCCACGGCCTGGGGGTTGGGGACCCCTGCCCGAGAGGACAACAGAGTTTTGAATCTGTGTGAAGTGCCCGCTGTGACAGGGATAATAAGCATGTAGACACCGCTGAAGGCAATATAAGAAAAGCAGAGTAATGTCCACAAGAGCATGGAGAGATAACAAAATAATATTATCATCAACTTGTAATGCACCACTGAGTAATATCTTACTCTTGAAGAGAGAGAGCGACGCAGAGGTACGAGGAACCACAGACGAGCGGGGAAGGGCGGTTGAACCGGTGCCACGTGGGAGGAAACCGGAGGGTCTGAAGAAAACTCACACGTGCGAGAGGTCAACACTATCCTGCCTTCTCCTTGCGGGCCAGGGTATGGTATCTCAACAGCCACGGAAAGGGCGTTACGCAATGTTTTTGCGATCCACCAACCTTTGCCTCCGCAGTGCTGGATTTGGGGTGTACGGCACCACCGACTGGCTAAGATGAGTGCTTGGTAGTTTTATTTTAGAGATAGAAAGAAGCAACATGGATTATGACACACGTGCATTTTAGAGACATCATATTCACTCTGAACAAGTTTAAGAGGATATCTGCCGAGGAGATGGAGCGATAAAATCAGGTTTTATGCAGGTGCTAGGTGGATTGTTACATCACTGGACCGTGATGGATATTGAATGCTTTTTGGGAAGCCTTCATCCGGCAGTGGATTGGTCATGGCTGAAGATTTTTATTTTTAAACACACTTTCTAGAACTTTCCAGGCCTCGTTGCAATCACTGCACATGCCAAGCCGCAGAACTTGCTGTGCGCGCTGGAGTTTATAATTTGTATTGATTTTGTGAGTGTTGAGTCTGCGTCAGCGTCTCTGTTTTTTTTTTTAGTCTGGCTGGATGATGCATTAGGGGAGGGGATTAGCATGCAGGGAGAGCACTATAAGAGGGTTGCGGTGACTAATGATGAAAGTTTTCGCATCGTGACGAAAATATGAGAGAAAATGTTCCTTTTTGGTACGAAGCAACACTGGGAAATATAGTATTTCCACAAGGCAGGAGCACTCTTGAATCTGTGACTAAACACGACGTTTTTAGGTTTGGCCTTGTTGCGGTTCAGGGTTTTTTTTGTTTACGACATTGTTCTTCACTAATTTTCAGAGGGAAGGGGGCACTTTCATCGGTAAGACATCATCTCTGTAAGGGCTGTCACATTTGAAAACATTGGGGTTTGGCAGCACGATGATGGGGGTGTTTTCACATTTGTGTATTGTCGGGGGCCGCACGTTAGGGGTCGCACTAAATGCCACCAGGGACAGCCACTGGCCCGCGCGAGCCTTGCAATTAAGGACACTGATTTACGGTGCCTCGAGACACCGACGGAATTAAGCTCTTCACGTGTACTCATTGTAATAACATTACACATTCACAAATTGATATTGACCCGCTGAATAATTGCTCCCACTTTCAATTGTCTCTTCAAGTCGTCCAGACATCGGCCCTTGATCTGGAGACGCAGGAGCACGTTGAAGCGAGCAACATTGATCCATTGTTGATGGTAGTTTCGACTTAGATAATGTCCTTGGGTCATTTTTTATTGGACGGTGTTCTTGAGCTTCATGACATAGACAACACTAATAGTCAATCAAATGAGCTGACATTAACCATGTGACAGCATCGCCGGTTTTCTATAATGCAGGCTTCAATGGTACCACATTACCCAGGTACTCGCTTGCACAAGAGATGGTGAGCCTCTGGACTCTCACTGGATTGAATACATAAAGTAAAATGAGTCTTCTTGGTTCTTTCGGTAAAGTCATGTAGAAGGGAAATAATAAAATAATAAAAATTAAACATAATAAAATCATTCTCACGACGTTTCAGCCACAACGCAAGCAGCCGTCCTCAGGTGAAGACCAGGTCTGTCGGGGAGACAGCGTCTGAATGAAACACCACCACGCTTGGAGCGTATATTTAAGCTGGGTTGGAAGGGGAAGAGCGCCTTGACAAAAGAATTTGCATATCAAAAGGAATTTAGCATATTTATGGGAAATACAGATAAAATAATGAGCTTCCCCTTGTTAGTCCACTGCTGGATGAAAGCCTTCCCATGTCAGGGGGGTTATCCGACCGTACTTTATCGCGCTGCGTCAGTGCGGTGTGGTAAAGCACGGAACCCCAGGACCGGTTCGTATCACTCGACACTGATGTTAGTCATTGCCAGGATTCGAACTCGGGTGGCCAGGTTCGCTACTCACTGAGGATTGACTTGCGAACAGTGGGCCACAGCATTCAGTGGACATTGATTTGTGCCAATAAGGCCTCGGCAAAAGATGATACCTTGTGGTTTGACTCGTCCATTGTTTCTCGATGTTCAAGTGCATTTATATTTTTCTTTATAAAGTTCATATTAAAATAAGCACCACATGCCTATGTTGGTGCTGGCTTGGCAATAACAAACTCTCCCCACTGTTGTCCTCCTTACCCCCCTTCCCTTCCCCAACCGCCTTTCTCTCCAATAATAACCCCCCCCTCCCCGCCCAGGGCCATGTTCATGAGCGGGCTGAGTGAGAGCAAGCAGACCCATGTGAACCTGCACAACGTGGACTCGGCGACGCTGCAGATCATCGTGGCTTACGCGTACACGGGCCACCTGGAGATGAGTGACGGGGTCGCGGAGCAGCTGTTTGAGACGGCCACCTTCCTGCAGGTCTGCCGCGTCATTCCGCGCCGTGTCATTCCACACCGTGTCATTCCACGCCGTGTCATTCCACGCCGTGTCAATCCACGCCGAGTCATTCCACTCCGTGTCATTCCACGCCGAGTCATTCCACGCCGTGTCATTCCATGCCGCGTCATTCCGCACCGCGTCACTCCTCACCACGTCACCCCGCACCGCATGTTATTGGCACCGTGTCACTCTGCGCCCTGCACCTCATTCCTCCGCTGTCCTTTACTGCGCACCGCGTTAGTCCACGCCATTCTCATAAAAGACCCGGCATGTAAACACGGTGTTGTCCATGACTCTGACATTGAAATGAAAACTCGAGATACTGGTGGCTAGGTTGCTCGAAGGTCGGAGCACTCGGTGGTGTCGCTGAGATGCTTCAGACATCCGTGTTTAAGAGATTATTTCAAGTGCAGTGAGTTGATGATGAAGCCGTTGTTTTAAATTTTGGTTTTCACTTAATTTGACTGAATTCTGTCTTGGAGAAAAACAAACACATTTTACTGCAATGCAAACAGGAAAGTAACAAATAACCTAAACACATTTGTCAATATCACCTCCTTAAAAAAATACGTAATCGGCGACATTTCGAGAAATAGCCCTTGGTTATTGCTCGTAAACATAGGAAAGTAGTTGAGAAGTGGTTCAACCCCTTGGGTGTGGATTGAAACAAAACCACTAGCTGTTTACTAACACACTGGGGGGCGGGTGGTCACTCTTGTGCTGGAGTTCCATGTTCCTCCTTCATTTCATGGAATGACGCTGACAGCATATTTGTACTACACTGTGGTAACATTTTTTTCAATTATTAAAATAAATGACAAATGTGTCTGCATTTCAAGAGCATCGTGTTCACTTGGCCTCCCTCCCTCCCGCCACTTTCTGCCGCCCACCGCTGCACTGCCTCGTGCAGGTAGAGGAGGTGGTGTGTCGCTGCCGTGACTACCTGGTGAAGAAGGTGTGCACGGAGAACTGCCTGCACCTGCTCGGCTTTGCAGACATGTATGCGTGCGGCGAGCTCAAGACGGCGGCTCGTCGCATGGTGGAGCACCGCTTCCCGGCGCTGTGCCGGCACGAGCACTTCCTTCAGCTCCAGCCGCAGCTGCTCATGGAGGTGAGCGGAACAGAGACGTCCAATGGCATCGACGACGGCGACAGTAACATCCGTTTAGCGGTTTCTGACGGTGTCCCGGTGCGACCAGAGGAATTGTAACTCGCTTAAGTATTGTTGAATTTCCTTCGCACAGTACATAGCCAGCCGATCTGATCGCAGGAGCGGAAAGGGCAGTACCAGTTGATTTTTTTTTTATCAACGTTTTTATCATCGTGATTTTCTTTAGATTACCCTCTTGCCTATGACCTTATTCACCAAGGAGGATGTGACCGATCGTGTCGCCTTTCGGAAGCTAATGGCAAGGTTGAGCGGGGGGGGGATATTGCTCACAAACATGCGAGATTAATTTTAGGTGACCACACGGCTGTTCCATTTGGTCGTCAGCAGAGGGCAGTGGTGCAGCAAATTCGAAGATGTTAAGTGACTCGAATGCTTCTTGACTTAACCAACCTGCGCTGATCACCTCGAGTCGTGTGGTGTGACTTGATAGCAATGTTTCATTATCCCCTCCGCAGGTGCTCGGCAGCGACAACCTCAACGTGGAGAAGGAGGAGACGGTGCGGGAAGCGGCCATGCTGTGGCTGGAGTACAGCCCGTCGTCGCGCTCGCAGTACCTCTCCGCCGTGCTCGGGCACATCCGCATCGACGCGCTGTCTGAGGTGCTGCCCCCCCCCTCCCTCCACGTGACCCTGAGCCCCGTGACCTCATGACACCATGCGACCCCTCGCCTCCAAATCCTACCACACTTTGCCCCACGAACTCACGACCTCACGACCTCACAACCCCACAACCCCACAACCCCACATCCCACAAGCTGCAATCCCTGGCCCGGCCCCTTTAACCCCTATGACCGGTTGCATAAGCGTTCGACGCGTACCGTTGCACCGTTAAATAAAAAAAAAGTCCTTTTTTTTTTTACATCTGTTCCCCCCAGCTCACGGTTTCTATGTTCATGATAACTGTTGATAATATTAGACAATGCCCGAGAAGACACGGGGTGAGGACCGTCCACCGTTTTGGCTGACGGCTGAGTGATGGTGCTTGGCACATCAGCAACTCAAATGTGGGTAAAAAACAAAACAGGCCATAGGTTGCATTGGGGAGGAGGTGGCAAGTAGCCAATAAAATTTCAACCCTTACCATAACCACCTTGCCACTATCACGAGCCCTGACAATGACCCTCATCAACTGACCAAATTGCCACTAGTTTCAGCCCTCCCACTAACCAAAACCAGATCGTCAACCTCACCAGGTAGTCGGCGACCAACCAGCCTCTAGTACTCATCCTCCCAATTGACGCACTATGAATGCATGTTGAACTTCTTTAGCACCGTACGTAGCCATCCATGTAATTTGTTGGTTGCACTAATCGGTTGGCCCCTGTTCAATTACGGGCTCACAAGATATTCCTATTCTCCTCTGCCCATGACTGACTGTCGCTTCTCTACGAAGTGTTTTCATTCACACTTTTCCGTAGAAGTACACGAACCCTCCCTTTTCTGCAAAGACCATATCCGTTTTGTACAGCATTTTGAGATGCATTTGCAGTTAGACGTTATAAATCAATTGGAATGACACTAATCCGACTGGCGGTCCTAACACTAAACGATGACTCCGATCCTGCCAGGGGTGCCCCAGTTAAAATCTATCCAGGGCCTTGTGTCACGTGCGTCCAGTACAAACTTGTAATCAGAGAGCCCAGCCACTACTAGTGGCTGTCGCATCAACTCCAATCCTGCGAAGCATCCTTGTCTCTCTTCGTCTGCGGCCTCCCTCCCACGCAATGCTCCTCTGTGAACCACATCCGCACGGTCCAGCGGAAGGTGTGGACACCTGCTCCGTAAATGGGAGATGAACGAATCTGCAACGCGTCACCATGGAGCAGCCAAACAAACGATGGCCTGCTTGGTAAACGCGCTGTTGCTGTGCTCATTCGCAGGAGGACTGCGTGGAATACATGGGGCGTCGCGGTGGCCAGATGTTAACTCTGTCGCCTGGTATGCAGGAGTTTGTGGTTTCGATCCTGACCCTGATGCCTGTATATTTGGAGTTTGCATGTTCTCCCCTGTGGTCGCGTGGATTTTTGTACGGGTCCTCCGGTTTTTTTCCTCCATGTGTAAAAGTGTGCGTTTAGAGTAGTAGTTGTTTGCTATAAGTTTCCACACAATAAGCCACTTCGTTGAGTTATCATTTGTAGCCAGGTCACTTCTTAAAAAGAGCTATCTAGCTCAGTGGGCCTTACCTGGTCAAATCTAAAATAGTTTTCTTTAGTACATTCACCGTCCCTTGATTCCATCAACTGGATTTCGAACTTCACGTATGCCACGCAGATTTCTTCCATTCGAGGTGGTCCCAGCGCCGCGTGGCGGTGGTGTCTGTGGTGCTATCTTTGCGTGTGGCGTGCTGTGTAGGTGACGCAACGCGCCTGGTTCCAGGGCCTCCCGCCCAACGACAAGTCTGTGGTGGTGCAGGGCCTCTACAAGTCCATGCCACGCTTCTTCAAGCCGCGACTGGGCATGACCAAGGAGGAGATGGTGGTGTTTGTGGAGGTGCCGGTTGGGGATGAGGGCAGCCGCCCGGGAGCCCAGGCGGCCATCTGCTACAGCCCTCAGGCCGGAAAGGCAATGCCCTTTAAATATATTTTGATATAAATACGTGTGTGTGTGTATTTATGACGTTCTTTTAAATTACTTTATGGCTGAAAGCAAGATATACGGTAACATCTCAGCTCGCCGGACCCCGATTAACCGGGGTTTGCATTTAGCCGCACCAAGAATCTGAATGCATGATCTGTACGAAAGAGGCTCGGCACCCCGAGCCTGGGTTAACTGAGTCCCCTCTTTGGCTCCACGTTCGACGCATCCGATCGTGACGGTTGCCCCCCCCCCCTACCCCTCGTGTGCACCCCACAGGTTTACCGCTTGTGCAGCCCTCCCGGCGAGCTGCGCAAGGTGGGCGTGCTGGTCACGCCGGACAACGACCTCTATATTGCCGGGGGCATGGCGCTCTCGGGCTCCCCGGGCTTCGGGGCGAGTGGCGGCGGCGGCTCGGAGCCTGCGCCGGCCACTCCGCAGCAAGCCCACCCGCACGGCCGCGTGCCAGTGCGCTCCTTCTACTGGTTCGACGCGCAGCAAAACGCCTGGGTGGGCAAGGCGCCCATGCTGCAGGCGCGGACGCAACCGGCGCTCGTATACTGCCGTGCGCAGGTGGGGGAGGGGGTGGAACCGCACGGCCGACATCGCCCTCGCCAGTCCCGTCCCCCAAAACACCCCCCCGACACCTCGCTCGTCCCCATCCTCCGCTCCTTCCCCCGTGACAATCCCTGAAGTGCCATCGTCACCTCAACTCCACTCCTCTCATCTCCCCCTACTCTACGATCACCGCTCCTTCCCGTCCACCCACTTCCTCCCCTTGCTGTCTTCTCCCTTTCCTGGGCGCCAGTTGCCCCGTCTGGTTCTGCCTTCCCAACTCTCAACTCCTCTCCTCCCCGCCACACTTCACAATGCTAACCACCGCCACGTACACCTCACCCGTGCGCGCACGTTCTCGCAGGTGGAAATGTACACGTGTGCTTGCGTGCGTGCGCGTCCAGGTGTACGCGCTGGGTGGCGAGGTGGTGGTGGAGCCGGGCCGGCGCTCGGTGGAGCGCTACGACGTGCGGCGCGACGCGTGGTCGCCCGTGTCGCCGGCCCCCTTCCCGTGGCAGTGGTGCGCGGCGGTGGAGTGCCGCGGGCGCGTCTACGCCATGGCGCACGACCGCACCTTCTGCTACGACCCGGCCGCTGACTCGTGGACGGAGCTGTCGCTGCGCCGCACGAGCCGCTGCTTCGCCTCGGCCGCCGCCCTCGACGGCCGCATCTACTACATCGGCGGGCTGCACATCAGCGGCGGCGGCTGCGGCATCAGGGTGCCGTCGGGCACTCTCAACGGCTCCTCCATCTCGGTGGAGGTGTTCGACTCGCAGGCCAACGCGTGGGAGATGCGCGCCTGCATCCCCGCGCGCCGCTACTCGGACCCGTGCGTGCGCGCCTTCGCGCTGCTCGGCTCGCTCTGCGTGTTCCTGCGCGAGACGCACCTGGCCGACCGGCCGCGCTACGCCGTCTACCGCTACGACGCGGCGCTCGACCGCTGGGAGCTGCTGCAGCAGGTGTCGGAGCGCGTGCTCTGGGACCTGGGCCGCGACTTCAAGTGCACCGTGGTGAAGCTCTACCCGTCGTGCCTCGCCGAGTCGCCGTGGAAGCCGCCGCCGCCGCCCGCGTCGCTCTCGCCCATGGTGGAGATCGACAGCTTCGACGATATCGAGGAGGTGGTGCTCATCCCACCCGACTGACGAGACGAGGCGGAGGGAGGCGGGCGGACACCGAGGAGAGAGGGGCGAGCGGGGGCAGAGAACGCACCCGAGCGGAGAGAGAGATAGAGACGGAGAGGGAGCGACAGAGGAGTAGGACTGAGGAACGCGACACGGGAAGCGAGGGAAGACGACCGACCTCAAAGACCCTCCTCGGTCAAATCCTCGGGCTGACCGAAATTGCAGTTGCGAATGGAAAAAAAGAGTAAAATAAAAAAATACGTGTGCATCATTATGTTGGGGTCAAACGCGGGGTTAGGTGAAAAAGTCGTTTGTCAGCTGTCCGTATCTCCCGCCCTCCGAGACACATTCACGGACGACGCTTTGTGCATGCTGGGCACACGACGTGCGTAATTATATCTTTGAGACGTCGCCGGAGCCCGCTGCTTGCGCCATGACCACCGCGTGACCTCTGCGTGCGGAGCGCCAGCCCCCCCCCCACCCCCCCACCGACGGCTCGTGTGCAGTAATGAAGTAATAGCGAGCCGCTCGCCCGCCCGCTTGCCCAGCCGGCGCCGTGTCCACAGCTCGGCGCTGCGACGCATCAATCAGCCTACACGTCGTGTGACTATGTAAACCGTTCATTTGTTTTGTATATTTAGCCCCTCATCGGTGCAGTGTGGCTGCTGCTCATTTTTCGTCGTCTTTTTTTTTTCCACCTGATCAGTGTTTTCCTGGATGCACCTTCATTATTAGGGTGAACCCCACCCCCCCACCCCCCCTCCTCCCTCCCCTCTCCCCCCCGTGTCGTGTTTTGTATATTTGTATAATTTCCAGCGGACTGCATACTATAGCCTACAGACCCCAGACCCTTCCGAACCCCCCCCCATCAAACTCTGCCTCTTGACCATCCTTGACCACCCCTCCCCCTTGCCTCCTCATCCATCGCCTCTTTCCTCGTCTGCAGTCTGGAGTTCTTGGTTGGGGTCTGGCGATTCCCCCCCCCCCCCCCGTTCGTGCGTTATGCAGCGTCGCGAAACTGGGAGAGCTGCAGACTGCCGACGACTCCGTTCGTGGCTAGGAACCGTTGAGTTCTGCGGCGACCGTTGATCTTTCTGTGAGCCGCCTGTCGAGCCCTGCCAATCAAACGTGTTTATTAGGAAGTCATTGGCCGGTGAGTTTCCAGCGATCGCATGCATTGCCCACCGCCGCTAGGGATCTGACGGCCACATTTGAATGATATAGCCTTGAGAGTCCATCAGCCTGTCGGTCTGGGTTGGTCCGAAGCTCTTGAGGACCAATCCCGGCAAACGTATGTTCTCGCATCAAACTCTGGATGGGTCTCTTACTTTCAGAGTCTCATCAGCAGGACCTTGGGTGTCGGGGTGAGAGCACTGTTCCAGCACTGTTGTTGTACGGTGCAGTGCATCGAATTTCGTAAATAAATGAGGGGGACATTTACTTATTGTTGATCTCCTGGAGAAGAGGAGTTGAGTACTCATCTGCCCTGGAACTGGTTGGTGTATGAAGATCTGAGCTGGCACTGCACTGCAGCTAGCACCCTGTAGTTTTTTAAACAACAACAACAACAACAAAGGAGTTTGCGTTTATAGTTTTAATTCCCACAATGTCTCACGTGGGCACTGCTACTTTCAACATTGAGTTCCCCTCGCGTGTTGTTCAAGAGACCATTGATGGTCCGTAACCTTCACTTGGCTGGAAACTGGACGAACGATCGCAGAACTCGGCAGTTCATCGCCGTAACAGGGAGGCGTTGGCATCATTTTGTCATCGCGAGTCTCGGCCGGGAGAGTGGGGGGGGGTGACGCACGCGCTGCAGACGCGAGAGAGACGCAACGCCCATCGTGGGTTCACGGCGATGGCTTGCGCATGTCCCCCCACTTGCACTGCGGACAAGCGCTCTCCGTGGCGGAGATGGCGACTTACCCTCGAGTCGGCATGGCAAAGAGCAATTTAACCAAGTAACGGCAGCGTGCGGGCGCTCTCCAATTGGTCGGACGTTAACTCTCATCGCGATGTGTTGAAAGCATTGGCCGCTTCCTTCTGTGCTACTCGACTTCTGGTGTGCTCACTTGAATGAAGCCCAGCGGTTGTGGGGCCGTTGCTGCCGTGAGTAATCACTGCAGGCCAGCGCCATGACAGAGACACTGAAGCTGATGTCGCAGAGATCCTGGCTTCGAATCCGGGTTTCAGCCACCCATGACTTTTAACTGGGTTCTCAAGAGTAGCGAGTTGATCATTTCCGCCCGGTCACCAATAACTGCATTAAAAAAAGTCACATTTGTTCGACTAAAATCTGGCTCTGGGGATTGCATAGGAAAATGCATACGTGTATTAATATTATATATGGTAAGGTGGGAGTCTCTTTTTGCAGGATGGGACCTGGGGTGCAGAAAGAATATACGCTATGGACAAAGTTGTCACGGATATTTGCGTTAAGCATTGAGCAAAAATGGGACATAAGTGGTCCATCGAGGGCTGTTCTGTGGCTCCGAAGTCCTGTTGAAGGGTCTTGAGAAACAATCTTCGGAGCCATTCTCTGACACAAAATTGGTATGGCTAGAGTTTTTAATTAGTGACATATCATGACTCTACCGTACTACAATTGGAATACAGTGTTGCTGTTAAAAAAAACTAATAGGAAATTATTATTCTCAGCACTGATGTTGGTGAAATGATGTGGCGATCGATTCGGAGCAAATCCCTTTGGAAGTGGACGTTGATCGTTTTTCTGTTCATGAACCGGGCCACGGGAAAAGTGAGCGGGTCGAGTGAGAGATTGGTCCAGACGAAGCGATTGTCCTTGCTAAATTCCTCCCCGCGGCGCCCACGTTAGACCGCACCGCATGCCTCTTTATCGGCGCTTCCCTGTGATTACTGGGTGACGACACTATTAAATATGTTCAAAATAAAGGAGTGGTGCTTCCGCAGATTTGTGTGGGCCTGACCGGGGCCAGTGAATCCAGAGGCAATCGTGAAGCACGTTGGTGCAGCCAATCACACTCGAGGATTTGCGGTTATCTCACGGCGTCAATCGGACACGTGTTGGAGAGCTGAACGATATGTTTTTTGTTTGTTGGAGAAGTTTTGAGCAACGCGCGAATGCTGCCGTGCGATTGGCTGCGTGTTCGTTTTGCCGACGAGCTGCGGGACACCGTGACCTTTACATTTCAGCGAAGGCTTTTAATGGCGGGGAGGCAATGCCATTGTCGGAATCGACGCAGAAGTGGGATTTTTACGGAACGTACAAATAATGAAAGTACAAAGCAAATCGTTTTATCACCGTTGCTAATATTGTTATCCCAACACTGATCTTTCCCGGGTGAGAGCAAAGCCTGTCCATGCAACTTGGGGCCCCACCACCTATGGGGACGGCCGTTGAAACGCAACGGCGTAACGATGACGCCGTGTGAAAGTCACCCGTGTTCTGTCGCGAGTGACTGAATCCTGTTGCGAGTAACCGAATCCACTCCGGGGACCTGGGAAGACGTTTTGCGAGTGCCGACCGGGAATTGGGTGGGTGGGTGGGTGAGGGAAGGGTGTCGGGGGCGAAGTTTTTCGAGCGCTCCGTGTCGATTCTCGACCTCTCGCCGAAGGAGGTGCACGCGATGGGGCAGGGAAAACGTGCGCCTGCCTCACACCCCGCTTCCAACTCTGTCCCCCCCCACTCCCTCCCTTCCTCTGCATCCTCGCAATCTATGCCTTCCCTCGTTTACCATGGTGTAACGGTTCTTTTTCTATGTAAATGTTTTATTTTATCGCCCTCCTTGACGGAGGCATTTTTGTACGTTGAGCCGTTGTTGGCCAAAGATTCGTCTCAAGTCCCCTCCGCTCCAGGTTGGCCCTCGAGTCTGAACCGAGGTTTTTTTGTTGTTTTTACAGAGCGCAGCACGTCAGCTGTGGTGACACGGCCACAATTGGCACGATATTGAGGATGATGAACAGTTATTTCCACAAACTTCAAATTTTTGCCCGCTACACTGCCTGGGCAGATATGGCTCCAGGTCAGAAACCCCTTGCATCAATGTTGTTGTTACACGGCCAAAAACAGTGCTTGTTGATGTAAAAGGTGCGTGTTTAAAATAAAATATAAACCTTTGGAAAAGGTTTTCGCAGTGATTGACCCGATCACAATTGGTGTTGTTAATATCTTACTGCATTGGGTGGTACCGACAAGTGTAGTTTCAAATCCGAGCCCATGAACTACACAATGGGTTTGAGGAAATGATTATCGGCAACCCGGACCGGATTCTTGGGGGGCAAACTGGAGCAGATTGCACCACGTCCTTCTCTTCCTCTGAGCTTCGTGCTGCAGTCCAGTGCGTCCGGTAGCTCCACCCCTAGTTTTCGACTGTTTACAGGGTTGGACTTGCATATTGTTACTGGCAGCTTGGCTGCATCGCTTCTCTTCGGGTTCTGCCGAGTTGCACATTCTGGTAATGTGATGCTCACACACGTGAACGCGCACACAATGCACCCTCGCGCGTACACACACACACGTGCACACCGTGTGTCCAGGAAGCTCAATGCTCTGAACTTGGGTTCTATAACTTGTTGCCTGTGACTGTGCAACCCCGTCCACAACCAGTGTCCGTCGTAGACGCAGAACCACTCCCACGCCCGGCCATTTCAAATCGAGCAATGAGGGAGTGTGACGAACTCGCGCGGAAAGGTGAACTGGCAGGCTATACCCAGGAGGCCAAAACATAACGGAATTGGCATTCAATGGCATTTATTCACGGATTCATTAATGCCGCTCTTTTTTTTTTGTTGACTTGCGAAGGAGGGCGATTGCTCGAGATGTTCGCTCGGGTGTTGGATTTTTCCCTGCAATGCATCCTCGCGGTTTAGCCTGCAGTTGCCCCTTCGCTCGCGTGGTCTCGTGCACTCCGCGTCCCCCTCGACGATGTCGCTGTTCGCCCAAGTGGCTTCCTGATTGGAGTGTCGGTGGACAAAGCCATCGACCTGAACGTAAAAGGAATCGCAGCGGTGTGTGGGGCGAGACGCTGATACGATTCCGCACGCCTCTCATTATTATCAACACTTGGGTTGTGGAGTTGGGCCCTCTCGGCCTCGGAGGTTCAAAATTGTTGTTGCTTTGGAAATGCCGAACCGGTGAATAAATTAAACTGCTCTGTGCGAACCCTCCACCCCCACCTGTGTGTTGGAGACGCATGCGACGGGAAGCTTTTGTGACCGATAAACCGCAGACCTTGGGGCCTGTACCGCGCACTGCATCCCACACTGAGCAGTCGTCTCGTGTTGACGCACACGGTGAGCCCGTGTGCACTCGGCTCTTTGTTCAGTCTACTGCTGGATGAGGACCTTTCCATGTGTGAGTTATGGTGGTTGTCTGACCGTACTCTTTCTATGTGGGGGACATAGACGTAGGAGCATAGTTCAGTACAGCTTTTGATTTCTGCACTGCCCTCTGATTAAATGGTAGTCGTGCTGCGGTCTAGAGCACCAATTGTGTGCGTGACGGTCGCCCATCCAAGCACTATCCAGGCTCAAGCCTGCTGTGCATGTATTGGTTATCGACCTCGATTACATAGACGGCATGATTCGGATTGGTACACGCTAAACTCAGATCTACCGTCGATATAGAGAAATCATTCGTGGATTGTGAGCAATACGGTGGAAGCTATGCACGCATCGAATCCAGCACTGGAGGCAGTGAGGGTTGGTGGATGACCATCATACTCCCTTTCCTATGGGCGTCGAAATTCCATACCCTGTATAAATTTCGATTTAAAGCTTTCGTGACTGCAGGGATTCATCTTCCTGGTTCTTTCGGTAAAGTCACGTAGAAGGGAAGTAATAAAATACAAATAAAACAATAAAATTATTCTCATTACGTTTCGGCCACAACGCAAGCAGCCGTCCTCAGGTGAAAACCAGGTCTGTCGAGGCGACAGCGTCTGAATGAGCTTCATTCACAAACCAGGTCTGTCGAGGCGACAGCGTCTGAATGAAGCTCGACAGACCTGGTTTTCACCTGAGAACGGCTGCTTGCGTTGTGGCCGAAACGTCGTGAGAATAATTTTATTATGTTTTATTTTTATTATTTTATTACTTCTACGTGACTTTACCGAAAGAACCAAGAAGATGCCATACCCTGGCTTACCAAGAGAAGGCGGTACAGCGACTGATACCTTTCGTCTCTTCTGTCTGGAACAGTGTTGCCCCCTCGCTATTCGTGGGGTTTCTCCGGGTGCTTCAGTTTCCTCCCACATGTATGATCACTCAACAGTTGGCTGACAAGAAAAATAATTTATAGAGAACCGCAGAGCTTAGGCATTTGCTCAAAGTGGCGGCTAGCCATCAGGCTGATGATGCCTTCCGGTTTGTGGTTCCTGGACGATTGCGAGATGCAATTTTCCTGAATGACGACGCAATATAAAACTACACATGATTACAATAGAATAATAATGATACACGGGTCTTCACCAAAAGTTAAAAAAGTCGCAGTTTAGTCCATCAGCCTCTTGGCTTTCTGAACCATGGTTATTCAGCACCATTTGAACAGAAAATACTGCACCGATTTTGACTTCTCCAAGTCTCATCAACGCAGTGGTGGCCTAAGAAGACATTTCTGTTGGGTTGCCTGATGTTAAAGACAAGGAGCCATTCGGTACGACCGTTACGTGTTCGTGGATGGCAGAACATCAACACTCCCAAGATGTATTGTGCATCGTCATAACGTGAACTGATTGCTTGAACAAATGCTGGTGGAAATAATTGGTCCAGGAGGCCCAGAGGCTGATGGAACTAAATTCTAAATTTATGTTTATATTGCGAACACAGCCAGCTCTCTTTTGAGATTTATACTATTGACCGAAATCGTACTTCTCCCGCTTTACAAAAGCTTCAGCATCTCAAATTTCGATTTAAAGCTTTCGTGACTGCAGGGATTCATCTTCTTGGTTCTTTCGGTAAAGTCACGTAGAAGGGAAGTCGCCTCGACAGACCTGGTTTTCACCTGAGGACGGCTGCTTGCGTTGTGGCCGAAACGTCGTGAGAATTGTTTTATGTTTTATTTTTATTATTTCAGCATTTCACTTTATGGGAGGTCAATTATTTGTGTTAATAATCGGGAAGACAAATGTTAATTGCCTGGCTTTTGGGTGAAGTTCTGTACAAGATCAGAGCCACTTGAACCATCATGTGAATTGCAGTCCTCCTCCCCCGTGTCCTTGCCTCGTCTCCCACTCACCCTGCCACTCTGCCCGCGTCTCTCGGTGCATTATTGATGACACTTGCTCTGCCAGGCAGCCCATCCGCAGTAATGGCTCGCTGATGAGCCTAGAGGGACACGCTCGCACTCATCGTCGAAGCCAGGACACCGCCAGCGTCGTCTCCTCGCTCCCTCGTGGCACGCCGCGTGTGCAGAGGAGTTATTTTAGAGACTCGCGACGCACTCCGTCCCTGTCCCTCGAATTAACTCCCGTCCCGTCCTCTTTTCGTCTCTCTCTCCCCTTAGTGTTCCCCTAAGTGTACTCCCACCCACCCACACACGTACTGCAGATCCCCGATTAGCTTCATCGGCATGGTGGAGTGCTATATAATTGAGAGCGCGCACACTCGGACATACAAACACAAAGATCCCTTCTACCTCTTTGTGATTTGTCAGGGCAAGTGCTGATAGCGATGATTGAATGAAGACCGTGACGGCGCACGAGCGAGTGGTGTGGTCGGAAACCACGCCCAGCCGCCTTTGTCTCCCCATTGCTGATGTATAGCCCCCGCACAAGGTGTTGAATTATGGCCGAGTCAATATATGGTAACCCAGGACAGATTCAGATATCACTTGCTACTTGATGGTAGCCATGGCTGGGAATTGAATCCAAGTTACCAGCTTCATAGCACAGTGATAATACTGGTAGGAACCACCTGGTTACACCAGCCCACAGGGGATTATTGTGTCCGTCCGTCGTGCATCCTAAAATGGGTGGGGCTGGGTGGGGAGGGTGGGGTGAGGTGAGGCTGGGCGGGGTTGGTCACCCCGTGGTGCCCTTGTAAAACTCAACGTTTAATCTACTCACGCCGGCTTGTGCCCGCCCTCACAGTCGGCCATATTTGCAGAATACACCACGCCGCCGTTGACCCTGGCCATTGACCGAGCAAACCAACGTTCCTACCAGCTTCCTCCGCAGGAATGTGTTACGTATCTACTGCCACCGCTTTCCACGGATAGAAATAGCAGCTGCCATTCGCTACCCGACAGTCGTGCTCGTGCGTGGCTGCTATAAAATGCCACAAGCCACTCTCGCTATTATTTGTGGCCAGGTCACTTCTGAAAAAAACTGCGAAATAGCTCAGTGGGCCTTACCTGGTAAAGTAAAAAAAAAAGTTGGTGTGCCATTTTGAGGCCACCTGCAGTGTCGAAGGCTCGCTGGCAGGTCATGAGACATGGCCAGGTGTTCACTGAGATGACTGCCAGATGTCTCCACCTTCACTCCCCACTGTTAACGCTGGAAATGACGATGAAAAAAGTAATCGGAACAGCGTTTCCCATCATTAGCAAAGTTTATTTTTTTATCGGAACAGTATTAGCCAAGCGAATGGGCGGGTCCCCCTAGTGTGAAAGTGGGGGCCTTCGCATGCAGAGTATCCAGCAGTAGTCTGCAGTTAAGTGAGTCCTACTAATGATGATACCGGTCTACATTTGTCTATCACTGCTGTGTGCTCTCAGTCGGTCACATTTGCTGACATTTATTTGATGGCCCAAGACTAGCGGATTACAATGCGCTTCTTAATGTTTGTATAATGCATAACGTCTGGCTTGTTTTAAACCGTATTATGTTATTTTAAACTCCCACTCTGCTATCTTGCTGTATTTTATCCGCCCGGTACTTTGCTCATTGTTGTGAGTATTGCTCCTCCGCCCCCCATTGCTGTTGGAAGGCGACTGCCTCCAATTGCCTAAGTAGCGTCCTTCACGAGCTTGCTCCACAGAGGCCGATCTTGACACCGCTGGTACCAGTCATCGGCAAGTCCATTCAGCTTAACAGCCTCCTGTGCCAGATTAGTCCTCTCCCCAGCCCTTGCCGTGCCCATGTTGCTTCCTCTGTCCGGCCAAAGATAAGCTGCGAGGGTTATGGGTCGGCAACCAAAATAACAAGAACAATTTTTTGGGAATTCGGTCAAAAAACCGAAATATTTCAAGAGCCGTAATGTGAATAGGAGACGGTCCTCATAATGAACGTCACGAAGCAGCCCTGAAAGAGAGCCGCGGGTTGCCGACCGCTGTGTTCGGGCATGCGGTGGCTGGATATGCGGGCTGCATGACCCAGCCAATGTATCCTCCCTCGCCTGTTGAATGAGCTCACCGGCGCTTTCTGTTGGTGGATCTGTGCCACTGCTTCCCGTTTCACGTCCAGGCGAACACACAGGAACGCCTACACACAAAGGCAAATATCCCCCGTGTAGTATTTAACAGACTGTTGGGGCAAGTGCTGTAAGCGAGCACTTGTGAAAGCCGGTGCAGCACACGGTGACCAACATTTCGCCCGGCCGCCTTTGCCTCCCCATTGTATTGTGTTTAACTTCTTTTGTATCGTATGTAGCCAACCACACCAGGTACAGTACTAATTTAAGGCTGAGTCGACCCAGGTTCACCCACACAAGAACACCTACCCAGTCTACAAGCAGTTTCGAGTTTCAAGGGTAAAGCCGATTGTTATTTTTCATGCAGTTTCAAGTTTGTTTGTAAGGGCGAGAATTCAGAGACCAAGATGAGTGTCGTTGGCAAGTGAAAATAACAAAAAGCAATCTGTGCAAAAACAATTGTCACACGAGAAACGTAAAACATCGCACGAACATAACGTTACATCATGAATTCCCTGTAGTGTAAGCCGGCACGGGCAGATGATGTTTGGACTGATCACAGTACACTTAGAGAAACGTAGAACAGTTCAATATTGATTTAAAACTTTCGAGACTGCAGGAATCCATCCTCTTTGTTTCTTTCGGTAAAGTCACACGTGTTGCGATCGAAACGTCGTGATTTGTTTGATTTTATTTCGAACTCCGTGACTTTACCGAAAGAACCAAAGCGTATGCGTAGAACAGTTGTAGGCTGACCTATTGTGCTCGTGTGTGAACAGACAGGGACTCGTGTCCATTGAGCTGCAGTGACGCCGCCGTGCATGCTCGTTTTAACGCTGTTCCGTCTATTCTCATCGGACACGGGAGCGCGCTGCACGCGCTTGACAACACGCAAGGCGCGCGTCAACAGACACACAGACACCCTTGAACACGATTTAAAGCTTTCGTGACTGCAGGGATTCATCTTCTTGGTTCTTTCGGTAAAGTCACGTAGAAGGGAAGTAATAAAATAATAAAAATAAAACATAGTAAAATAATTTCGATTTAAAGCTTTCGTGGCTGCAGGGATTCATCTTCTTGGTTCTTTCGGTAAAGTCACGTAGAAGGGAAGTAATAAAATAATAAAAATAAAACATAGTAAAATAATTTCGATTTAAAGCTTTCGTGACTGCAGGGATTCATCTTCTTGGTTCTTTCGGTAAAGTCACGTAGAAGGGAAGTAATAAAATAATAAAAATAAAACAATTCTCACGACGTTTCGGCCACAACGCAAGCAGCCGTCCTCAGGTGAAAACCAGGTCCGTCGAGGCGACAGACGGACGCAAACCCGACACGTCCGCCTCGACGGACCTGGTTTTCACCTGAGGACGGCTGCTTGCGTTGTGGCCGAAACGTCGTGAGAATTGTTTTATTATGTTTTATTTTTATTATTTTATTACTTCCCTTCTACGTGACTTTACCGAAAGAACCAAGAAGATAGTAAAATAATATAAGGATATTATTTTATTACAATATTATTTTATTATTTTATTTTATAATGTTTTTGTTTTTATTATTTATTATTTTATCACTTCCCTTCTACGTGACTTTACCGAAAGAACCAAGAAGATGAACCCTTGAACACGTTACATTGCTTGTTGATGCTGCGCACGCAGTGGAACACGCGAACAACGGACGCAAACCCGACACGTCCGTCAATAACGCTGCAATAAAGGGCAACAACAGGCGACGTTTCAGACAATGGTCCTTCTTCATAGCACGTCACACTTGCCATTAGTTTCGAACGACACACGTGTTGAAAGCGCCCTGCTGTGCGTCATGCATTCTGTCCTCCCCCCGCACGGTTTGGCTACGCACGGCGTGAAAGAAGTTCAACGTACACGGGAAATAACCCCATCGCGCAGTCCCCCTACAGCACCGCACACTGCAGCTATCGCCGTGCCGGGGCCGGCGTCGTGGCGCAGGCCAGGGGGAAGGTGAGCGCGTCGCGGACGCTCGTGAAGCCCGCGATCGGCCGGGCCGTCTCCCACGCCGCGTCCCGCGGGCGACCGCACCGGGCGTAGAACCGCGCCGAGAAGGCGAAGAGGCGCGCCCCGTGCACCACCAGCGCCGTGAGCGCCGCGGCACGGCCCGGCGTCTCGCTTGGCAGCTCCGTGAAGCCGCCGCCACCGCCGCCGTCACCCTCCTGCTGCGGGTCGTATTGCAGGAGGCGCCGCGGCGGACAGCCGCCCGCCCGGGCCGCCAGGTACACGCGGCCCTCGAACGCCACGGCCAGCACCAGCTCGGCGACCGGCATGTCCCTCAGCAGCTCCGTGGTCTCGCTCCGCGGGTCGTAGCGCTGCACGGCCGCCACCGTTCCGCCGTGACCCCCCGCGGTCCGGGAGCCCCCCGCTGCGCCGGTGCCGTCGCTCTCCCCTCCGAACAGGTAGATCCAGCCCCCCAAACTCACGGCCGCTGGGGAAGCGACGGCCAGCTCCAGATGGCCGGCTGCCCTCCACGTGTTGCTGCGGGGGTCGTAAGAGGAGACGGAACGCACGCCGCCTCCCAGCAAGTACAGGCGCTCGCCGGCCGCCACGAGCGCTGGGGAGTTCCTCCTCTTCGTCGTCGTCGTCTTCGCGGTGGGAGTCGGGGCGCGGCACTCGATCCAGCCGTCGGCGCACGGCTCGTACTTCCAGAGCGACTCGGCGCCCTCGAGCCCCGTGCGGCACAGCACGAACACGAAGCCGCCCAGCGCCGCCGCGTTCGACGTGGGCAGCAGCGCGCAGCCCGACGATGACAACGGCGGCGACGGCGAGGTGGAGGAGGTTGTCCGCGGCAGCCGTGCCATGCGAGTCGAAAAAGAGAACTCGTGATCGACTGCTGCTGCTGGTGGTGGTGATACAGGCGACTCTACAGCTACTGCCGGTGACGACGAAGATGCAAACGCTACCGCCGTTGATGACAATGCAGCTGATGAAGGCAGTGGTGCTGCTGATGACGCTGAGGCTGACGATGATGACGATGTTGCGGTCGACAACACCGCTGACAACGACGCCGATGACGACGACGACGACGACAGTGATGGTAACGACGGTGATGGTGACGGCAGCAGGGGCCGCATCACGCACACGCTGGCATCGCTGCCCATCAGCAGCAGCGCCTCGACCCGTCCCGTGGAGGGCCGTGGGGAGGACCTCTCCGACTTGAGCTCCTCCCGCCGCGCGGGGCTCAGCCTGTAGCTCCATGCCTCCTCCACCAGCCGCCGGCACTTGGGGCCCATCTCGGCGGCGAGATTCTCGGCGGCTCGGAGCGCGGCACCCGGGAGGCACGGGAACTTGACGTGCCGCAGGACGCCGTACGCCGCCTCTTCGTCCTCGCACCGGGGCCGTTCCGCGCCGGGCCACTTGAGCCATGCCACGGCTGCCGTGAGCACCTGCCGGGGGGCAGGGGAGGGGGGCGACACGCGCCTGTGATCCGAGGGTTGGTTGATCACGTGGAGGTGGGTAGCAAATGAAGTAGAGTCCGGTCTCCTATAACGCGTGTTTTCATAAAGCGAATTGGATATGACGCGATTGAGTGAATAGAACTTGCGTCGCGCGAGTAGGAATAGGCGATTGTACGGCCGACTTGGCGTAGCATCACACGAGGCATTGGGATGCTGCTGGATTCTTCTAGATGCTACCCACGCACCTCGCGGACTGCGCTTTACCCTATATTATATATTATTTATACATAACGCGATTTTTTTCCCATCATGCGGTGTTCTTTAGGAACGCGACTACTACCGCGTTATAGGAGAACAGGATGTACAACACGTGGGTTCGTTGACCCGTCTGTACGGATCTTTCGAGCGGTGTCTACTAGTTACGTGTGTGTGGTGGCTTTTCTCCGGGTAATCCAGCTTCCAGTCCCAGGTGCCTGCAAATCGAGGGCTAGAGCTTTACTGCAGAAATAGTGGATACAACCACCGACACAGTCACCCTTTAAGTTACATTCACGGGAATTGTCATCATTACAACGGACTGCATATAGCCACGTGAGAGGCCCTCAGCATAGCGCGCTTGGCATGGGCCCTGGTGCACGGAATGGAAGGAAAGGTAAGAAAAACCTCTCGATTCATTCAACAATAACAGCCTGAAATAAAAAATAAAGATATAACTGTTTTAATAAAAAAATAACAATATATAACAGTCGACGTTTCGGGCAATGATCCTTCACAGCACACAGAGAGGCCAGAACGGTAAAGCAACGCAGGTGTGGGGATTGCTGCTGAGAGCGGTGCAGTCGTAGCGATTGTGCCATTGAAACAATGAGCGCGTCACCTCCTCCTCGCTCGCCACGTTGAGCTTCAGGTCTCCCAGGAGCTCCTCCACGAGGTCCTGGGGCAGCTGCAGGAACTCGACCGTAGGCCACACGGCCCCAAAGGCCGCCAGGGTTTGCGTCGTGGCCTCGGCCCTCAGCTCCGGGCAGCCGAAGCGCGCCGCCAGCGCCAGGAGCGCCGCGCAGTTCTCCTCGCTCACGGAGGCCACGAGCGAGCGCTCGCACTGCGCCTTGAGGCTCAGGACCTGCGCGGCCACACGTAGGTGGACACACGTGGGTAGGGGTGCCACGGTGGCTAGAAGATGATAACTATCTCGATTGGTATACAGGAGGTCATGGGTTCGATCCCAAGCCTGACGCCTGCTGTGTATACGGAGTTTGCATGTTCTCTCTCCCCCTGGTCGCGTAGATTTTTCTCCGAGTCCTCTGTTTTTTTCCCTCCATAATTTAGAAGCATGCTACTGCTATACATTTGCACATGACGATAAGCCACTTCGTTGAGCTATAATTTGTGATAGCCAGGTCGCTTCTGAAAAAGAGCTACATAGCTCAGTGGGCCTTTCCTGGAAAATATTTTTTTTATATTAATTTAGTTGAAAGGATGCATCTCCAGTGGGAGAGATGTGTCAGCCTTGATAATGATACACCTGTTCCAGGTGCGTTATCAGTTCACACCGGCCCCACGTGGATCTGGAGAATATCTCAAGAGGTGTTTCCTCCCAAATTACGCACGCGTCCACCCTCACCTCCCCTCCACGTCCTTCTCCAGTCCACACCCTAAAATTAATTATGGTGGTAGGAACCTCCTGGTTACACCAGCCCACAGGGGATTATTGTGTCCGTCCGTCGTGCAGGGAGGGGCTGGGTGGGAAGGGGCTGGGTGGGGAGGGAGGGGCTGGGTGGGGAGGGGCTGGGTGGGGAGGGTGGGGAGGGGGAGGGTGGGGAGGGGCTGGGTGGGGCTGGGTGGGGGGTGGGTGGGAGGGGTTGGGCTGGGTGGGGGTGGGAGGGGTGGGGCTGGGTGGGGGGTGGGAGGGGTGGGGCTGGGTGGGGGGTGGGAGGGGTGGGGCTGGGTGGGGAGGGGCTGGTCACTCCGTGGTGCCTTTATAAAACTCAACGTTTAACCTACTCACGCCGGCTTGTGCCCGCCCTCACAGTCGGCCATATTTGCGGAATACACCACGCCGCCGTTGACCCTGGCCATTGACCGAGCAACCCAACGTTCCTACCAGCTCCCTCCGTAGGAATGTGTTAATTGACTTTTATCCAGGGAAGCAACACTGAGTCGTAGGACTCGTTTTCAGGTGGGTCCTGCTGCCACATTGATGTAGGAAACCGAAGCACCCGGAGACAACCCAAGCGAGTGAAGGGGGTAACACTCGATTTGACCGTGTCCGTCCAGTGCTCGCCAAACTGCATTGGCTTCCCAAAATGTTATCAGTTCGCTCTCATTCCACACAAACAGCTTACCACAAATGAACCAGAGTACCTTTGCCGATCTCGTCACAAGGAGCATAAACCATCACGCGAACTCCGGTCACCATCGCAGCAGCGGCTTTTGGCCGTCCATCAATCAAGACAGTCACTGCACTGCGCTTTAAGATGCGCGTATGCGGCCGTCTGGAATGCTTTTCCTCCGATATTCTGTAGCCATTGGAGCTATGCACTTTTAAATAATTTGGATTAAACACTCATTCCTTTAGAACTGCTTTTTGTGTTTAGTTTGTTGTCCTCCCCCCCCCCCCCACCTCCGATTACCACGATTGTCTACGTACGGTGCGAAAGAAGCCCAACATGCATGTGCACACAACTGACTCGCCAACAGTGCACACATCTGGTGTCTCCGTGGTCCGCCAACCCACACCCATAACCCGCCAAGCAGCAGGACCTTTGCTCAGTCGGTCCTCGCGTGACGGGACAGTGTGAAGCTGTGAGGCCTGTGTTTGTTCCAAATACACACATACAGATGGAAACAGCTGGCAATAAAATTTCGAATTAAAGCTTTCGTGACTTTCGTGACTGCAGGGATTTCAGACGCTGTCTCCCCGACAGACCTGGTCTTCACCTGAGGACGGCTGCTTGCGTTGTGGCCGAAACGTCGTGGAAATTATGTTATTATGTTTTATTTTTATTATTTTATTACTTCCCTTCTACGTGATGACTTTACCGTAAAGAACCAAGAAGATGGCAATTAGTCCACTTGCTCTACCGCCTCCTGGCGAGCAAGGGTACGACCTCTCCTCGACGCCCACGGCAAGGGAGGGTTCCTACATCAGCGCGGTGATCCACAAACCCTCGCTGCTACCTCCACAGTTTTGAATGACAGGCAGCAGCAGCAGCAACGTGCGGCTCCGCATGTCCCTACGCGCGTCCCACCCCACACGTCCCCACCACCAGCACCACCGCAGCCGTCGACCCTCGCCCCCCCTCTCTCACCCGCATCATGTCCGCGGCCACGAGCAGCGCGGCCGCTTGCTCCGACCGCAGGGCCTCCGCTGCGGGCACCCGGCCCGAGTAGACGAAGTCGAGCAGGAGGGCGAGCGTGGGCGCGGCGACGGCGCGCAGCTCCACCACGCCGCTGCGCGACTCCCGCATCGAGCCCGCGGCGAACATGGCCCTGAAGAAGGGGGAGGCCGCGGCGAGCACGGCGCGGTGAGCGGGGAACAGGCGCCGAGGGTTCGGCGCTCAGCAGCACCACGTCCGTGAGCTCCTCGCTCGCGCGCAGAGACGCCAGCCCCACGAGCAGCTCGCCGGGGTACGAGGGGTCCCGCGGGGTCGCGGTCGGCTGCGGCGGGCTGGTGGTCACCCTGCCGGGAGACGGGATGGGGGTTATGGCGAGGGGGTGAAAGGCGCGGCCCTGCAATGCCTCGCTCGCGACACTGCTGGCTGAAGAGGGATTTCTTGCAGAGCACGCCGATGGGGAGTATTTGGGTCGACTGCTTTCAGGCGTCTCGGGAGGGGTGGGAGCACACACTATTTGCGCCACCGCGCGCGACCTGCCGATTGATGAAAGGTGGTGTACACATGTGACTCTTGGGTTCTGTCGGTAAAGTCGCGGAGGTAGAAATAAACTAAAACAAATCACGACGTTTCGATCGCAACGCAAGCGAACTTCATCAGGTGGGACAACCACAGCAGGAAATAATGTTGAGAGACTTGATCATGCGAGCCTTCTTGTCTCGTAGTCTGTTATAAGCTCTCACAGATGTGTGGAAACCCTTCCCGTAGAGGCGGTTCAATCTTGATTTGAAGCTCTCGTGACTGCAGGAATCCATACTCTTTGGTTTACCCATGTACTGTTGACACTATTTTCACACCCTGCACACAACATCCAGTATACATTTCGCGAGGGCTGTGGCTACTCTTGACTTATTGCCTACTCCAGTCCACCAGCGACCCGGACAATATGCGGCGAAAAGTTAGAACTTAAGCCCTGGATGTGGGTGGTGTTGGGTGATGTAAGTGATGTCGGGTCATGTGGGTGATGTTGGGTGATGTAGGTGATGTGGCTGATGTGGCTGATGTTGGGTGATGTGGCTGACGTTGGGTGATGTGGCTGATGTTGGGTGATGTGGGTAATTTGCGTGCGCGGGTCGAGGATGTTGGAGGAGGAGAGGTCAGTGTTGGAAAACTGACAATTGAAAGCATATATGTGGACGCATAGCAGTATAATAACGACGGATCTCTCTGTACCACCCTCTGCTACACCCCCCTCCCCCCACTATATTGAGTCTCGCTGCCTCTGGGACTGCGTGCGCTCGCAAAGAGAGAGAGAGAGAGCACGAGAAGGAGGATGCGACAGAGGAGACCGCGAGACGCGTGAGCGTGGAAAAGGAAGACAGAGAAGAGACGAGAGGAGATGTGGAGATTAGAGTGTACAACAGGAGATGGGTAGTGAAAATAGGATGAGACAGGAGGATGTAGAGAGGAGTGTGAAGAGACCGGGAGGAAAGCGGCACTTGTCATCGTATTTTTTTTTTTACAAATATTACATAAAAAACAGGGGGGACATAGAGTAGAGAGATAGAGGGGGGTGGAGAGAGGGGGTAGAGAGAGAGGGAAGGGGTAAGAAGGAGGAGAGCGGAGCGTGAAGTCTTTTGTGAAATCTTTCATTTAAAAAAAAGAGGGGGGGGGGGCATTGGAAAAAAAAAAATGATGAACGAAGCAAAGTGCCAACTACACCGAGCATCTTCTTGTTTCCTCTGATCGTAAAAAAATGAGACGAGGGAGAGATGCGGAGGGGGGGGAGATGACGAGGCAGGAGAATGAGATGGGAGACGTGGAGCAGAGAGAGAGAGAAAGAGAGCGAAGTAGAGAAACCTGGGAGACGAGACGGTGAGATGAGAGGAAGAACGAGGAGCAAGATGCTAAGGATGAGGTGCGATGGAGCAGGAGATGGGAGGGCATTACGATGTCTATAACAACCCCGGCTCAGCGCGAGGCTGAAGAGTCCTCACCGGGATGTGTCGAGACTCCGCGTAGCCGAGTTCGATTCCACTCCAGGGTCGGGTGAATCGGGAATTCGTTGGGTCACTCCAAGTCGGTGCGTCTCGAGGATGAAAGGTCCAGGTTGGGCCCCTTGCTGTGCGCATTCAGCGTTGGAGCCGAAGCGAAAACACGTGAAGCTCATGGTGCCGAGCTGGAGCCGGGAGGGCGGTAAGAGGTGGGTGGGTGGGTGGTGGTGGGGGGGCGGTCATCCCGGCCTCTTAAACGCTGCTCTGGTGTGATGTCACCATGCTTCCCCCACACCCCAAACTCTCCCCCCACTCCCTCTCCACACTCCCCCCACCACACACACGATGCTGATGTTTACACCCCGCACCAGGTATTCGTTTAAAGCCGAGTCGCCCGCGAGAACGCCCAGGACGGTTTTTGGATATCACTCGCCAATAATGACAGACCTGACCGAAGCACGCCAACCACTGCGCCACCGGTCCCCGAAGTCCACGCGGCGACGCGCTCATATACGCGTCATTAACAGGACGTCTTCATGAGATTTCAGCCAATACCAATACCCGCCTTTCGCCACGAAGTGACGGTGACGCCTGTAACCAGGCCAGGTGCCTCGACCAGGAGATTGCAGCTCGAACATACACACACACATGCATGCAGCGACAGACACAACCCTGATAGACACAGCCGCCGTTCTCGTGATGGTAACTTCACTATAACGCTTGTGCCAGGATAGGTGCACTATGAGATCATCACATGGTGTGGAAGACTCTCGATGCTGGCAAGTCACAGGACAAACTCAAACCGTTTGGGCGAACCGACCGAGATGACTGGCAGATGCACCATCCGTGCTCCTCACTGTGCCACCTCGCTGCATTTTAGGATTTTATCCGCCTGGCGCTCTGCTCATTGTTGTGAGCGTCGTTCTTCTGCCCTCTGTTGTTGCTGGAGGGCGACTGCCTCCAATTGCCTAAGTAGCGTCCTTTACGAGCCTCCTCCACAGATGCTGATCTTGGCGCTGCTGGTACCGGTCATCGGCAAAGTCCACTCAGCTCCACATCATCCTGTACCACATCAGGCGTCATCTCTTCTCAAACCCGTGCAGCGCCCGTTTAGCTGCCTCTATTCGGTCAAACAGAAGCTGCTTGGGCATGCGGGCTACATGACCCAGCAAACGCAGCCTCGCTTGCTGGAATAGCTTCCTGATGGGACGATGTCTAGATATTTCAAGGACATACCCATACACATACATAGAGGCAGGAGTAATGAGAATAGATTATAGCCCTCGTTTGGTTCTCGTTAAATAAAGGGGAATTTAATGGTATTTTTAAAGCATAGAACTGAATGTTTCATTTATGAAGGTAGCCCATCCCTTCCCTGGATGACCTCCAGACTCGCGTCGCCTGTTGCTGAAGCTCAGGCTTTTGCCAGCGAGTCTCATCAATTATTGAGGACCCTGCCATTACACGTGATTGCCAATGTGACAAGCAGAAGAAAAAAAGATTAAAGGCGGCTGGGTCAAGTTGCCAGCAGAGGTGGACTATAGGAGTATGGTTAGCACAAGGGGTAGTAGCAGTAAGGAGCTGCTTTGCAAGCTTGTAAAAGGGTTGGGATGTAGTGAGAATGTTCAGAGGGCTGAGATGGGAGCCGATGCTCATTTTCAGGCAGTGATTAAAATGGGAAGTCAAGGGAAGTGTATTTATGTTGAACTTCTTTCACGCCGTACGTAGCCAGCCATGATAATCGGAGGTGTGGGGGAAGGTCAACAAACTATACGCAACAAGCAGTTTTAAATGAGTTTTGAAACTTAAGATAAATTAGTTTTCAATCTAGGATATGGAGTTTTCAATCTAGAGAAAGTAGTTTTCAATCTTGAGAAAATAGTTTTCAATATAGAGAAATTAGTTTTCAATCTAGAAAAGTGAGTTTTAAATCTAGAGAAATTAGTTTTCAATCGAGGGAAATTAGTTTTAAAATTAGGGAAATTTGTTTTCAATCTAGCGAAATGGGGTTTCAAACTAGATAAAAAAAAATTCAAACTAGAGAAATTTGTTTTCAATCTAGAGACATTAGTTTCAATCTAGCGAAATTAGTTTTCAAACGAGAGAAATTAGTTTTCAATCGAAAAAAATTAGTTTTCAATATAGCGAAATAAGTTTTCAATCAAGAGAAAATATTTTCAATCGACACATTAGTTTTCAATCTAGAGAAATTAGGCTTCAATCTAGAGAAATTCGTTTTCAAACTAGAGAAATTTGTTTTCAATCGAGAGAAATTAATTTTCAATCGATAGAAATTTGTTTTCAAACTAGAAAAATTTGTTTTCAAACTAGAGAAATTCGTTTTCAAACTAGATAAATAAGGTAAAGTCACGTAGGTAAAACATTAAAATTAATAAAAGTAAAATAAGACGGAAGCTTGTGTTGCCTCCGAAACGTCGTGATTTTTATTTTATTTCACTTTTATTAATTTTAATGTTTTACCTACGTGACTTTACCGAAAAAACCTAAGAATATGAATCCTTGCAGTCACGAAAGCTTCAAATCTAGAATTAGATAAATAAGTTGTCCAACTGGAGAAGTTTGTTTTCAATCTAGCGAAATGAGTTTTCAAACTGGAGAAATTTGTTTTCAATCTAGAGAAATTAGTTTTCATTTCTAGAGAATTTAGTTTTCAATCTAGCGAAATGAGTTTTCAAACTGGAGAACATTTTTCTATCACGTGAGTTGATCGTCTCAGTGAGGTCACCAATGCCTGCACACAGAAAGACACTTGATCCTTCACTTCATTTTGAACACAATTTTAGCCCTGATAATAAAAAAAAAACCCATGGAATTGAGCATCAATACGATGATTGCGGGTGGGAAGTGCTGCACCCTGCTGCGTAAAACAGAGTTTACTCACATGGATATAACAATAGGTTTTACTATTTATACTGGTAGGAACCTCCTGGTTACACCAGCCCACAGGTGATTATTGTGTCCATCGTGCAGGGAGGGGCTGGATTGGGAGAGGAGGGTGGGGAGGGGCTGGGTGGGGAGGGTGGGGAGGGGCTGGGTGGGGAGGGTGGGGCTGGGTGGGGGGTGGGAGGGGTGTAGCTGGGTGGGGAGGGGAGGGGCTGGTCACCCCGTGGTGCCCTGATAAAACTCAACGTTTAACCTACTCACGCCGGCTTGTGCCCGCCCTCACAGTCGGGCATATTTGAGGAATACACCACGCCGCCGTTGACCCTGGCCATTGACCGAGCAACCCAACGTTCCTACCAGCTCCCTCCGCAGGAATGTGTTGGCAATAAAACAGGTGTTAAGATGCTCAAACACCATATTTTGTTTACAAGGAATCAATTCTGCATTAAGCACGCAGACTTGTGGTGAACACTTAAACAAACATGCTCAGATAATTAATATATGCATTGCCTTTGAAACTGATTGGGCTACACGAGAACGCCAACAGGCGAACAGTACGAAGCTGTGTACTGGTCTGACACTGCCATAAAGAAGGCTGTCTTCTGGTGTAGCCCAATCAGTTTCAAAGACAATGCATACATTATCAGAGCATGTTTGTTTGCATGTTCACCACAAGTACGTGTGGTTAATGCAGACTTGATTCCTTGCAAAAGGTTTAAATTTGGTGTCTGAACATCTTAACATCTATATTCTTGGTTCTTTCGGTAAAGTCACGTAGAAGGGAAACAATAAAATAAAATTAATATAAAACAATAAAAATTCTCACGACATTTCGACTGCAACACAAGCAATCATCATGTGTGAAATCCACAGAAAGAAAACTTTATTGTGGATTTCACACCTGATAATGATTGCTTGTGTTGCGGTCGAAACGTCGTGAGAATTTTTATTGTTTTATATTAATAATATTTATTATTTTATTGTTTCCCTTCTACGTGACTTTACCGAAAGAACCAATAATATGAATCCCTGCAGTCACGAAAGCTTTAAATCAAGATCTTAACACCTGCTTTATTGTTGGGAAGCGTCTAACCTATTCCTATTTTTCATACTTTGATACTGCCAAAAAAGGTCCCATGATACAGGGATAAAGAGATCCGCTTCCGTGGTCGTCTCTAGCAGTGTTCTTCACAACATTTCAGAGGGGGGCCACTTTCGCCGTTAAGACATGATCAGTGGTGAGGGCCGCCACACGTGTGAAACCATTGTTGGGTTTGACAGCAGCACTATGGTGATGATGATGGGTGTGTGGTGTTCACGTGTTGTGTGTTGTCGGAGGGACCGCACTAAAGGCCACCAGAGCCCACGGGCCTCGCAATGAAGAGCGATGCTCTTGCAATGACATGAAGCGAATCGCACAATTGAGTTGTACTGGGGATTTCGTTTATCGCTGCTTAACAGGTGAGCCTGCTTCCCTTACGCATCAGTAGCGCGGTGGGGGGGGGGGGGGGGATTGCGGAGGCTTTCATGGATTGTTTTGCTGTTTGGGAGGTAAATCAGAGTACCCAGAGAGAACCCGCCACGGACACGTGAAAAAAAAAAACACGGGGCCGCACAGATGGGTTCCCGAACCCCACTTGCTGCACTGTTCAAGTGAATTTCACAAATCTCCACGTGATCCACCCAACCCCTTTCCCCCAAAGCACTGGGCCACAAGCGTTGCAGGGCAATCGCACGCGGCCCCCGACGCTGACAAAGCCCCGAACACGTGCCACCCAATACAGGAATTGCACTCGAATTCTAGATTTGAAGCTTTCGTGACTGCAAGGATTCATGCTCTTAGATTTTTTTCGGTAAAGTCACGTAGGGAAAAGTAAATAATAAATAAATAATTAAATAAATAAATAAGCATTAATAATAATAATAATAGAAATAAAATAATAAATCACGACGTTTCGGGCGCAACACAAGCGTCCGTCATCAGGTGGGAAATCATCGTCTGCTGAAGTGGGCCGGATTTGCCTCTGGCCAAAGTCGAATTGTGCGTCGTTCAAAACGAAGTGACGTCATCGCGCACAACCGTCTCCTCCCTGCGTGATGACGTCACGGACACGCCCCGCCTCCGCCCCGCCCCGCACTGCGGCACGAGCCGCGCGCGCGCGCGCACGCGCGTTCGTTCGGCTCGTCGAACAAAGTAGTGCCGCGTTTGCACGCAAGCGGTTTCAACAAAACATCGCCTGAGTTACCGAATAAAAAAAATGAGCGAGCTTCCTTGGCCCGAGCGCCTCATCGTTGAAAGCGACGGCGCGTCAAATGAACCGCAGGGCGATTACTAAAAAAAAGAAAAAAGAGCGCCGATCAACGCCCGCCAACACGGGCGGCGGCGCACTGATTTGGCCGCGGGGCCCACCGGGTTGTGAAGTGGCGGAAGAGGCGTTTGAAATTCTCCCCCCCCCCCCCTCTTTCTCAGCCCCCCCCCTCAACGCAAGAACACGTAACCTAGCAACCCTCGATTAGTTATGCAAATGAGATGTAAATTATATGCAAACGTGCTCTGACTAATTCACCCTAAGGAAAAGGTTCTTAACCTTTTTTAAAAAATCCTCAGCCTTGCGCCCCTTTGTTATCAATGGTAGTTAAGGGAAAAATGCATGTTTAATGAAAACCTAGGTTTGATTAAACAAAGTGGTAGTTTAACACGCGGGCTTTCGCGACATATCATCCATAATAAGAGTTTTTGTTGGGGTTAGATCGCTTAAATATAAACCCGACAGCCAATTATCAAGGTTTGTCACGTAAACAGAACGTGGCCAATTCGTTACTAGTACAGCACGCCGGTGTGTTGGAGAGCAAAGCCACATTTATAATCTCAGTACGACGTTACAAGTTAATAATCATAAAAATAACTAGCCATTACACTATGAGACGTCCTTTACCAGTGGCAAAATATAGTAATAGGTTTTTACCCTTTCAACTGGTACAAAAACTGACACCTTTATACAAGGCATCATGTTTGCAATAACCACAACACAAGCAGTCAAAATGCAAACAAAAATAAACAACTCTGATAATGATATGCACTGTCCTTGAAGTTGCCTTGTATAAAGGTGTCCGTTTTTGTACCAGTTGAAAGGGTAAAAACCTATTACTATATTTTGCCACTGGTAAAGGAGGACTCATAGTGTAAATGCTTACCCCGAGCTCTCAATACTTTGATAGTGCGCTGTTTTTGAGTTGTACGCCTTTTGGCGTCATCTGGTCCAACACCAATGGAGACTAGGCTCTAAGAAAATCTGTCTCGGGTGTGGACCAATCAACTTCAAGGACAGTGCATATCATTATCATTATCAGAGTTGTTTCTTTTTGTTTGCATTTTGACTGCTTGTGTTGTGGTTATTGCAAACATGATGCCTTGTATAAAGGTGTCAGTTTTTGTACCAGTTGAAAGGGTAAAAACCTATTACTATAACTAGCCATGTCTCGCTACCCCCAGGCAGGGCATCTCATACCCACAGGTTTAGAACCACTTCCCTAAGGAAGCATTATTTAATCGGCGACGTTTTGGGCAATGAACCTTTTTTTAAATCCTTTATATTAAGTTCGCTTGCTTGCGTGCTTGCTTGCTTACGACCGTGCAAACCTTTCGGTCGTTTTTTAACCCACTTCCCGTGATCCAATCAAGCTGACATTTGGCACACAGACTCGTTGTGCGAGACAATTAATGTTCGTGAATTTTTTTTCCAAAATTTTACACTGTTTAGGGAAAACAAATTAAATAATTAATTACCAATTGCTTAATACTGGCAGACAATCATCTGACCCATAGGTGGCAGCCATCTCAAGCCAGAGGACGAGAGGACTCTAGCCGCCACGCATATAAAGGATTTAGAGTGACAAACTTTGTTTTTACGGGTTATACTTATTCATGGCACTTAACACCACGGGGACTGATATTAATAACAAAAAAAGTTTCCTGATTAAATTAGTAAATTGCCATATGGAAATTAAGGGGAAGCTAAGCAGATTTGGGGGTTGGATAGTATCCTTTGGATTGGTAAACACCATAGACGATCATGGGTACGCTAGATTTGGGCTAATGGAGCCAAAGTAAACATGTTCAGAAACATCGTAACTCAGAATGATGGAAATTAATTGGATTTCTAAGGGTTGTGTCATGATTATATTCCAAGTTTCTCATACCAAGTACAGCACTGGAAATTATTCCCACTTAGAATCCGATGTGTACGCGATCATGTACATCCCATTTGTCAATCTCATACACCAGAGCGATTTGATGGCAGGGAGGAGCACAGAAGTGCAGGACAACAACAGATCGAGCAGCGCCGCCTTCTCTGCTGCTCGCTACGTGGCCCAGCAGAATGTGCCAGGCTAGGTGCATACTCTTAGATTTTTTCGGTAAAGTCACGTAGGTAAAAATAAAAAATTATAATAGAAATAAAATAATTATTTTATGAATAATAAAAAGTTTCCTGATTAAATTAGTGAATTGCCACATGGAAATTAAGGGGAAGCTAAGCAGATTTGAGGGTTGGATAGTATCCTTTGGATTGGTAAACACCATAGACGATCATGGTTACGCTAGATTTGGGCTAATGGAGCCAAAGTAAACATGATCAGAAAAATAATAATAAAAAAAATATTTTATTTCTATTATTTTAATAATATAAATTATTTATATTATTTAAATATAACAAAAAATTATATAAATAAAAGAACAAATAATTATTTTTTTAATATTATTTTAGATTATTTATTTTTATTTTTACCTACGTGACTTTACCAAAAAAACCTAAGAGTATGAATCCTTGCAGTCACGAAAGCTTCAAATCTAGAATTAGGCTCGGTGCACTTTGAGGCCACGTGAAGTGTCAAAGGCTCGCCGCTGCAGGAGGTCACGGGGCAGAAACGTGGGTCGACTGAATGCCCCGAGGAAAACGAACGACTCGTCCCGTGCTGCAGGCGGGTGGGGAAGTTCGTAGGAGGTCGAGGGGTGGGGGAGGGCGCCGCGGGAAAGCGTGAGAAGGACGCGGAGGAGGAAGAGGCGGGAAAGCGTGAGAACGACGCGGAGGAGGAGGAAAAGACGCGAGCTCATGGAGTTTCCGGCCAGAAGGGCGCGCTCGCTCACGTGTTATGTGACCTCAACCAACTCTAGCCCCGCCCCTCATCTCTAGCCCCGCCCCCCAACTCTAGCCCCGCCCCTCAACTCCTGACCACGCCCCTCCACCACTAAACACGCCTCTCCACATTCTTAGGTGTTTTCGGTAAAGTCACGTAGGTAAAACATTAAAATTAATAAAAGTAAAATAAAATAAAAATCACGACGTTTCGGAGGCAACACAAGGCTCCTCCGTCTTCAGGTGGAACCGTCACAGCCACGACAGCTGTATCAAGTAAATGAGAGATTGTAGGAGCTACCACTTCGTTTATATAATGGTTGGAGAGGGGGGGGGGGGAAAGGGCCAAGTCAAGCACACTTTTTATTCATATGGTAAGGTGAGGCTTAAGACTAAGAATAGAATGCATAACAAAGGCTCAGCCTTTGTTATCGTGGCTGTGACGGTTCCACCTGAAGACGGAAGCTTGTGTTGCCTCCGAAACGTCGTGATTTTTATTTGATTTTACTTTTATTAATTTTAATGTTTTACCTACGTGACTTTACCGAAAAACCTAAGAATATCACCCACTCACCATTTAACTCCGCCCATTTACAGCCCTGACCCGCTGACACCACCCATAGCCCCGCCCATTTTTCTCGTAAACACGCCCACTTTCGACTCATAGCCACGCCCACTCATCATTTAACTCCGCCCATTTACAGCCCTGACCAGCTGGCATCACCCATAGCCACGCCCATTTGCCTCGTAAACACGCCCACCCCTGCCATTCACACCCCCCTCCCCACTCATATGCCCCGCCCATTTTCTTATTAACCCCGCCCACTTACCATTTAACCCCGCCCACTTACCATTAAACCCCGCCCACTTACCATCGCCCCTCCCCCTCCTCCTCACAGCCCCGCCCCTCTGCTCGAGCCCGCCTCGTGCCCGTCCGTTGAGAGCGCGGAGGGAGCGAGTGGAGAGCGGCGGCGCTCCTCTTCTTCACCTTCTCGCTACTCGGGGTGAGGCGAGGCGGCGAGCGGGCTAGTTAACGTGCCCCCGTTGTAGCCGCGTTGTTGTTGTTGTTGTCGTCGTGCGTTTGTGCACGGCGAGCGAGCGAGAGAGAGCGGCGCGCTGGCGCTGAGTGAGCGGGGGGGGAGGGCGGTCAGACCGAGCGGCGCCATGTTAAAGGGACCGCGAACGAGTTCGACGTCGCCTCAACGTTTGTAACGTTCTCTTGCTTTGTGTATATTGGTGTTGTGTGTGTGTACCGGTACAATTGTCACCGTGCCGGTGTTGCTCTCGCGTTAATGTCGCAGCTTCAACGTTTCCACCATCTCCCCTTTGACGACCGCGCGCGGCGGCGCCTTCTTTGCGGTTTTGTCGCGAGGCGATTCGCGCCAGCGCGTTCTGGAAGCCTCCGTTAGGGTCATCATCATCGTCGTCGTACACGAATTAATCAATCGCTACCGTAACACGGAGGCATTGATTAACACCGCCGATTGCGGAGGGTTTGAGGCTGAATAGTATTACCACCGCCACCACCGCCACCTGTCACCGTGAGTGTTTTTTTTCGTCATCAATTCGCAGCTCGACTAGCGCAGGCCTCCATCGCGTTGCCGTCACAAATCTCGCACGTGCGTCTGTGGGGGGGAGCGGTGGTGCAGTGGTTAGCGCGCTACGCTACGAACTCCCCAAGGTCGATTGGCCGTCCGCTCACGGCTAATATCGGTGACGATTATCTGAACCGGTCCTCGGCCTCCCCCCTAGGTCGACTCGGCCTCAAATGAGTTACCCGGCGCGGTGGTGTGTAAACATCGCTACTGGGGGAGACGAAGGCGGTCGGGAGTGTTGTTGGTGTGCCGTGTCGGCCTTCGTAGGTGCTCGCTAACAGCACTTGCCCCTACAGTCTGTTAAGGTTATACGGGGGGGGGGGGGGGGGGTATTTGAATCTTCGTCCCGTACGTTGCAACGTGCACCGCCGATATACCCCATGTGCAAGGTTATTACGGTGCTGTGTATACGTACGTGATCGTTCCCGTGTGCAGGGTCATACGAACTTTAACGCCCGGCAAGACAAAAGTTATTTACACGTATGAACGTGTCCCATGGTTATTGACACGATTGTAAGTGCAGGGTGACGTACACGCTGGAAGCACGCGCGATTATATTCACGACTGTGTTATAGGGTGTTCAAGGTTATTTGCACATCAAATACGTGGATAGGAGTATACGATTATACGCACAATTTCATCTGTGTGCCAAGGTTATATGTGCGTGTTGACAAATGAGTACAAGGTTATGCATACTGCAAGGCTATACACACGTTTATACATTGATTTGATTATACACTTGAACCTGTGCAAGGTTATATCTACTTAAATTGTACGGTATATGCACGCGTTGATACATTTTCAAGGTTATGTCTATAATGGCGTACGCAAGCTTTAACTACAGGTAAACCTGCACAAGTGTGTGGACGTGTTTACGAGTTTGTGTGCACGTTTCCAAACTCGTAAATACGACATCGCATTGCCAGTCCACTGCGACGTGGTCTGCCCACGTGTCACTCACGGGGGTTGTTTGACCATACTTCACCACGCTGGTAAATGCGAGTTGGGCAAGTCGAGGCTCATGATAGGAATCGAATTTGTGGCCGGGTTCGTAGTGCAGTTCGATAACACCGTCCCAACACTTGAATAAACACGTGTACAAAAATAGACACGTTCGTGAACGTTTATACGTTCATAAGGTACGCGATTGTAAGCAGAGTGTGTTTCTATGCTTGTACATGTTGCATATAAGCACGTTTATTCGTGTACACGTTTGTAAATTGACAACACGTTTCTAAGCGTGTACAACACGTATAACACACCTTGACATGCATGTGCATTGCTCGTGTACACCGTGCTGCATCTGTACGTTTTTCAGTACGCACGGTTTTATCTGTGCGTTTCACCATCGGTGCTTCGTGTACGCATTCTTGAATTGAATGTACACTGGTAAAAAAATTATGTACACTTCTGCATGTACACGTTTCTAAGTGCGTCGCACTTATGTGCATGTCTAAGCATATATACTGTACACTGCGAACTAGACACAACGTTTGTTGGGCGTGTGTCAGTCGCTGTGTGTGCACAGTGGGTGAGTGTGAGTGGCTGTGTGTACACAGTGGGTGAGTGTGAGTGACTGTGTGTACACAGTGGGTGAGTGTCAGTCGCAATGTGTACACCGTGTGTGAGTGTGTCAGTCGCTGTGTGTACACAGTGGGTGAGTGTGAGTCTCTGTGTGCACACAGTGGGTGAGTGTGAGTCTCTGTGTGTGCACAGTGGATGAGTGTGAGTCTCTGTGTGTGCACAGTGGGTGAGTGTGAGTCTCTGTGTGTGCACAGTGGGTGAGTGTGAGTCTCTGTGTGTACACAGTGGGTGAGTGTGTGTGGCTGTGTGTGTACAGTGGGTGAATGTGAGTCTATGTGTGTGCACAGTGGGTGAGTGTGAGTCTCTGTGTGTACACAGTGGGTGAGTGTGTGTGGCTGTGTGTGTACAGTGGGTGAGTGTGAGTCTCTGTGTGTGCACAGTGGGTGAGTGTGTGTGGCTGTGTGTGTACAGTGGGTGAGTGTGAGTCTCTGTGTGTGCACAGTGGGTGAGTGTGTGTGGCTGTGTGTGTACAGTGGGTGAGTGTGAGTCTCTGTGTGCACAGTGGGTGAGTGTGAGTCTCTGTGTGTACACAGTGGGCGAGTGTGTGTGGCTGTGTGTGTACAGTAGGTGAGTGTGAGTCTCTGTGTGTACACAGTGGGTGAGTGTGAGTCTCTGTGTGTGCACAGTGGGTGAGTGTGAGTCTCTGTGTGTGCACAGTGGGTGAGTGTGAGTGGCTGTGTGTACACAGTGGGTGAGTGTGAGTGACTGTGTGTACACAGTGGGTGAGTGTCAGTCGCAGTGTGTACACCGTGTGTGAGTGTGTCAGTCGCTGTGTGTACACAGTGGGTGAGTGTGAGTTTCTGTGTACACAGTGGGTGAGTGTGAGTCTCTGTGTGTGCACAGTGGGCGAGTGTGAGTCTCTGTGTGTGCACAGTGGGTGAGTGTGAGTCTCTGTGTGTACACAGTGGGTGAGTGTGTGTGGCTGTGTGTGTACAGTAGGTGAGTGTGAGTCTCTGTGTGTACACAGTGGGTGAGTGTGAGTCTCTGTGTGTGCACAGTGGGTGAGTGTGAGTCTCTGTGTGTGCACAGTGGGTGAGTGTGAGTGGCTGTGTGTACACAGTGGGTGAGTGTGAGTGACTGTGTGTACACAGTGGGTGAGTGTCAGTCGCAGTGTGTACACCGTGTGTGAGTGTGTCAGTCGCTGTGTGTACACAGTGGGTGAGTGTGAGTTTCTGTGTACACAGTGGGTGAGTGTGAGTCTCTGTGTGTGCACAGTGGGCGAGTGTGAGTCTCTGTGTGTGCACAGTGGGTGAGTGTGAGTCTCTGTGTGTACACAGTGGGTGAGTGTGTGTGGCTGTGTGTGTACAGTAGGTGAGTGTGAGTCTCTGTGTGTGCACAGTGGGTGAGTGTATGTGGCTGTGTGTGTACAGTGGGTGAGTGTGAGTCTCTGTGTGTGCACAGTGGGTGAGTGTGAGTCTGTGTGTACACAGTGGGTGAGTGACTGTGTGTGCACAGTGGGTGAGTGTGAGTGACTGTGTACATAGTGGGTGAGTGTGAGTCTGTGTACACAGTGGGTGAGTGTGTGTGGCTGTGTGTACACAGTGGGTGAGTGTGTGTGGCTGTGTGTGTACAGTGGGTGAGTGTGTGTGGCTGTGTGTGTACAGTGGGTGAGTGTGAGTCTCTGTGTGTGCACAGTGGGTGAGTGTGTGTGGCTGTGTGTGCACAGTGGGTGAGTGTGAGTCTCTGCGTGTGCACAGTGGGTGAGTGTGTGTGGCTGTGTGTGCACAGTGGGTGAGTGTGTGTGGCTGTGTGTGTACAGTAGGTGAGTGTGAGTCTCTGTGTGTGCACAGTGGGTGAGTGTGTGTGGCTGTGTGTGCACAGTGGGTGAGTGTGAGTCTCTGTGTGCACAGTGGGTGAGTGTATGTGGCTGTGTGTGCACAGTGGGTGAGTGTGAGTCTCTGTGTGTGCACAGTGGGTGAGTGTCAGTCGCAGTGTGTACACCGTGGGTGAGTGTGTCAGTCGCTGTGTGTACACAGTGGGTGAGTGTGAGTCGCTGTGTGCACACAGTGGGTGAGTGTGAGTCTTTGTGTGCACACAGTGGGTGTGAGTCTCTGTGTACACAGTGGGTGAGTGTGAGTCTCTGTGTGTGCACAGTGGGTGAGTGTGAGTGTCTGTGTGTGCACAGTGGGTGAGTGTGAGTGGCTGTGTGCACAGTGGGTGAGTGTGAGTCGCTGTGTGTGCACAGTGGGTGAGTGTGAGTCTCTGTGTGTGCACAGTGGGTGAGTGTGAGTCTCTGTGCACAGTGGGTGAGTGTGAGTCTCTGTGTGCACAGTGGGTGACTGTGAGTGACTGTGTACACAGTGGGTGAGTGTGAGTCTCTGTGGACACAGTGGGTGAGTGTGAGTCTCTGCGTGTGCACAGTGGGTGAGTGTGTGTGGCTGTGTGTGCACAGTGGGTGAGTGTGTGTGGCTGTGTGTGTACAGTAGGTGAGTGTGAGTCTCTGTGTGTGCACAGTGGGTGAGTGTGAGTGTCTGTGTGTGCACAGTGGGTGAGTGTGAGTGGCTGTGTGCACAGTGGGTGAGTGTGAGTCGCTGTGTGTGCACAGTGGGTGAGTGTGAGTCTCTGTGTGTGCACAGTGGGTGAGTGTGAGTCTCTGTGCACAGTGGGTGAGTGTGAGTCTCTGTGTGCACAGTGGGTGACTGTGAGTGACTGTGTACACAGTGGGTGAGTGTGAGTCTCTGTGGACACAGTGGGTGAGTGTGAGTCTCTGTATGCACAGTGGGTGTGTGTCAGTCGCAGTGTGTACACCGTGGGTGAGTGTGTCAGTCGCTGTGTGTACACATTGGGTGAGTGTCAGTCGCTGTGTACACATTGGGTGAGTGTGAGTCGCTGTGTGCACACATTGGGTGAGTGTGAGTCGCTGTGTGCACACATTGGGTGAGTGTGAGTCTCTGTGTGCACACAGTGGGTGAGTGTGAGTGGCTGTGTCTGCACAGTGGGTGAGTGTCAGTGGCTGTGTGTACACAGTGAGTGAGTGTGAGTCGCTGTGTGTGCACCGTGGTGATTGACGGTGCACACCCGACCCTCGTGGTGTGTGCGCACTGCTGCTGCTTGTAGCTGCGACATTCACTGCGGGCGTGTTCAGCCCCTGCTACGCCCTCCTCGGCTTACCCTCGGATCGGGCTGGTGGGGAAACAGTGCGCCGGCAATTGCCGACTCAACCGACATCGTGTGTGGGGCTTTTGTTAATCTTTGCTTTTAATACGTGGGTACAAATAATAATAATAGCGCTGCCGTGGTAAAGTCTCTCCAGAGATTTCCGCGTAGACGTACGCGTACGGGCCTTTATGCAATTCGCTGTTGTGGCGGCGACAGTTTTACGGTGAAGGGCCTACCGCATGTTTGCGTTACGGTGGTGGCGACAACTCGCAATGATGCATTATTTTTTTACCCTGCCGGGGGTGGTACCCAATGAAGCGAGTGTTGTATAGCGCATTGACCTCTTGCGAATCTTCACATTTGCAGGAAGGAATGAGTGGCGCGGAGTGGGGGGGGTTATGCTTTACACACACGCTTTCTCTCGCGGTCTTTGCAGGCTTCAATTGAGATTGTTAATGACATTGCGTCGTGGCGCAAGCCGCCACACACGCGGCTAGGCCTCATTGCATTGCCGAGGTGGCCATTTGACCGCTCACAATGCAAAGGGTTGTGCCCGCCACCCCACCACAGCTGTTCAACACGCACGCGTGGTTTGAAAGTGGACACCAGCCCCGTTCACAATGCCTGGGGGCCCCGAATTCGGTGTGTGTGGCGTTTTCTTTCACCCTTGAAGCGAGACAGTGCGCGCGCACAGCATGGGAGGCCCCATTCATTGTGTTGATGCTCGGACGCGTACTGGGAAGTAGAGCTTTCGTAAACAGGAGACGTGGCCCAGTACGTGCCTTTTAAAGTTAACGTGCGTTTCTTCACTCCGGTCGAGAGTTGGTGACTGAAGGTTTGATTGATTTCTCGGCCTGTCTGTGTGTTGCGCGTCGTCGATTTGTCAATAACTTGGTTACTTTGTTTCATTTTTTTTGCTTCCAGTGTTAGAAGACTAAAAGGGCCAAAATGACATCGGACCGGGACAGTGAAGTCGTGGCTGAAACTGCCCAAGGATCCACGTTGCCGGTGCGTGTGTGTGTGTAGCAGTCGGCACACCGCCACTCACTGTGGGCGGGCGCGCTGCAGTGCTTACATTACACTGTTGCGTAGCAGTGTACCCGGGTCGAGGCGGCGATGCCAGCTCTAACTTGTACCAGCTACAGAGAGCCGTGCAACTCTGCAAGGTCACTGTGCACATTACCCGACTGCGTATTTGCCTGGCTGTTGGCTTTGCTGCTTTCAGCTGTGGCTTGTGAACTCTTGAGTGTTGTGTGCGATTTTTACGTTCCAAGCTGATTTATTTATTTCACTCGGCACCATGAAGGGTGTGCAATGCTGTTGAATTTTAATTAAAACGTGTTAACTATTGGATATTTTTAGACGTGCGTTGTGGTTTCCAAAGTCGACGTTCTTTGGCTTGAAATTAAGTGGGCACATTATTGTTTACAGTGAAAGCTCTTTCTCGGTTATACTTTATTAAGGATTGCATAACCTCTGACATTTCACTGTGTAACAGTTTTTATTTTATTTTTTGTTCCTTGGTAGTAAGTGTTATTTCCTAATTGCTTACGCCTCAAAAGTACATAAAATGGCTATTATTCCCCACAAACTTTTCTTTTGTGACCAGGACAGTGATATTTAGAAATTTACTGGTATATATTTTCAATAAAAAAAGCGTGTGCATTTGTGTCATTCCTTCACATAAAGTCCTGGTCACAAAAGCAAAGTTTGTGGGGAATGATAGCCTTTTTCTATACTTTTGAGGCCTAAGCAATTGGAAAATAATACTACCCAGGAACAAAAATCGTGTTACATAGTGATATATATTAATTGGTATATGGCTTAATGGAAAAATACAAATAGTGCTCAACAATCACCTAAAGTGTTGGTTAACCTGCCTGCGTATTGAGGAGAGTCGAATGTGAGTGTCTAATGAATTGAGGTTCAATTGTGTGTTTTCACTTATGCAATTCAACCACTTGTGTTTTGCCTGTTAAATTACACACGTTATTAATAACCACTCGTGGATTGAGTGCCATACAATTCAAAATGTACATTTTCCAAATTCCATTGACCAATAACAGATGGTGAGTAATTTTAACGGCTGTGTTAACTGAAGATTTTTTACGTGATTAATTAAAATGGTCATACAGAAAAGTGCCCGATTTAAGAATCAAACCCAGGCCCTTGATGTTTGTGAGACATAAAGTGTTACCGCTGCTCTGCCCTACCTGCCCATGCTTGTTTTAGCTGCAGGTGGGCACCATCGTCACCCTGATCAATGTGAATGGTTTTTGTTACTAACATCAAATTTTTGTCGCAGTGCTAAGTACACTCTCACTGTCGATTGCAATCAGTGAGTTTGAGCTCTTGCACATCTTGTTTGCAGGTTAATACTGGGCACAGATTAGATTTTTGGCTTTCCATGGGGGTCAATTGGACACTGAGAACAGTTGGCATTGGATATTCTACCAATTGTGCAGATGCACTGCATTTGTCCACTTCGAACTATATGATATTTACATTGCTCAGACTGTTTTTGTTGTTGTTTGTGTTCAGGTAAATTATATTCTAATCAGACGAAATAAACGTGAATGGTTTGAGTTCTAGTCCAATAATACACATCGTTTTAGTAATGTTTTTAATTTATCTTAATTTTAGCATGTGGAATATTTTAGTGGCAATGCTTATTTTGCGAGCCTGTGCATGACGTTTATTCGTTTTGATTTGCTGCTGTTTAAAGTCCTCCCTTTCAGCTCCGATGGCACATACAACCGAGCTTTGGGGAATGATGTTAAAATAGGCCACTTGTGTTTCTTTGTTCAACATTGTGTACGTTTGGAGTGTCAGGCTGAGAATGATCAAATTGTTCAGTATTGTACTTTAAAGTTTACTTGAAAGGCACGACTGGCTTTGGCTATTATCTTTCCCATCAAAGGTTGCCACAGGTTGGTAGCTTCATTGCAGGGAATATATTGAATGACTACTTGTAAATATTATGAATGGTTTACATTTACGAACTGAATTGACATCAATTCATATTCTCCTGCTGGTGGCGTCGACGCTTGCTCGATGCTATTCTTTTGGTGAGATGCCCACAAGACATTTCTCAGGTTAAAGCAATATCTGTGTCAGACTCGGTTTACTTCAATAGACATATGGCAAGTATGTATGTATTTTGAACGTTTTTCGCACCTTGCGTAAACTGATAATAATTATCGGGTGGTGTATGTAGACAATTTTTGCACCGCTTATGTCAAACAGTAATGTTTAAAGTTCTTTCAGTTATGGGAGTTCCTGATTTTGATGAACTAGTCATGACGATAAAATTCATTTAAATTATTTGGGGCCATTATTACATTAATTTGCAGATTCATTTGGACTGCATTTTCCTTTTTGTATCTTACTGCCTTTCAGGGGGAGCGGGAGTGTAGCGGTTAGCGCACTGCTCTACGAACCTGGCGACCTGGGTTCGATTCCTGCTCACGGCCAATACCAATGACTGTTATTTTAACCGGTCCTGGGCCTCCGCTAGGTCGACTCAGCCTCATATGAGTACCTGGTGCGATGTGTAAACATCGCCACTTGGGAGACAAAGGTGGCCGGGCGTGGTGCTGGTCACCCCCACCCTCTTGTGTGCCGTGCCGGCCTTAATAGGTGCTCGCCAACAGCACTTGCCCCAACGGCCTATTAAGGCTATATGGGGGATCTTTGTCTTGTTTGTCTTTAATACTGCGTTTCTATTTTGTTTTAGTCTCATTGATTGCAGTCTTTAGGAATAATTTGCATAAAACCCCTGTAAAAAACCCTATCAATTCTTACATGCACGATTTCATTCAGATAATGTTAATGAATAATTTAATGGATAGTTTCTAGAGTTCAATTTGTACGTGTCTGTTGGTGAGGCTGTGTATCTATGGATGTTGTTTTTCCAATCTCAATTTAATGTGTTTGAGGGGCAGAGAGCATTTTTGTGAAGATAGCTTATCTCCTGGGATAAGCCATTTTCAGATTTGAAGTCGCTTATTGAGATTGTCTCATGAAGTATATTTTCATGTTAAGTTTACCAAAGGGTTATGCCCATAATTTGAATCCAGGATAAAAGGCAAATGAACACCAAACCAATTTGTTTCGAGTTAATTCTATGTACCGTATAGAGTTAATTCTAAGTACGGTCTAGAGTTAATTCTAAGTACGGTCTAGAGTTAATTCTAAATACGGTCTAGAGTTAATTCTAAGTACGGTCTAGAGTTAATTCTAAGTACGGTGAACCTTCTCTATCCGCGAGGGCGACGTTCTTGAAAACGCCTGCGAATGCCCAATTCGCGAATGTCAGAAACCTTGTCGCAATGGTACGAGTGAACATGGGGGGGGAAATGTTAAATGTTTCATAACAATGACTACAATAAATAATGATTTAAAAAGGATTTTTTAAAATTTACTTTGAGATGGTGCCGATGGAGGTGATGGTGCATAATTCAGGTGGATGACTCCTAGGGAGATACAGGTGTTGGATAACAACGCCACAGTTTTTATCATTTAAGCACTCTGGGGAGCACGAGCCGCAACACTTTCCCCGATTGCATTCGCGTTCTTTTTAATGGACCTCACAGTCGAGTCGTTTATAGCAAAATGTCGGCCTACCGCAGACACTCTCACTGGTGTCTCGTCAAAAATGTTACCTTTTCACTCGAACACTTTCCTCTGCCTTTTTTCAGCAGACACACTTTCTTCTCATTGGACGCTTGGGAACTGCTATCACTCCAGTAGTGCACACTGACTGGCGGTATCTGTTATCACTACAGCAATGCACACTGACTGTGGCGGTACCTGCTATCACTACAGCTGTGCATGCTGACTCTGTCGGTATGTGCTATCACTACAGCAGTGCATGCTGACTCTGGTGGTACCTGCTATCACTACAGTGGTGCACGCTGACTCTGGCGGTACCTGCTATCACTACAGTGGTGCATGCTGACTGGTGGTACCTGCTATCACTACAGCGGTGCATGCTGACTCCGGCGGTACCTGCTATCACTACAGCGGTGCATGCTGACTGTGGTGGTACCTGTTATCACTACAGCGGTGCACACTGACTGGCGGTACCTGCTATCACTACCACGGTCCATGCTGACTGTGGTGGTACCTGCTATCACTACAGTGGTGCATGCTGACTCTGGTGGTACCTGCTATCACTACAGTGGTGCACGCTGACTGGCGGTACCTGCTATCACTGCAGCGGTGCATGCTGACTGGCGGTACCTGCTATCACTACAGCAGTGCACACTGACTGTGGCGATACCTGCTATCACAACAGTAGTGCACACTGACTGTGGTGGTACCTGCTATCACTACAGTGGTGCACGCTGACTCTGGTGGTACCTGCTATCACTACAGCGGTGCATGCTGACTGTGGTGGTACCTGCTATCACTACAGCGGTGCATGCTGACTCTGGCGGTACCTGCTATCACTACAGCAGTGCATGCTGACTCTGGTGGTACCTGCTATCACTACAGCGGTGCACACTGACTGTGGTGGTACCTGCTATCACTACAGCGGTGCATGCTGACTGATGGTACCTGCTATCACTACAGCGGTGCATACCGACTGTGGTGGTACCTGCTATCACTATAGTTGTACATGCTGACTGGAGCGGTACCTGCTATCACAACAGCGGTGCATACTGACTGTGGCAGTATTTGCTATCACTATAGTTGTACATGCTGACTGGAGCGGTATCTGCTATCACTACAGGAGTACATGCTGACTCTCTAGCAGTATATATCGATTCTACAGAGGCCTAGTCCCATGCAGAGCCCCCGGCCTCGCCTAGATTGCCCAGCCGGCCGAGGTGACACCTTGGCAGGCTGGGGCTGGGCTGCTACACCCCCCCCACCGCCCGCTCTACAGTAGCAGTAACTACAAACTCTACAGTAGTATCTTCCTACTCTATAGTTGTATATATCGACTGTATAATAGTACTAACTTCACAGTGTAGTGGTGAGGCCTAGTCTCGTGCATAGCCCCCGGCCTTGCCTAGATTTCCCAGCCGGCCGAGGTGGCACCTTTGCAGGCTGGGCTGCTACCCCTTGCCCGCTCTACAATAATATCATCTAAGGACTATAATAGTAGCATCTACCGACCCTATAGTAGTAAGTGCACACATTTTTAGCATTTTAACGCGAATGAGAATTCCTCCCACATATCACGTGTGTGTGTTGCTCGGGCAACCACCACCGTGGAGCCTACTTTCTCGCGCATGCGCAGATGCGTGCTCTGGCGCCACCCTTTGTTGATAAAAGGGAATAAATTGTTAATGTAACTACTTTAAACTTGACAGATGTGAAATTCGAATTGCGCTTTCTCGTCCCGGGGCATACGGCGTGGTATCCGTGTACTTTTTCGATCCGTAAACCCCATAGTTTGTCAGTAAAAAATGTCACAAGGTACCCACGCAGACAGACAGACAAAAAATGCCTTTTATAGGTTGGATAACGGTATGCATAATACAGTGAAACTGCTCTCTTATTTTCATTATTATTTGTGACCTACCAATGTCTCCAGTCAGGATCAATCGATGACAATCCTATTACCTGCAGATATTTAACGGATGAGATGCGTTGCACCGTGAATTCCTCCTGTTTAATAATACTTATCTTGTCCGTATGCATCTGTGCAGATAGTTTTTTTTTGCTGTTTATAAATGCGGATAAGACGATATGAACAGCGCATTGAAAACGCGTACTATTTTATGTACTGTTTACAAAGTATGTTCACAAATCCACTCTGAGAAAGACGATGATTGACAGGGGTGTAAATTATTATGTCGATAGTGTATTTAAATAGAGGTTCTGCAGGTAAGTAGTTTTCGGTTTTAAAGGCATAGTTTAACAAGACAACACTTGCCGCCATCCTTCAAACCCATTGGTGAAAACTAGCAGAGTTTTTGTTTGCATTAAAATATAATGTTTATGCGAGAGCCGGGGCCTTATGGGGCCCCGGAGTCCCGCCATAAGGTTCAAATGTTCAAATATTAACAAATGTTAGTGAGTGTCTGGGTTATGTGCTGCCGCCAAGGAATGCGTTCACTCAGTGCCGACTTGGAGGCGGGATGATACGACTTGTTTAAACCAGGATTAAAGTAAGATTTGACTGAAATCCTAGTTTTAAACAGCAGCGGCGGGAGAGGGTGTGGGGATTGCTGTATGCGGAGGTTGAGCATGTTGTTGATGCATGCCTCTTGAGCAAGGAGTGCCAAATGCTAGGAATAGAACAGTGGTGACATTAGCTAGCTGGCAACTCGGTATGGTGCTGCCTGATGTGTGGGGCAAACTATGTTTTACAATTTTCTTTCTAAAACGTATCGCGATATTTTTTTTGTGCAGTTGACAGCTGTTTCTCTACCCTTTTGTAAATTTAAAAACGCTCAATTAAATTGCATGGTAATACTCCAAATCAATGTTTGCAGAGTACATTAAAAGAGCAACTTTCATTGGTGCAATGTTTACAGTTGTATTCCTATTTTAAACCTGACGAAGGTAATTTGCTACTAATATACGAATTGGTTTTTACCCTTTCTGGCAATATAACAGGTGTTAGGATGTTAAAACGCCAAACAGAAACCTTTTGCAAGGAATCATGTCTACATTAACCAAACATACTTGTATTGAACATGCAAACAAAAACACGCTCTGGTAATCTATGCATTGTCTATGAAACTGATTGGTCCACACCAGAGACAGCTTTCTTTAGCGCCGAGTCTCAAACCGCGTTAGATCAGAGAACGCTAAAAGACGAACGGCTGCTAATGTTACGCATGGTGCTTCGGCTGCATGAAAATCTCAGGCAGATTTCTCGCACTCATGTATTTTTAAATCCTTTATATTAAGTTGACTTGCTTGCTTGCACGCTTACGACCGTGCAAATCTTTTGGTCGTTTTTTAACCCACTTCCCGTGATCCAATCGAGCTGACATTTTGCACACAGACTCGTTGTGCGTGCGTGACAATTTATTTTCGTGAAATTTTTTTTCCTAAATTTCCCACTTTTTAGGAAAAAAAATGTCATATTTAATTTAAAATACCAATGTGATAAAATGAAACTCTTACTCAAGAAAAACAGAAATGAATAATAAAATAAAACCGATGCCACGCATATAAAGGATTTATAGTGAAAAACTTTGTTTTTACGGGTTAATTTTTTACACGCTTTTATTTAACTCACCTCATCTGTTGTATCCTCAAAAAATAAATCTTGTAACTCAATTTTTACACACTTACCAATGTGCTATCGACTGCAAACTTGGTATAGGTATGTCATACTGATGACAACACGATATTCTATCATAAAAAAAAATCCAAAAATATATTTTACACGCATTTATTTAACTTACTGTATGTGTTGTCGTATCCAAAAATCTTGTAACTCAATTTCAACCGTATTCCCAATGTATCGACTGCAAACTTTTGGTATAGGTATGTCATACTGATGATAATACTATATTCTATCATTGAAAATTTAAAATAAATATTTTTAAACAATCTTTTTTACGGCTCTAATTGTCCACGCTCAACTCACGTTGGCTGTAAATCACCACGTGGTCCCTGATGTCACGGCAAGCCTCGGGGAGTCACTCCGAGGGGCGAGGGATGTGGAAGGAGGGGAGGGGCGATGGGGGAAGGAGTCAGGGGGAGGGGCAGCTCGGATAGTACATTTAATTAAAGCGTGTTTAAAATTTAAAAAATATTTTATTCGGAGATACTGATGTCCCGATAGTGTTAACAGGAGCTCACTTGAGTAGTGTATTTGTTGACAGCTGCATTGGAGGGAGATTGGCTGATTGGTGTGTACAGCTGTATGTAATTAAACTGAAGGACTTTCTCACTTTTTACCAAATATCTTGACTGGGTAGAGGCCTCGGATGATATTCATGATCAGTCGAACAATATTGTTCATCGTGGTGTTCTTGATTTTAATTCCATCCATGGAACGAGTCAAACATGATCAGTTTATAAGGTTATTTTGTCTTCGCATAGCTAATTCGACGAGTCTTGATTTTAGTTACAGTGCAACATGTTGACTGCATCAGTGCTGGTCCATCGACACAGCAAGCCTGAGATGCACCAGAGACGTGATTGCACCTGACATCGACAAGAATTTACCATAAAGCAGAGTGTACATTTCCTTAAATGCGCATAAGGAAAGGAACGATTTAGTGTTACAGCATTTTGAGGTTTTTGTGGTTCTGGAAGAAATTTAAATGCAAAGTGAATACTGACGGATGGGTTTGCTTTCAGGTTACATCAGATGGCGTGATGTTGAATCCAAACGCTGAAGCTTGGCATAATCCCATGGAGGAGGCGGTGGGAGGGATGGATGGTGGAAGTGATGGAGTTGCAGTGGTGGAGCTGGACGGTGGTGGCTGCACCAAGGATGGAGCTTTAAAGGAAACCATCCCAGCATGTGCGATCGGTAAGCTTTATGAAGAGCTGTTAAGAATTGTATTCAAATGGAACACATTTTAGCACCCATGGCACCTGAAAATTACATGCCAGCAAAACACGCTCCAGTGAGGTACATTCGAGCCAGGCGCACCAAAGGTGGTAATCAAAGTGACCAATTATATTATCTAATAAAACCTATGAAACAGCACAAGTATAAACACAAAGCAAACTTCTAATAGGGTTTTTCCCCTTTTTTCTGGCAACAAAACTGACACCTTTTGCAAGGAATCATGCTTACATTAACCACAATGCGTGCAGTCAAATGCAAACAAAAAACAATACTCTGATAAGTTATGCATTGTCTTTCAAAGACAATGCATAAAAAATTGTCTTTCAAAGACAATGCATAAATTATCAGAGTTTTGTTTTTTGTTTGCATTTGACTGCAAGTATTGTGGTTAATGTAAGCATGATTCCTTGCAAAAGGTGTCAGTTTTGTTGCCAGAAAAGGGGAAAAACCCTATTAGTATATTTTGGTACTGGCAAAGGTGGTCCCATGACAAAGCAAACTTATAAATGATTTATGCTTTTTGTCGAAGTGCAAAAATGAGCAAGCGTAGAAAAAAAAAACCTATTACCCCAACTCATCCTAGTTCCTCGAACAATTTCTGAGGCAGATTTGTTTAAAAGTGTAATTTGCCCATATGCATTTTGTCAGTTCGAATGTTAAGTGGCCTTGCCGTAGGAACTACAGTCGGCAAATTGTTGATTTTTTTTTGGCATGACAAGTATACATGATTTGTGTGCTGCATGCATAAACTACTTAAAAAGATGAAGAGGTAAAGCTTCCACAGTTAGAAAATATAATACAGATTTTTTTAACCTAACACGTCTTTGGCCGAACATTACTGCCGTATGCATGGAAACGTCTGGAGAAAACCCCCCACAGGTTTTGTGTGCTCACCTGAAATGCTGCTTTGCCAAGAGAGTTAAACTGTTTGTACACACCGCATGATTGAGCATGTTTGCAATGCACACGTTTTCACGGGTGCGTGCGATATGTGTTTCGTAGCGGTCTATGCACGGATGAATGGCAATGGCGGAACGGAGACACCAACGGCGGGTGCGGACGTGCAGTCTCATCTTCACGCCGAGCCAGAGGAAGCCCAGTCCGTGGCCGTTATCCCACCGGGCGAACCCGACGGCCCCATCGATGAGCCTCAGGTCGCGACTGCTGAGCAGCAGCAGGATCCCCGTTCCAGTTCCCAAGAACCGCCTTCCAATCCGGCGCCGCTCGCTCCGGCCTCAACGCAGAGCCCACTGGCCGAGAGCTCATCCCCGGTCACTGGCACCGTCACCGCGCCACCCGAAACCCCGTGTCCCACCGCCAGCGCCACTGGCGACTTGCCTTTCGAGACGCAGGCCGCTGTGGCTCGCGAGCCGCACGGCGACGCTGCTGGTGTCGTTGGGGAGGTTCGGTTGGCGTTGGCAGCAGAGCCCGCGGATGCCTTGGCCACGGAGGCGCCAGCCTTGAACGGAGAGGTGGTTTTGCCGGTGGCGGCGGCGGCGGCACCGCAGGAGCCTTTCCCCGGAGAGTACGAAGCCTTGCAAAAGATAACGCAAATTGGTAAGGTGGTCTTGGCACAAATGGGCGCAAAACTGTTGGCAGCTTTATTTAGTTTGAATGTTTTTGTTAACTAAAATATTTGGCATTAATGAACATAATCCTCCCCATCTGTAAGAAACACAGGGCTGAAAATTTGAGGCACACGTACATTGACTTCCTCTCCATTTCATAGCCTGGCAACAGTGAAATGAAACATTTGAAGTTGATTTATATGCAAATCATTATTTATTAATAATGTTATACCAGTTTTCCAGGAGAATTGACCTTTTTTAATGCAACCATTATTTATTAATGATTGGTTATACCAGTTTTCCAGGAGAATTTACCTTTTTAAAACAATCAACGGGTTTTACTAAAATGCAGGCATTCTCCCGCTATACGTTGTCGCATAATGAGTTGTGTCACATCTAAGTTGCTGATGAATAACGGAACATTTGCCTAAAAGTGTAATGTTTCGCATACGCGTTCCTCTAGAAAATACGCACTCATTTCTTCGCGCAATATTGAAATGAGGAATTCACACGGTGGAAGATTAAAAATGCTGTCCAGCTGTCTTGGAGCAGAATTTCTTAAACATTCTGTAATCAAGCCAAGAAGGTTCATAGACGAGCCCAGAAGAGAGTCTTTTTCCTCTGGTGGCCATCGCTGTGGCTCTGGCTTGATCGCAGAGGTCGCAAACGGGTTTTAATTCCTTAGTCGTACCCGGCCGCACCAGGGTTGCAAACGGGTAGCCGTATCCTACCCGTACCCGGCCGGGTACGGGTATCGGGTACCTGATTGCGACCTCTGGGATGAAGCCATGTTGCAGGCGCGGGTGGGTTGATTCTAGGAACTTGAATTGTGAGAAGAGACAAGACGTTGGGAAATGAGTGACAGTCACTCACCAGTGACTCACGGTCTACCCGTACCTGGCCGCACCAGGGTCGCAAACGGGTACCCGTACCCGGCTGGGTACGGGTAGCCGGGGTATCGGGTAGGGTGCGGGTATCGGGTACCCGGTTGCGACCTCTGCTTGATCGTCAGATGAAGAGGCAGTTGAACCTGCCCCTTCGTCGTCTACATCACTCCACCACTGTTGGAGCAGCAGCAAGCCCTTAAACAATTTCTGGAAAAGTTTTATGCAACTCCTTTTGTTTATTAGGCGTTCAAATGTATGTAAATGTATATGCGTTTTTGGACACTTATGACATTTAGTCACATATTCACCAGATACAGGTAGGAACACAACCCCTGATTTTAACATGTATTCGGGAAGCTAGAGTTTGCTTTAAATAATTTAGAAGTAAGAAGCATTTCACTGGAACAAATTCCTTGCGTAAAGCAGGGATTGCTGTAGTTGTTAAGATTAATGGTTGTCTGATTGTCTAACTTAACACTTAATAAAGCCTGTAAAATGTCATAATGTTAAATATTTATTTTTAGGTGGATCCGAACTACAAGAAAGTAACACTATGAGTCCAGAGGAGCTGAAGGAAGTCCTGAAAAAGCAACTGGAATACTACTTTTCAAGGTACTTATCTCGCTGAACCGAACAATGTAAAAGTATGGTGTCTTTTGTCATGAGCTTAGAAGGTTGTTGAGCTGGCCAGGTGAGCATTGCTACCTGTTTGTTTATTGACAAGTAATGGATTTGAGTGAATGTTAAAGGTCACAATCACCAGCAGGTCAGCATTGTCGGGACACTTTAAATTATTGGGCAGTTAATAAAGATCAGGGACGCCATCAGGAAACAGACTACAGAGCTCAAGAATGTACTTGAGTTCCTCCCCCAGACCTGCTTCCATGTTTTTGTACAACTCGAACTTGCTACCGATTTGGCAAGATGAATGACGGTGAAGATTTCACGGCATGGACTGGTCTGAATTTTACATCCGAATTTGAGCAGAGTGGAAATTATGCTCTTCTGAGAAACGACCTGTCGCTCGATTAACTCTGATGGTCGTGGAGACATAACTGTTTAAAATCAACTTGAGGTGTCTATAAACTGAGTTGGCTGGAGAACTCAACTCCATTTGGTTGTGCATGAAAAGGAGTTCTAAGTCTCAATGTGGGGCTCTGCCCTTATTAAATAAACGTCTCGGCTCTCGCTAGGAATTTGCGGTGCATGCCCCATCATTTCTCCCTTTTAGCCCGCTTGTGTTGAGTGTCTAATATTGTGAGAAAATAGTTTATTGGAAAATATTTCTAAGGGAAAAGATAAATTATCGTGCGTGGCTATAATATATTTTTTGTTGCAAAGGGTTAAAAGTGAATCTAGGTTGAATCTGAAAGTCAATCTGGAACCTTTGTTGCCTCGGTGCACGCTGCTTGCATTCACAGAAACGTATTTCATCGGGAAGCTTCATGTTGCTTCTTTACTTGTAGCATCCATTACAGACGTGCACGGAGGGATACAGATTCAATTGAGTTAATCAGTTGTGTTTTCCTTGGCACAATTAAATTTTACATTTGCTGAAATTTTTGTTTTGCCTTTGACCATATCACCCATACTGCTATGTTCCCTGCCTTCAGACCGCACAGACTAGTACGGTGAACTATGGTCAAATAACGCCCCACGTCCAGCACTTTGCGGAGAGACCGTCATGCAGCGTTGCATTGGCTAAACGAGTCGACATGCACATGAATACTATGGGTCTTTTGGTCAAGTCACGTGGGTAGAAAAAATCTAATAGATGACGACGTTTCGATCGCCACACAGGTGGAAGACGGTTGCTTGTGCGGCGACCGTAACGTCGTGATCTTTCATAGTTTACCTACTTGACTTTACCGAAAGAACCAAAGAGCGTGGATTCCTGCAGTCATGAAAAGCTTCGAATCAAAAATGCACATGAATGTTTCTTGATATTTGCGTGAATTGTGACGATTCGTGTAATTAAAACTTAACCGCGTGTGCCGTTTTGATGTTGATGATGATTTGGTGAGTGTAGCGAGGTGCTGTGCACTGTGCGGCGGTGAGTAACGGAGGAGTGTGTACGATGTGCAGAGAGAACCTGGCAAACGACCTGTACCTGGTGTCCCAGATGGACAGTGACCAGTATGTCCCCATCTGGACCATTGCCAACTTTAACCAAGTCAAGCGGCTCACCTCCGACCTGCAACTCATCGTAGACACACTCAAGTGTGAGTAGTGCGCACGCCACCCTGGCTTCCATGGCTACAAGCAGAACGGAGCGGTACAGTTTGTGTTTGAAGTTTCCTTGTCCCGCATTGCCGTGTATACCCTCCTAAGGCCATAATTTATATTCTAGGAGATGTTTTTTTTCTTCTTCAGATGTTGTTTGGGAATCCAGGTTTCAACTACGGGCATGTAGCAGCGTTTTAATGCAGTCACATTTTGATGCTGTACAAATTCTAATTGCATTTTTGACTTTTGGTGGTTACGTGATCAACATGTTCACAATCCGTATTAAAGCATGGCAGTTTTGTTGATTGGATTTCACCGAAAACCTTTTTTCTATACTCTTTGGTTCTTTCGGTAAAGTCACGTAGGTGAAAAAGCAAAAAAAAACTAAATTAAATCACGACGTTTCGATTGCAATACAAGCAATCATCATCAGTTTATATATAAACTCCTTAGCCCCGACATTTCTCCCACTTTAGTAAAACATTTCTAGCTGTGATTTCCACACCTGATGATGATTGCTTGTGTTGCATTCTAAACATCGGAGTTTAATTTAGTTATTTTAATTTGTATTGAATTCTTATTTTTATTTTATTATTTTTCACCTACGTGACTTTACCGAAAGAACCAAAGAGTATCGATCCTTGCAGTTACGAAAACTTCTAATCTAGAATTATCTATCGTCTACTCACTCATGCTGAATTGCCAGCTCACTATCTCCTCTGCTGTGGCCGCATGCCCCTGAATCTTGGTGCACTTGGCTGCAAAAGCAGCGGCCTAATAGAGAAAGACATTCCCAGCCACAAAGATGATTGCGCACACCCTTACATTGTCATCCATTGAGGTTGGGCTGTTGTGGCATAGAAGAGCATAAAGGGAGGGGGGTGGGGGACCTTTGCTTGGCATGTAATTTCAGAAGCGCCGCTCTGCAATTATATATGTTTTGTTCATATGTTAAATAGTAGGGCGTATACCTGGATAGTTTGTGGGTTAGCTATTAATAGGATCTTCATGAACATTAACTGATTTGGCTAAATAGAAGGGGGTATTAGGCTTGGTAAAGGGGACAAAGGTTGAACTGAGTGTGCAAAGGCATGTGGGCGAGCAAAAGTAGCATATGATGCAAGAATGTTACTTTGCACACCATATAGCAGACGAGAATGTTGCAGTGCGCAACCCTTAGTCATCAGTCCTTGCTCATCGGTGGCGGTGCATCGGAGCAATGAGGCTTACGCAGTGATTGATGATGAACTTGGAATCCATTGGCCCAGTTTTCAGAGGAAACGAGAGCATTTGCAAAGGATGAATGGATGGTTGAACTGCTTTCACACCGTACATAGCCAACTGTGCTCTTCTGAGGTGTGGGTGAAGAACAGCAAACGACATGTCGACGGGCTTGTGTGTGTGTGTGCGCGTGTGTAGCATCTGCCCTGGTGCATGTGGATGAGAAGGGTGAGAGGGTAAGGCCGAATCAAAAGCGCTGCATTGTGATCCTGAGAGAGGTTCCCGCGAGCACGCCTGTGGAGGTAAGGCTACCTCCGCTGCTCATGGCCAGCATGGCGACAATGAGTTAGGGACTTTGGGGGGGTGGGGGGCGGTGGTTGGAGATGTTGGCACACACGTGAGAGTCGTGCTGGCGTGTCCTTGGCTTGGCAGGCATTTATTCTCTCCATTGGCTACTGTTGGTAGATGTGAGCTCTGTCACCTCCACACAGGCCTGCTATGGATAATTTTGTCACAGCAGTTGCAGTGCCATGATATGCAAAATAAGGAAGCAGCGAGTGTGTTTGTGTTTCCCTTTGAAAGGGAATGCTCACGTGGAGCTTTTCTATTATTAAACAGAACATTTGAAAATAAATGTATTTATTTACTAAACTATAATATATTGGCTGATTTCAGGAGGTTTATCAGTATTTTTAAGTTACTAACATTCCGGAAAATATATGTGCATTGACTCGAAGTAAAATACAGTAAAGCTGTTATACGGTGAAGAACACTTTCCTTAACGTTTCAGAAGATTTGCTTACATGTGTTCTCTGGTCTATGGCCACACTTTGCCCTATTGTTGTTCCAAGTTTCCAGTCAAAGTCCATGTTTCTTGTCCCATGTACTTTATGGCAGGTGATAATATGTACCAATTGAAGATGTTCTTCTTTATGCACATTGTTGAGCTGCGTTTCATGATCAAATTGAGTAAATATTTTCTTTGGTTCAATTAACTCGTTGTTATACAGGACTTGTTTCGCTCGTATCTTAAGTGTTCGTTTTTCTATTGTTTCCTGTAGCTTGTGTCCATTGGTTGTAACAATGTTTACGTAATCAGTGGAACTTATACTTTCACTGCTTCTCTTCAGTTCTCCAATCCAGTTTTGGGAAAATATCGTGAAATGTTGCTGTGAATAGCCTTGCCAAGAGGATATCTTCTTATTTAGATGATGCAGATCACACCTTCATTTTAGTTGAGCACAAACATTTGCAGGCATAGGGAATTTTGTTGAACGTATACGTCACGTATTCAACTGCATTCGTTATTCTAACTTTTCAGATAATATTTGCTATTATCCAAACGTTACTAAAATAGTGTTTTACCTATCAACTGGGTGGGAAATATGGCGAAACAGCGTATATTAAGTATTATTTTAAATTGTAATTTCTCAAATTATTAGTGCCACATGTTTTTATATTTCCTTATTTTAATGTCGATGTTAGAAATGTAAGTAATTTAAAACCTGTCCGTACATTGTGTATATTGCCATGTATACTGCTATTACCATTTGTCATAATTAAGCTGCCCTAATTACACATTGCTGAGAACACAACTTGGTTGTTTGAGCCATTTGATGCGAATGTGACACCACATACTTAGACTGCATTTGAGGTCGGCATTTTAATTAAAACTCCCTGAGATAATGGATCCCTGCTGAAATTGAAAATGAATGCACGTGTAATGCATATTTTATTCTTGAATAACAATACTCACACACACCTCTATGCTTTGGGGCCCTGATGCTGTATACGAAATATGTTTTCTTTTTATATTGCTTTATTGGAATTTATTTTTGCTTTATGTTTTAGAATACTGCTGTATGTAAATAGCTTCAGACTAAAACATTTTTTCTGCAATTTTAAATTTTTAACCAGATTGCTTTACCGAGTGTTAAGTGTAAAAATACACACTTTAAGTTAATTTCATTGAGCATATGTGGCGTGCATAATGCAAGGACCAAATGACCGGCAAGTAAAGGTTTTTCTCCGAGTCTGGAGAGAATGAAACCTGATTTGAAGCTTTCGTGACTGCAGGAATTACTCTTTGGTTCTTTCGGTAAAGTCGCGTAGAGAAGAGAGAATGAGCTTCTTTACTCTGTGGGGGAATGCAGGAGGTTGAGAAGCTGTTCACCAACGGCAACTGCGGACGGTTCGTGAGCTGCGAGTTTGCCCACAATGACAGCTGGTACATCACGTTTGAGACAGACGCCGACGCTCAGCAGGTGCGTGCACTCCCCGCGTGGAAAGTCCTGGCTCTGGTCTTCTCTCATATCTGCGTTGGTCTATCCATGTGCACACTGTCAGGCACTTCCAGCGCTTGATGTGTATCGCTGCTCATTTTGCTGCTCTTTGTTGCAAGTTGAATGGTTTGTGTGGCCAAGGGTTTCTGTTGAAGCCCCGAAGGCAATATTCAACCATTTTAAGGTCGCTAATTCTCTGCTTTCTTTATAAAATGGAGTTTTTTTTGGGTTATATTGCGTCAATATGTAAATGTGTCGTTAAAACCCACCACCACCCAACAGCCAGTTGTCACGTAAACAGAACGTGCCAATTCGTCACTAGTACAGCACACCCGTGCGTTGGATAGCCAAGCCACAACATTTTGCTGTGTCGGGTGGTGGCGGGTTTTAGCGACACATTTATATATTTACGCGATCTAATCCAAAAAAAACCTCTCATGGATGATATTGGTTGCGAAAGCCTGTGTGTTAAACTGCTTCCCTCATAGTTGGCAAAGCCTTCAGCCTGATTGCCTATTTGTCTCTATGAAATATATGTTTTGTACGTCATCTTGAATCGCATTTAGAAGCTAAATTAATCCAAATTGTATCGCATTCAAATGATGTCACAGCAGCCTAGTTTCAGAATGCTTTTTTCAGAAGTGAATGGTTTTTACAAGTTCCTCTGAACTGGGATTGCCAAGTGGCTTAGTATTTGAGCGCCTGTCACCGTTGGTTGTTGGTGGAGCCCCCTGTTTTGCACGCTTGGTAGAAATCTTGTACTGTGAGTACTGTCTACAGAGGAGCAGTCTTATTTTCCTGTGCATTCAAAACATGGACCTGAGGTTGCCAACGCACTTTGGAAGGAAATACTTTTTCTAGAGCAAGGGCGAATGTTCCCGAAAGTGTTTGCTTCACTGTTTTAAATCTTCAGTTGAAGTAAGCTCCCGTTAAATGGGATAATGAAAATATGCATGTTGCAGTGGAATGACGACAAGGATTTTTAGTTTGAAGTATTGAATCTTGCCGTCGTGTAACAGTTCTCGCATGGGAGGTCGCCGGGTCCATCTCCTGGCTCGGCAGTTGAAACAATAGTGCAGGTCTTTTTTAAATCCTTCATATTAAGTTCACTTGCTTGCTTGCGCGCTTACGACTGTGCAAATCTTTCGGTAGTTTTTTAACCCACTTCCCGTGATCCAATCGAGCTGACATTTTGCACACAGACTCGTTGTGCGTGACAATTTTTTTCCAAAATGTTCAACATTTTAGGATTTTTTTTAATATTTAATTACCAGTTGCTTAATGGTGGCAGGCAATCATCTGACCCATAGGTGGCAGCCATCTCAAGCCAGAGGACGAGAGGACTCTAGCCACCACGCATGTAAAGGATTTATAGTGAAAAACTTTGTTTTTACGGGTTAATTTTTTAAATCCTCCCATCTGTGTCTCCTCATTTCTGTAGAACTGCTTGTTGTGTTTAGTTTTGTTGTCCTTCGCCCGCACCTCCGATTAGCACGGTTGGCTACGTACGGTGCAAAAGAAGTTAAACATACGTACACACACAAGTGGGTGCACCACAGTCAAATGGCACGTCACTTGTGGTGGAGTAAACTGTGTTCCTTCACCTCTTCCAAGTCGTTTGACGAGCATGGAAGAGTGCCAAAAACACCTGCTAGAGATCCCTCGTGTGGGAAGGGGAGACCCTTTCGCCTACAGTGGCGTGAGCAAGTAGAGACTCACGGTTGCACATGAACATTTGGCAAGAATATATAGCAACGAGTGCACATCGCATTGGTGAAATAATGCTTCTTTATCACTTGTGGTTTGTATCGCGATGCAAAAGTATGAATCGACAACCGTAAAGCTCGTGTAGAAGGCATACCATGCATTTCTTAGAATCTTATTTAAATGCTGTACAGTCAGAAAGCGAAGCTCATTTGATGGAGTGATTTTTTAAAAACTTTTTTTATTTGCGTTTGGCAGGCTTACAAGTATCTGAGGGAAGATGCAAAAACATTTCTGGGAAAACCCATTATGGTAAGTCCCTTCTGCCTGTCTGTCACTCGTGACGTTGAGCCCATTGTTGTTCACGTACGGAGAGAATGGAGAAGCAATAACATTCTATTTCTGTGAACTTGAGTTAGAAGGACAGGAGACGAGAGGGTATTATGCCAAGCTGCAGCTCATGCTCCTGTTAATGAAGACGTTACATTGTACTTGCCAACTACCTCAATTACATAGGAATATAACCTTCATAGCTTTATGAAGTGTTAACGCAGCTCTTGAGCAGTTTCTGTTGTTGCTTATGTTTTGTGTTTGGCATGAATACCTAGCAGTGCGTGATAATGTTATAGACACCGTTAATTGGTTGACATAAAAAAAATGGTTACGTAGAGCAGCTTTAAATGTAGTTGTCCTATTCTGGGTCACTACATTGGTTAATTCTCATAAAAATATGAAGAAAAAAAAACACTTCAATACTAGTTAACACTTTTAATTTGATATTCTTCAGCATTGACACAAGCACATAGAGTCAATGCTTGTTGATATTTTTCTTTAAAGTGAGGTTTTGTGGCACCAATTTTCGCTTATCTTCAGTGCTTGTTTTGTTTTATTGCTGCTTTTGTTATTTCGGTGACCCAGGTCGCGCTCTCAAATGAGACTCCATATCCTGTTCTTGTAAGTTCTCACCTTGGTGAAACAAAACAAACTTGACGTGTGAAAACGTATCTCGTGCAGGCACGGATAAAGGCCAAGCCCATGGCCATGAATGTCTTCATGCCGAAGAACGGGCTGCGCTCGGCGGAGGGAGGTGGCGTAGCGGGTGGCGGTGGGGCAATTTATGCGCAGCAACAGCAGCAGCACCAGCAGCACCAGCAACAGCAGCAGTATGCGCCGACCATGTACATGCAGCCTGTGTACGCCCCACCTCCGGCACCGCCACCCCCCACTCAACAGCAGCAGCAGCAGTACCCGCTCTACAGCGTGCTGCCCCAGCCCTGGTCGGCCACACCGCAGGGATATTTCGACACCGCATCTCTGGTAGGGCCGCTTGCTAGTCACAGGTTCCCTCTCTCTGTGTCTGGCATTTGTGTTGCTCCCACCCTCCTCTGGCGGTCCCGATCCAGTGATGGAAACCACGTATGCTCGTATTGATGGGCTTTTGGAGTAGGCAGCGGTGGCGCGCGGTGGTTAGCAGCACTGCCACAAGTCTGGCGACCGGAGTTCGATTTGCAGCCGTGACTGGCATCATTGGCGAGTGATCTATCAACCGGTCCTTGACACGCACCCATCCCACTTTATTGATCTGCACTGACCGACGTGGTGAAGTATGGTCAGACAAACCCTTTGACCCACACGGCGTGGAGAGCACTTCATCCATGACTGGATTTGTAACAGGCTGGGAATTGCGTAATTTTTGAATGCCCGACTTGTAGTTGGAACATTGCGAGTTCAAATCCCAGTTGGTGATTGGTTCATCACTCGATGGTTAATGTTATAAGTACCACTTTATGGGAGTCACCAGTGGTTGTCCTTTCGAGGGAATTTTCATTTCTGTAGGAATGTGGAATTTTTATAATTCATCCCACAATTTTATTGAGGGACTGTTGTCTTGGTGAGGTTTGGGACTGTTTTTGCTGTTGTTTTACTGCCTTTCCCAAGCGTGGGAATTGATGTACTAATGCAATTTGAACTTGTATACAGTTTAAGGGGCGCTAAGGTGGTGTGATGTTATCTTCCTTGCCTGGTATGCAGGAGGTCAGGGGGTTCAATCCAGACCCTGACGCTTGTATATTTGGAGTTGGCATGTTCTCCCCGTGGTCGCGGGGATTTTTCTCCGAGTCCTCCAGTTTTTCCCTCCACATTTAGAAACATGCATCGAGATTATTTGTGTTAATTAGCTGCTGTAAATTTCCACGTGATTAGCCACTTTGTTGAGTTATCATTTGTGGCTAGGACCCTTCTGAAAAATTAATGAATGCCTCAGTGGTTTTTGCCTGGTAGGTTCAGGATGGTTTAGTGTTATTTGCATCTGTTTGGGTGATGTGTTTACCTTTCCAATACTCTGCACTCCTATCGTGTTTTTGTATTGTTTGTTGTTACGTTCTGATCTGCCCCTACTGCACAAATGTGAAAAGAGCTTTATAGCTCCTCTGATTCCTCCAGTATAAATATATATTCTGATTATTACGCTGAATCAACTTGGAATTCGTGGTTTAGGAGTGGATGCCTGCTACTCCAGTAGCTGATCTATAGCCCATGGTGAAGCTCCTGTGATAATATAAATTAACGGTGTTGACATGCACTGTCTTCAATGTAATAACATTTAATTTTAAGCTAGACATGTATGTATTTTGATTAACATCTGTCAGGAAATCAAAGTGTAATGCTTGTTGGTAGCACTTGGCTATAATATCATTAATATCTGAAATGAACATTTAGGTATCGTAAAAACTATTTCTCAAAAACAAAGGCGGTGAGTTTTTTTGAGCTGCAAAGTTATGCAAACTTGCCTTCTTGGTGCTTTCGGTAAAGTCACGTAGAAGGGAAATAATAAAATAATAGAAATAAAACAATAAAATTCTTCACATGAGGACGGCTGCTTGCATTGTGGCCGAAACGTCGTGAGAATTATAATGTTTTATTTTTATTATTTTATTATTTCCCTTCTACGTGACTTTACCGAATGAACCAAGAAGATGAATCCCTGCAGTCACGAAAGCTTTAAATCGAAATCAAACTTGCCTTGTTTTTTTCATTACTTTAATGAAGATTAAAAGCTAAAAACACTAATACCTCTTGTTGTCTTTTACATATGCACCCAGTTTGTGTGCCCCGGGCTTGTCCGGTATGCTTTATGGACGGTGAAAAGTATATTTTAGTTGGGTCAAGCTAGTCAAAGGCGGCACTGTTAACAACAGTGGTGTTTGGGACGTTACTGAATTGACTTTGGTGTGTGTTGCGGTGGCATCACTTTTAACATTGCCGTCTTCACTTTATTTACAGGCGCAGGCGACGCAGGCACCACCTGTTTACAGGGGCGACGTGTCTGTGGATGCGTGGTTGCATGTGCAGGCTTTTCAGAATGCGACCTTCCTGAATGGGTTCTCAGCGCCCGGCCACTACAAGCACGGAAACTCGCTGCCTCACAGGCATTTCTCCAGCAGGGGCAGGTGAGGGGGGGATGTTCCTGGTGTGCTTGATTGGCGTGCCGATTGCATTGTGCTCATTTGCAGTTGTTCGGTTTTGAAATCCAAATGTATCTGCTCCGGACAAGCATTGGGGGGGTGTGTAGCATTTTTATTGGTGGGCGAAGCGGTGACGTGTGGCTTGCACACACCGCAGTGGCTAGAACTTGACGAACCGAGTTTGGTGCCTAGCCGTGTCTAACGTAAGTGGTGAGTTATACAGGTAGGAACAACAGTTTTCCCTTCCTCTTCCCTCCCCTCGCCTCTCAACTCCGCCTTCCCCTATAGCCCTTTCGTGACCTCACATGCCCATGCCCTCTGTTACAGTCACTCATTCCTAGGCACTTTTGTACCCCCTTGCCATCTAAATTACTCTTTTTGTTACTACTTTGAAACTATGTAAAGTGTCTTGAGCTAAGGTACTCTATAAATTTAAAATAAGATGTCCTTTTTCATGAAAGTAGAAGATTGAGTACACTACTCCACACAGCGCGTACTTGGCTCACTTAATCCTACACTGATATTGATTGACTCGTTGATGATGGGTGGTGTCCTTTAAAGTCAGGTCACAACTCGTACCCATTGATTGACTGTTTTAATAGTTCTGACCAATAACATTTCTACGTGCCTGCAGCTGTTGCACTGAAAACGTTTATTAAATTTGGCAGGTTTTTGTACGAAGTTTTAACATTTTTTGTATGCCAATATTTTTTGTTTGTTTCAATGGGTTTATTTAATCGTGATAAAATAATAGATACTGCCTGAATATAGATACGTCACCCACATGACTATAAAGCACATCTCTTCAAAATTCTGCCAGAATCGCCTAATGAAGCTGGATGTAATTACCAGCGAAATTTCGTACTCAAATTGTTTATTTTGTGGATTTACTCTCCATCACATTCGTGGGCTGAAGTAGTAACTTATTTTCACGTGTTTATGTGACAAACCTTACTGGTTGGCTGTGTTGGGTGGTGGTGGATTAACGATACATTTGAATATTTATGCGATCTAACCCAAAAAAAGTATTTCATGAAAGCTTTTTCTAGGCATGTTTGCGTACGCTCTCTGCGCTTGTGTAATCGACTGTGCCGCGTGCGTGTTGTACGCAACGTGAAAACAGGGGCGGCGGTGGCGGCGGTGGTGGTGCCAAGTCACACATGAGGAGCCACATCGACAAGTTGTCGTCCTCCTTCTCCGATAGCAGCGGGGGCAGCACCGCCACGGCGCTGGCCTCGTCCACCTCTCACTTCACGCAGGACCGGGCGCCGCTTGCCAACGGGGGGGACGGGCGCGGCGTGCCGCCCCAGCGAAGGCCCCTTAGCGCCGGCGGCGGCAGCGCCGTCTTGGCCGCCGTGGGCGGCGGAGTCGGTGGCGTCGGCAGTGGCCACCGCGCCAGCTCGGAGGGCGGCTACAGATCTGGGGCAGAGCCGCACTACCGGGCAGTTTACGAGCCGATAGCACGCACAAAGTCGGAGACATCCTACCCGCGGAGAGATGAGCCCTCGCCTTCACGCCGAACGGAAATAGACCTCGTAGACGCCAGCCTTGTGTCCGCTAGAGGAAGGTATGTACTCAGAGTTTGATTGGTGGGGGCGGGGGCATGGGGTTCAAGTGTTGGTTTTAAAGCTTTTTATGGCGGTTGCTAAGTGGATGCATTAAATTGTATAAAGCAAAGAAGTCGGTAACCCTGGGAATCACAGTAAGGACTGTAGGCGAGTGTTAATAAGGGTAGGAGATTGTTGTAATTGGCAGCAACGATATTTACTACTATGAGCCAAGAATGTCTGTGTGTCCCGCGCGTGACGTCACTCCACGTCGGCCAGCCCCCCTCATTAATACTGATGAACAGGTGACGTCTTCCAAATGGACACCCCCCCTCATTAATATTAATTAGCGGGTGACGCCACTCTACATGGGGGGGCGAGGCGCCTCCTTCCCCCTCAAAGTCAACTTACAACCCTCACTCGCTACAAAGGCAGAACCCTCAGGTCAAAGTAAAAAGGACGTCATGATGAACAAGGGATTATAACCTTCAAATGAAACAAGTCTGTGTCACCGCGGCCTTACAAATTGCACACGAATTGATGCAATGAATATATCACGTCGCGGTCTGCTTTTCGCTTGCAAGTTTCAGATTTACTGCAATACACCCGTCGTCCTTGGACGGACAAAAGGCTAGTTAACATTTCAGGGGTCAATCGGGGGCAGCAGTCAAGCATACTCTGTTTTTTTTCGGTAAAGTCACGTAGGTAGTAAAAAATAAAATTAAAATAAATTAAATCACGACGTTTCGGAGGCAACACAAGCTTCCTCCGAAACGTCGTGATTTAATTTATTTTATTTTTTACCTACGTGACTTTACCGAAAAACCGGAAGAGTATTAACCCTTGCAGTCACGAAAACTTCAAATCTAGAAGCAGTCAAGCAGTTCATCCGGTGGCCTTCGGATAAGTGTCTCTCGACATCTCAGAATAAACGCAATTGACTAAACTTTCTCGAAGTAAAGACGTGTCGCTCTTCAACCCTTTTGTGTCGTTATGAGAGAGAAAGGTTCGTAAACGCAATTCTCTTTCAGGAAAACTTTCAGAGGGAGAAGACGGCGGGAAGATGACAGGACCAGCGTAAGTTTTTACCCCTTTCACCCGTTGCATGTCTAAGATGCTTTTAGAAATCTTCCTGCCATCTCCTTTTGGTTGCGGTTTATATGAACATAATCAATTTGTATTTGAAAAAATAACGGGCCTTGTCCTTTCTGGCAAGAATACAGGTGTGTTAAGATGTTCAAACACCAAATAAGCACCTATTGCAAGGCATCACATCTGCATTAACCACACATGCTTGTGGTAAGCATGCAAACATACATGCTTTGATGATATGTGCATTATCTTTGAAACTGATAGGCCTACATAAGATACAAGGCCATAATGGAGGCTGTCTCACTGGTGTTAGATCAGAGAACGTCAAAAGGCAAAACAACACATGGGCATTGCAAATTTCAAAACATGAGTGGCTCTGGTCGAGTGGTTTAATTTATGAGACCTTTTTTGCTCGTATTAAGATGATGAAAAACAGCTTGACTGCCTTTTAGTCCATGGTATTTGTGAATTATACGTTTCGATATAAATTGTTCTCCACATTGCCTATGTACGCAATATGCGTCAATTGATTCAGCCCCTGGTGTTCGTTTCGTTGGAGTCCCGATTTTCACATTTTTACCATATATTTGTTCATCACGCCATATGCACGTACCGCACCTTGTACTGGACACGCCCATGCCAATATTGCACGTGAAAAAAACCAACCCCTTCACGTGGCGGAGAGAAACTGGACGCGACAATATGGAGGAGTCTTGACGTGTAGCTCGAACAACAATGAGCTGAGGAAGAGGCTGATGAAGCGATACCACCACCACTTGTATTAAGTGGCATTCACTTTCACAAGGAGCTGTACCACCACCAGCAGAAGACGAAGAAAAATGCTGTCCGGTGGTCTTTGGACAGATTTTCTTAAACGTTCTGCAATCAAGCCAGAAGGTCCAAATAAGAGCCCAGAAGAGTGGCAATTTTTTCCGGTGAACAATGATGTGAACACTAGCTTGATTGTCAGATGAAGAGGCATTTGATCCTGACCCCTTCGTCAGCATAACTCCACCACTGCTCAGCCCAAGAGGCCTCGATCATCAAGCTCTTAAATAAATTGTGAATAAGTTTCATATCATAATTTGTACTTATTAGGCGTTAAAATGTTTGTATCTTGACTTAAAGTTTTCGTGACTGCAGGAATTCATATTCTTTGGGACTTTCGGTAAAGTCACGTAGATGGGTTGAAAGAACGTGACTTTACCGAACGACCCAAAGAATATAAAAATGTGTGTACTTTTATATGCATTTTTCTACACTTCATGACATTTAGTCACATTTTCACTATACATCGTCTAGGAACGCAACCCCTGATTTTAACATTTTCTCTGGGAAATTAGGGTTCGCTTAAAGAGTTAAGTAGCATTTCCCGGAACGCATTCCTTCTAGCGGGGGAATCCCCTATTGTAGCAAGCCTCGTGTACAGCAGCCCTCTTGCACACTGGGTGGCGCTGTAGTACAATAAAATCGGGACACCCGACGAAATCGCCGATCAGCCCATGTATGGAAGACAGTAGGCATGGCGGTGCCTGTAGGGGCATGTCTGCCCATATATGGTCTTGTGGATTGTGACTCGAGGTGTATTGTAATCGATTCTGCTCATAGTCGATCCGACAGCCACGTTAGTGTCGATTCATCGAGGGTTAATCACTGCGTCAATTCATTGGCCAAGGGATCCATGGATCGAGTTAATCTCATTGGTTGGTCAAGTGAAATGCCCCCATTTTTTTTGAACGGCTAACATCTGCGTGACCGGTGAGCCACTCGCAGTCTGTTTTTATGGCATGACAGCGCCGCTGCGAATTGGTGACGCGCGACGCCTTGTCCCCAGCGTGAGCTTGCGTTGCCTGCACCGTCTCGGCAGGTCACCCCCCAGGCCTCGGCAGAGCCGAACCAGCCGGTGCCACCGCTACTGGCTGCTGCTGCTGCTGTAACAGCGACGACGTCAACGGCGGCGCCACCGCTGCCGCCTCCCCCCCCGCCGCCCCTGCCAGCGCCGTGCGCCAAGCTGCTGGAGCTGGTGCCGTCGGATTTCCCCCCCTTGCCGGGTAGTGCCCTGGCAGCGCCGGGGGCCGCGGCGCCGTGCGTGCGAGAGGGCGGCCGGCACGAGAGCCGCATGGCGGACGTGGTGCGCTCCGGCATCGGCAAGGTGAGGCCACGGCGGCGGCAGAGGCGCGTGGGCTCCCGGGGGCCGCCGTTGTTGATTTGTAATCATTTAGAGGCGTCCAAGTGGGACGAGCACTAATGCAGTGGTTCCCGCACTACACACACACACACACCACAGTCTTCCGTGACCTAGGTTTGATTCCAGTGCTGGTGCTGGGCAACCCCCCCAATTTTTTCACCAACCCGCATTGACCGGTGTGGTGAAGTATGGTGAAACCTCTGACCGACACGGTGTGGCAAAAGCATCAAATATTGATTCTCATAGCTGTGAATTATACATTTAACGATTCATTCATTTATCAATTACAACCAATTCTTATGCTCATTATACACGCATCGAATTGTGCATATGAGCTTCAATTATATGTAACACATTAAATTTGTCAGAACATTAACAGGTTGATGCGCGCATTTTCTTTTTATGAATGTAAGATCAAAGATAAGCCACAGTGTGTTCCGACTGGCCATGCAAGTGGCACCGCACTGTGGTGGTGGTGGGTTTAAAGACCCATTTATATTTACGCGATTTTAAAAAAACGTATGGATAATATTGGTCGCGAAAGCCTCCGTGTTAAACCAACCCAAACTGTGGACCGTGTCGTAGACCACTAGTCCACGCTCCTCAATGGAGCAATGGCCAATGTACACAGGCTCTCTCCTGAAACCCTCTCGGGGCTATCAGAGATCGACATTGGCATTTAGCTCCTGGACATATTGGCGCGTGCAAGAATAGAATATGCAAGTTCATCATTAGACCTCCTTTGCCAGTACCAAAATATAATAATAGGGTTTTTCCCCTTTTTTCTGGCAACAAAACTGAAAACTTTTTACAAGGATTCATGTCTGCATTAACCACAATACTTGCAGTCGAAATGCAAACAAAAACACACTATATGATAATATATGCATTGTCCTTGAAACTGATTGGTCCACACCAAGGGACGGCTTTCTTTTTTAAAGAAAAGGTTCCAGTTTTGTTGCCAGAAAAAAGGGGGAAAACCCTATTATAATATGCAAGTTTGTATGCATATTATTATTATGACTGCACTCATTGACCCGGGTATGCTTTGCCATGTCTCATGATTTTTTCAGGGGGTGTCTTGCCAACCTCTTTTGGTAGGGGGGGCAATAGTTACTGTGTATATTCCGGTTGAGTAATTTGCGGAATTTTTTATGCGAATTTTGTTTTTCTACTGATGCTAATAAAGCAAACAAAACTGCACAACTAAGAGACAATAATGAGAAACTATACAATCCATGTTAACGACGAAATAAAACAACTCATTCCGGAATCACGGTTGAATCATGGCAGTTCATATAATTATTGCATGAATTGTTATGTGCCTTGTGATAATGTATTTTTTATTTGAATTCAGAAGGTAATGTACTGGTAGGGAAGTACTTCCCATCACGAATGGTCTGACCCAGTGGTGGTATATGTTACGTATGCAGCGAAAATCACACTCTATCAAAGGACAATGACCGTTTTTTTGATGCACTTGTACTCAATCCGTCGATCCTGCATGGATGATGAATATGCTCTCCAACCGGGGCTTGAAGTTACTCCCTCGAGCATGGGATTTAAAACAAGTGCACCGAAGAAAGCCATCGGAACATTGAACATTTTGTGGACGGTTTTTTAGAGTGGCCAAGCAAATGTTGTAGGATGTGTAGCGATCGGGTGACTCGTGTTGTTTCTAGAAAGTAGATATTTTTGCTGCCCGATGATGACCAAAGTACCGCGCTGTGAGGGAAACCCGACAGGCCAAGGACCCGGCCCTCAACTCCCCCCCTACTCACCTCTCCACTGCCTGTGCCACTATCTCATTCGATTGTTCATTGCATCCACGTGTCGTTCTGTCTCCACTCGTCACCATCTCCCCTCCCCCCTCCTCCACAACACTCCTCTATTTCTCTGTGGACGGGCTCCTTTGGACTTGACACGGGTCCCTATGATAACACAGATTATGAGATCTGAGGGCAGCACTTGGGATGAATGCAATTATTAGTTGCAGTTTCTATCGTGCGATTTTAATTATATTGATTATGAACCATTTGAAATGTGAAATCGATTCTTAAATGCCAGTGTGGTGTGCTCATTCGTCTGCAATTTCATGCTCCGTTTTTTATTTATTTGAAACAATAGACTTTGCACGAGGAAACTTTCAAATCCGTCACGATTGACCGTGAACTTGCGGGGCGAACGGGGATGGTGGGGGAGAGGCGCACTTTGGTCAAATTGTCGGTTGTGTAACGTTTGGCTGCTTCTTGACACGCGAGCTAAACAGAAACTTGGTCCCTGTTGCTGTGCTGCGTCTGGCGTGCGCAGGGCGGGAGCGTGAACGGCGCAGCGGTGGTCGTCGCGGCCAAGGTGCCTCCGGCCCAGCCTCCCTCCGTGGCCCCTGTCTCTCTGCCCCCCAAGCCTCAGAGCCCCTCCCCGTCGCCACGTGTCACATTTGGCAGGTGGGTGTTTGCGTTTTATTTAACCTTGGCATGTGCCAGCTGCGTCTCAACGTGATGCCCCCATTCGGGCTGCGAAGTGTTGTGGAGTCCGGACCTCTTGTGAAAAAGTTTATTAAGACTGTTTTGATTTGACTGGTAGGAAATTGCGTTGAATTCCCTCTTGTGTGTTTTACTTTGAGAAGTAATTAAGGGTATTGGCAGAGCTGTACTAACGTTTGTTTTCGGGCACTTTCATGATATTGCTTTTTCACACTGGCACTTAGTTGTTTTAAAATGATTTTGTGGATTAGTCAATTGAGTTAAGGGTCAGGCGATCGGATCATCCCTGAAGAAAATTTGGACGAGTCGCAGCATTCAGATTGGAACGAAGATCAGTCTTCTGCATTCTCTTGTGTGGCTATTTGCAACACATGGTTGTGAAAGTTAGACGGTTACGAAGAACGATGTGGCACGGATAAAAATGCCTTTGAAATGAAAGGATTCGGGTGGATATTACATGTATCGTGGACTGAAAATAAAACAATGAATGGGTTCTGGAGAAAGCTGGTGTTCAAAGAAAACTGTTAGAGGTGATAAACTGAAGAATGCTCTCCTACTATGGTTGTTTCATGAGAAAACATGGAACTTGTTTGGAAAAGCAGATTAGGCAAGGCACAATACCCGGTTCATGTGCACGAGGAAGACCAATGATCACGTGGGTAGATAACGTCAAAGCGTGGACGAGGCTCACGCTGGGACAGACAATGAGGATGGCATAAAACCGATGTACATGGCGAAGAATTGCCCATGGTGTGGCCACCCCTCGGAACGAGGATGGCTGATGACAAGACAAGAGGTCAATTTAACATTTCTCACCTTTGGTGCCTTTCCACCAGCCATTGATACATTCACATAATGTGTTGGATTGGGGGGGAAGCATTACCAGGGTAGAACATTTAACAAATTGTTATTTCAAGAAATACATTAATTGTCATGTTGTTGCATTCTAAGTGTAAACATTTTGTTATTCACCGTTTTAACTGACAGCTGAAAGCATTTTGCAAGGTCAGAAAATAGGAAGATGATCTTACCTCTCTTCAGCAGAAGTTGTTGCCTCGTTTTGCTGTCACTTGCTAAATGCAGTGCCTCGCCCAATGATGACCAAAGTACCGTGCTGTGAGGGAAACCCTACAGACCCTCCTCCCTCTCAACCTGTCTCCACATCGACCACTCGCCATCTCTCTCCACTGTTCATTTCACCCGAGTTTTGTGCCGTCATCATAACCATCAATCCTCATTTTCCCTCTCATCGTCACTGCTTTGTCTATCTCTGGATGGGCTGCTCGGTTCCTGGACGGGTCCCTGTGATCGCACAGATTGAGATGTGAATGCAGCACTTGGACATTATGCAGAAGTGTGCCATTGGCCTCTTTCTTGTACTCTTAGGTTTTTTCGGTAAAGTCACGTAGGTAAAAATTAAAATTAATAAAGTAAAATAAAAAATCACGACGTTTCGGAGGCAACACAAGCTTCCGTCTTCAGGTGGAACCGTCACAGTACGATTGCTGTATCTTTACTTGATATCAAGTAAAGATACAGCAATCGTACGTGACTTTACCGAAAAAACCTAAGAGTATGAATCCTTGCAGTCACGAAAGCTTCAAATCTCTCTTTCTTGTACTTTTATATTTAGCTATATTAGACGTGTGCTGATGCATCAATTCATTGGTTTAAATAGAATCTCAAGGTCACGATTACGTGTGTAGAATTATGGCTGTCAAAATCGATAGTTTGAGATGTATGCAAACCTCACACTAATAACATGGGAAAGTTACATTTAGCTAATGGAGTTAACAGAGCTGTGCAAAGAAAACCCAAAGGTTAAACAATACAAAGCAGATGGTGAAAATGAGAGAATAAATGTTTTAATTTATTCGTTGCCTGGAATCTTGATGTTGGACTATACTGTGAATCGCATTACGCCCCAACGCTACGGATGGTTTTGTATACGTGTGTGTTTGCGTGCGCATGTGATGTGTCCGTTAGTAGTGAAAGCTGCGTCTCCAGGGAGAGTGTCCTTCCTGGGCCCCCTCACCTCCAGGAGGCTTCCCCACCGGTCATCGGCTCAAGCCCGAGTTCAGCCCCTGCAGTGTCTCAGAGCAAACACAGCACCAGCACGACTGTGAGCCCCCACTGCCTCTTTCCCACCTTGACGTTTACCGCATTACTACAATCAGCAGCAGTAGCTCAACCAGTGGATTGTGCATGTTCACTACAGTTATTATTGATGCGGTTATTTTTTACGCTGTCCAATGAAGGTAGAAAGCATCATTACATTAGATGTCTTCTTCTTGGTTCTTTCGGTAAAGTCACGTAGAATGGAAATAATAAAATAATAAAAATAAAACATGGAAATAATTTAAATCGAAAGATACATTAGATGTGTCCATCTGCAAGGTGCAATATGAACTCAACTTTTGTATAAAGTTGTTTAATCCATTTGACCAGTTGTCAATAATAGCAAAGGGTTGTTCAAAACTTGCAGACATGATCCAGAGTTCCATAGTTCAAGTATGCAAATACATTTTGCCCTGGCAGTTACTTCTGAACACGTATGTATGTGGAACTTCTTTAGCGCACCGTATGTTGCCAACTGTGCTATTAATGAATAAGCACTTTCAAACACATGAACGCATGGTTGAAAGTGATAATTGATCCATGCGCAACCTTGGTTTTTTCTCATCCTTGTTTTGTTTTAATCAGGAACCAAAGAAGCTGAGTTATGCCGAAATTTGCCAGAGGCCTCCCAAAGAACCGCCTCCCATGCCTCCACCTTCAAGCGCCAGCAACGGTGTATCGGCGGCGGCGGCCCCAGGAGATGGGGAGGACTGGGAGAATGGCGTGGATGCGCACGGCGGCGCCACGACGCCGCAGGGTGGCAGCACCGCCACGGGGCCTCAGGGCGGTGGCACGACGGGCCCCGGGCCGGCAGAGAAGTGGAGGGGGCGGGACACGCATACGCGACGGCCGCCGCCCGCTTCGTCCCGTCGGTACTCTCCACCCGCGGCGCATGGGGCCGCGCGGCGGCCGTACAGAGGTGGCTACCACAGCGGACCTTTCAGGCCTTACGTGGCGCAGGCCCGGACCCCGCAGTGAGGGCTCTGGCTGAAGAGAGGAGTCCGATGCCGGTGGCCTCCATTGGTGGGGGTCTTTGCAAATCTGAAGGGACCCCATTAACATTGAGACTCTTAACACTTGAGAGAGAGAGAGAGAGCAATGTACGGAGCACAGAGACAAGTGAAAGCAACTTGTAAACCTCTTCTTAATCTCCCTAAAACACCACAATGAGCCATATGGGACCTACAGAATGATGTGGATCTATGGAGTAAGCAAATAACTGTGAAGCAAGATCGCTGACATTTCGATCTCCAAGGAAGAAATGCGACTTTGCTGTTTAGTCAGACATTGTGCGCTTGAAGAAAGCCTCTTGATTTCTTCGGGCTCTTAGACACAATGCACGAGTAAATTGCAGCGCTGTTTTGTACATGTGCAGGAGGGAGGCTGTGGTCTCGAGGAACCTATTGCAAGCAAGGAGGGGGAGGGGTTGGTGGGGGGGAGGCAGTGTGTGCTTGATGGACGTGGTGGGTGGCCCTGTCGAGAGAAACTCGCAACACTGCCACTCGGTGAGCCGCAATGCTGGCAGGCGAGAGACGTTCAATACAATCATCCGGACGTCTCCTGGAAGAGTGTAGTGTATATGTAAGCACACTAGCTATGTACCAAAAGCCATTAACTGCTTTTGGGGGGTGGGTGTTTGTGACCTGTGATGTACAAAAAATGAATTCCCTTAATGCGAAGTGTGAACATAGTTGTATTTTTGCGCTACTGTACAGACACCTTAATTGATTTGCTTAGAAGACAATTTTTCCGTGAAAGCTTTGCGAGTTGTCACCTTCCAGCGTGTCCCCTCCGTCGTGCCGTCTCTGGGCAGATTGGCGTACGCACAGGGTTTCAGGTGAATATTGTTTCTTCAGTTCAGGAATCGGGAGGTTTTGGCCTGGTAGCTACTGTAAAGACATGGGCATCCGGACCGTCCCAGGTGTGTCCACAGCTTCACCTGGGCTCGTGTGTCCTTTAGCACTGTCAGCTGATCGTGCCTGAATGCCAGTTTCTTAAATTTCAGACACGCTTGTGTTGCTGCATCAATTTTCAAGATGGCTTGGTGTTTTTTTATTTACTTACCGTTATATATCATCGCGCTTTTGCTATACATCAACGTGCTTCTCTACTTCTGTGTTGCTCACTCGCCTATGATGGCGCTTCACAGGCGACGCTCAAGTAGTTGCTGTGCTTCTCTGCAGGCTGTCTGCGGCCAAATGTGTAAATGTGACCAAAGGCTTTTCAGGCACTTAGCTCAAAGGCCTGGCCTCCACGTGAGATCCAGATGACAAAAACCAGCTGCACTCTCTTTAGCCAGGCTATTGAAACTAGTGGGCTCAAAGAAAACCTAAATTAAATATACATTTTTGGCTCCAGAATTTTTGTTGAATTTCCATTCCGGAGGGTGCGGCAATGTCGCTAGCGTGCGTCATCCAGGCGCTCGCAGGAAGGGGCCTGAACGTTAGAGCGTGGGTTTTTTAATGACGCCGAATATGAAATGCTCGTATCGGAGTGCAGTGCCTGAAGAAGGCACAATTCCTATTCTACGTTGTTTATCGAACTGCGTTGATCGTTGATTCTAACAAATTTACCACGAAACACAGCCCCCCCTCCTCCACCCCCTCACTAGTCTAAATAAACGGTTGTGCACAAGAGGGTATATTTCACAGCTGTGAGTGATGTCAAACAGCAACAAACTGAGTGGTTTCCCGTCATCACCAATAGCCTGAGATTGACCTGACATTTCCTGGAACGTGACGCTGTGGGGGATTACACTGTTGTGTTTTATTCTCGCTCTGAGGGTGATTCTGTAGCAGGTTTCACAATTGTGATCACGTTGGGCTCTGCTTTTGTGTAAGAAAGACCCAACTGGGATCGTCAATGTCACATTTTGGGCTCGTGATGTAGCCTTTATGTTTTTATAGTTTGACCGTTGTGTACCGTATTCCCTCGCTGTTCGTGTGGAATACGCTCCGGAGATGCTCGTGAATACAACATTTCGGGGATACTAATAATTATTGGCCTACGAAAACCTATCTTTTAAAAAATACATAAATAAGCTATTAAATACGTGAAAAAAAAGAAAAAAAAATTATTATATGAAAAAATTACTTAAATAAAAAATAAAGTATGAAATAATAGTTCATGAATCAACTTGCCTTAAATTAAGATGATCCTGCTCATCATCATTTTATCTCTTTCTCGCACCACATTCTCTCCCGTCACTTTATCTCATCGCTTTCGATGCAGCAGTCGTGTAGAGTTCCAGATGCGATTTGCGGATAGCCAAAATAGCCAACATCGCAGACGGCAAGTTTGTGAATAGTGAGGGGAGACTGTATTGTTGAACAAGCTGCATGCAAAAAGGGAAGGTTTCCGCAGTGCAGGTGATTACCTTGACCTTGGCAACATGCATTTGTTATTTTTTTTTTAAAGGCCCTTTTTGTGTTACGAATCTGCCTCCTCGGTGGCAAGATAGAGCACTGGCCCTGCCGCGCGTGGACTTTTGCTCTGGGACGGTGGGGGGGGGATTGATAGCAGGCATGGCGCAGATGCTTGTGACTGATGTCCGCGCTACAATTGAGGATGAGGTGTGAGAAGGTTTTAATTTGGCGAAAGGCTTCACTGAACTCGGCGAGCTGTGGAAGCCACATTTTAGAGATGACATTTGTATTTACATGCCAGAATTATAATTGGAAAAGGAAGTTTTACATTGAATATTAATGAATTTTTTAACAGTTGTATTACCCTGCTTGTATGTCAATCAATTACGCATAGTCGGTGAAGGACCGGTGCGTCAGACGTGTGACCTCTTGCGACAGCATTTCTGCTATCCCTGCCTTGCCGGTGTCACGAGTGATTTGTTTGATCCACGTCTCGTGGGTAGGGGGGGGTGGGGGGGATGACCACGGGGGCGGCGCCATTCTTTAGAGGGTCGCAGTCCACTTACAATGTCAACCGTCAACTGAAGTGCGCAATTTTCTGGAGTTTGCGTGTCAAAACGGGCAACGAGTCCAAAAGGTGATGGCCGTCTTCCCTCGAATTGAGCTCGCGATTGCTCCGAGACTGGTCCCGGATGCAGTGGTGACATTTCTCATGTGGAACCATTTATTTTGCACCGTATGTAGTCAACCGTGCTCATCAGAGGTACAGGGGAAGAACATACTGAACATTAAAAGCTGTAAAGAAAGTTCGATTTTAAGAAGGCATCTTTGGCATCGCATGTGGAAAGGACTGCAGCCGATGCATTGTCCAGGCCTCGGCATCGTACAACAAAACTGTCAAAACAGCACTGGTTAGACTCAATTTGGTGCCCAGACAGACCGAACCATTTCCGGGACTGAATGTGGTCCAGACTGTTCAATATTCCTGAGGCAATGCCGATTTAGCAGAGTGTGATATCGGGTCTACATAATCCAACAGTGGTCTGTACAGATCCCAGGTAGACAAATTCCTCCAGTGCCTCGACAGTGTTGCCCTTGATAACACGGGGTGCTTCGAGAGAGAGGTCTAGAACTCAAGTTCTGGCCTTGAGACACGGGGTCCCATTTTCCTCGCATTGTGCAAGTTTTGGGGGATCGGTGTGAATGTTTCAGGCTTCTCAATAAACCAAGCTGCATTATTGGTGTAGTCGAGGTCGGTCAAGTGGTGCCGGCCAATCCTTACTCCGAGGTCATTGGTCACGTTTTCAAATGATTCAGGAAATAGCTCGACAGAAGAGCACCGGTGCGTTGACGCATCCTTGACGTACTCCAGATGTAAGTGTCGAATCGTGGTGAGAATCCTGACCCGACACGAACCTTTGCGCTTGTGGCAGGATGCCAGGAATCCCAATCCCTCTCAAGACAGACAGACCAGATCGTGGATCGATCCACAGAGTCAAAATCCGCCTTCAAATCAATCTAAGCGACACGGAATAGGCAGTCGAACTCGCAGTGCAGTTCTGCAACAGTGTTTCGCAAGCAGCCTGCCCAGAATTACTTGAGCAAAAACCTTTCCTGGTCCCGAAAGTAGGGATTTAGGTCTCCAATTGCTGCATGCCATGCAGGATTCCTTCCCGTTGTAGAGAAGCTATTATACTCTCTCTCCAATCAGCATGTACTTTGCCGCACATCCCGATCTTGATGAAAAGCTCATGTGAACTTCTGGTGATAGGATGCAGAGCACCTTTCAACGGTTCTGGAGAAATACCATCTAGCCCAGCTGCTTAACCGTTTTTCATTTTCATGAGGGCATGCTGAACTTCCTCTGGAGGGAGGTGATGTTGACCTCCATATTACGCGATGGTTGTGCCGTCAACAGTGGCTTGACCACTCCCTGTGAGTTTGACCTCGCTGACACTGGAGATAATGATGTTATATTTGGCCAGTTGGTGTACGATGGCCTTTCATTGAGAGTATCTTCCAGATAAGTAAACGGAACAGTGCTTGCAGGTCTGGCTTGACCTTGCCACAGCTGGAATTTCATGCCAGTCATCCAAGCATTGCGTGCTCGTCGACAATGAACACCGTTTAAATGAGGGGCTGAAACCAGGTGCTGTAAGGTTGTCTTTTCATTTCACACGTTTGGGTTATCCAAAACACTCTGGCAGGGGAGGTGGAGAGTGCAGTTAAAGAGAACAGCTTTTCCGTTGATCCAGAGAGCAGCTTCTTCTGCCGAAGGTGCTAGAGACTATGCTGCTGCCCGATGTCCACAGCCGTTGAGGATGCAGGTATCCACTTCTGCCTGTTCTGCCGTTATGAAACTTGTCCCAGAGCCCCGTCGACTGGGGTATCATCCGGGTTCTCCTCACAGGCCATCACGGCTACAGTCGTGGCCCACTGTACTTGACCCTGTGAGGTAGGGTGGGCTGCCATTTCCCAGGTTCCACGATGGGGATTGGGCGGGAGGTGGACTTTGGAACGTTTGTGTGTCAATGTTACACAAATACCGTAGTAGCATTTACTTTCCAAGGCAGATTCGAAGGAGATTTTAATTGGTTTGCAGAATGTCTGGAATTAAATGTATTTTTACGTGGAGTTTGAAGGTTGTGTTTCCCACATCTTGTAAGTGTCCCCTCCCAGTAAAGTACACGCAGTTATAACCTTTTTTTTTACTTTGTGACAATTGCATCAAGCAAGCGCAGCACTGAACAGTTTGTGCCAGGCCTCGGTAATCTGTGGTGGAAAATGGTAGGAATGTACGCATTTGAGTTGGTCCGAATTAGAAGGACGTAATGCTTGTTTGGGAGATTCGTAAACCCATCGGCTCCAGCGCCCATGATAATATTCCCCACAACTGCTTTTTGCTAACAATACAGATTTCTGAAATCTAGAGAAAGTGACGGTCAAACTAGAACTCCTTCAGATTTCCCCTCCTCAATTGCTTGAAGTTACATACTTGAAGTCACAGCTTAGTCCACCTGTTGGTTGAGGTTCTTTTTTAGTATATCTGTGGAGCTTACCAGTGTTTACCGGGCTTATTTTATTTAAGGTTTATTTACTGTCTTGCACTGGTTGAGATTGAGTGTTACATTGTAAATGGAGTGGGAGGGAGCAATGTCACAAAACCCTTGCTGGAGCCAGCAAGCCGAGGCACCAACTTGGAGCACACACGAGTTTTGGATTCGAGCGATTGGCATGTCAACCGGACCGCTGGGCCAGCGAAACCCCCAAATATATACCCTCATTAGTTACGCGGAATACTTCAGCCTCACACGCCCCCTCCCCGTTGTGTTTTCATTAAATAGCTCTCGTCGTGACTAGCGTATACACTGTCTAATGCCGTGTGAGGTTTTATTGCCGGGGAACTTCCATCTCTTTAGCCCCCACCCAATTATGCGATTTAGATTTGTTCGTGTCTGGCCTCCTTCCCCCCCCACCCCCCATAACATACAGAGAGAGAGGGACTCTGCCCCAGTGAAATTTGCACCCAATGCACTTGCCATTGTGATGGGTTCTTTTAATGTGCACATTTTGTGTTGCATTTAACATTTTAAGTTGCTGTCGCGACCAAACTTTCATTTGTTGTTGCCGAGGGCATGGTGTGGGCATGGTGTTAAGAAGTGAAGGCACAGGACTTGAAACGTGGAAGCGACGCCTCTCCCCCCTGCTTTTATTTAAAGCAAGAAAGTATGAAATACACTAACACACACAATGCTTTATTAAACCAAAGTTTTGTTTGCTGGAGATGTGTGGTGGCAAACAAACCATCGTGTGGCACGGTTTGGGTTGCAATGCCACACCAGCCGTGCCTAGTTTCGTCTGATAAATTACACGCAGTAAAGTCTTGGCTACAATGGTTTCAGTGCACTAATGTGTACAGGGTTAATGAGGACTTGTCTATAAAATGCAATCGAAACTGCCAAAATGTATTTCGGACAAAAAGGCGTGCGTTTCGGTTGTTTACGCAATTTCAAAGTTGATTGAAGCTCTGGAAAGTAAAAATTTTAATAGAAGCCATAGCCTAAACATAGATTTATTTTGACTTCCACCCCTATATGTGTGTAATGCTTGTGTTATGCATTGTTACGTGTAGGCAGTAACGGTTTGTGGCGAACACGAATTAGCCAGTCTCTGGGCCTCGCAAGTGGAGAATTCTGTTGGCCAGACGAACCTCAATGCAAACCGTTAAAGTGATAGCTCGCACAGAAACCGAATTAACTTTAATGGAGAGGATAAACTGTGTGGGGGGGGGGGGGGGGCATTAACTCGTCAATGTTACTATATCAATTTGTTAACTTAGTGGGTCCTATAAGCAAGTCAATGCAATTTGTGCTCTACATGTGCATGGCAACGAAGCAGCCTTCACATTGGCCTAGCCCAGGGGTCGGCAACCAAAATAACAAGAAGAGCCATTTCTTTCCAATTCGGTACAAAATTCAGTATTTCAAGAGCCGCAATGCATCTGAGTACATACTGTACATACGTACATATCGTCAAGAAGCAGCCCGTAAAGAGCCGCATGCGGCTCCGCAGCCGTAGGTTGCCGACCCCTGGCCTAGCCAGTGGCATCTGGACAATTGCATAAACCACCAAAAGTGGAAGTGTCCCTTCGCATGCCATGTAAAGCAGTGCAATGGAAAACACAAATCACTACAGGTTTAGTGCAGTTCATAATTTCTCCTTGTGGTGTTGCGCTCCAGACTGGAATTGTGTTACACTGCCAGATTTTACCGATGCTCTCAGATTGTGGTGTTAGAGAGGCCTCGTTTCACCCACCCTCCTCACTCCACCTCGTAAGGGCTTCTTAAAAAATGCAGTTCATTTACGCGACAGTGACACAACAGATGGGGAGAGTACTAAATGTGAAATCGCACGCGTTTTAGCCACACTTGGACTTGGTGGAGGGGAGGCCGGTCTTTGACACCTCAACGCAGCTCTCCTCCGCGAGGTTGAGAGATGTTCAGTTCCGAGCAAGCCAGGAAGAAATTTGGCAACTTTACTCGAAGTGTGCAGGCAATGCTAGTTGTGAAACAAGCAGCCATCGATGCTACCCCACTACTGCCAAAACGCCGTTGGTGTTGGATTACGATTAACGAGAGCTGGATTTTTTTTAAATGCTCCTTAAAGATGTGTGTTTTTAAGTGTTTAGCAGCTTTGTCATGAAGCGGTATTATTACGTTTTACCTACGGATTTTGTAAACTTGTTTCAAGAATGCCGTCTCTTAAGTTTATCTGATGGAAAAAACAAGATGTAACTTTAAACGATCTGCAAATGCGAAAAGAAAATGTAAGCGTTCGCGCGTTGAGTTGTGAACTCAAAAGCGGAATCGATCAACCGTGATGGACGAGCGCCCGGCAACACTGGAGCGCGCGCGCGCAGACTTCAACGAACGTGCACGCTCATGCCTTACAATGGACGGAAGCAACTGTGGACCCACGGCAGCGTTCGCAAAACGGACGCCCCGGGAACGCTCGGAGATTTTAGGGGGACGGTCCTTGCCGCGGCGGGGCCGCCCGCACGCGACGGTGCTGAGCGATCGACTCGCCTCGCACAGGGACGTGCGTCGGGCACGTCAGGAGAGCTGGCACGCCTGAGATCAAACCCGGACTGGTTCTTTGGAGCGGAGCCTGCTGTATTGCTCATACGCGGAGAAACCCCCCGCCACACACACCGTTGTTTAGTTTTGTTGTGTGCGCGTGTTTTTTTAACTGCTTCTCAACGATGGGCCACTTGATGGCTCTTGGGCCGGACACTGAAGTACGTGTCCACGCAAGCCAATTTGCAGATTGTTTAATGGTCTTCTGCTGGAGTTGCATGGAGGAGGATAAGGGAGTGTGGGAAGTTGGGCTTATATTTTTCGCCCTTGAGGCACGTGGTGAGCCGCTCTTCTGTGGACTCGTTACCTGCGGTTTGGATTTAGACATTTGAATGCAGTTGGGTGGCTTGTTTTTAAAAAAGAAAATAATACCTAATGTGAAATAGATTTGTTTTCTCCCCCCCCCCCCCTCCGCTCCTATATTCTATCATGAATACTTTTCTGCATTCTATCATGAATACTTTTTTGTGGATTGTGAGTGTGGACAAAGTCAAACGGTGCTCACTTGCTTTGCGGGGCGGGTCCACGCAAAGCCCCTTTGCCCTGTTCCTTGCAATTGCCCCCCGCGATTCTCAAACTCCATAGCAGTCGCGGCGCACCGAACTCTCTCCCCACTCACTCGTGCTCCGCCAGCATTACCTCGCCTATTTTTTTTTTACCTGCCCTGGCTAAGAGAGATACGGTCGTGCGTTGAAACACCCAAGTGAAAATCTACTTTTCAATGTTGAAATCGGCTCTTGGGAGTATTGGCTTCTCTGGAAAAAAGAAAAACCATTCAAACTATTTAGTGAACGTTAAATAAAATATGAAATATCGGAGTCGCACACAAATATTAATCTACATCAAACCTATGTTGAATTGAAAAATCACTATCGTCATATCCCCCCCTCCCCTCTTCACGGTCATCACCTACCAGCAAGCATTATTATTGTTAGATGGACACGCCTATGCGAGGGCTGATTGACAATTCACCACTGCTCCTCGTGCTTGGCTATGCACCGATCTGATGAACGTGAAGCCCTGTGGCAGTTACTGCAGTCCAGACCAAGGCTGAAAATGTCACTCAAGGGGTGTTTGCCATCGCGTGCTCGCCTTGTGGAAGTTCGCAGTCCACTCTCCCTTATCGTCGGTACTATCACCCACCGGTATTTGATTGAGGTGTTGGGGCTCTGTTAGTGGCCACCACTCTCACTCTGTACTGAGCATCTGTGAATAAGCGCTTTATAGCTAATCGGATTCCTCCAGTATAAATACATTCTGATATGAGACACTGCGTGCATCCAAAAGGTTGAATTCGTTCCACAACTGCGCTGCATTTTTTATTAAATTACCAATGCGCGCACCGTCTGTTATAGAGCTCATGCCAAAGCACCACAAGCACCTTGTTGTGCTCGGCTATGTTTAGCCCGGATTTTCCACAAGTCATCAATGCCTATTTGCTCTCACTTGCCTAAATACAATTCTTGGGTCTTTCGGTAAAGTCACATAGATAGGTTCAAAGAAAATAACAAAAATAAAAAACGACGACGTTTCGATCGCAACACAAGCGTTAGTCATCAGGAAGATGATGAACGCTTGTGTTGCGATGGAAACGTTTTTTATTTTCTTTGAACCTATCTACGTGACTTTACCGAAAGACCCAAGAATATGAATTCCCGCAGTCACAAAAGCTTCCAGTAAGTCACAATTAATTGATTGACGTGTAGAAGTGACTTATCCTGCCCCCAGGGTTTTATTGTAATCGCGCCCTGGGGGTCTCACTGAAGAGCCCTAATTTAATAACACTGATTCTGTTTAGCACATGCATGCTAATCGGTGGCATCCTGCCGTTTAATGTTAGGCCATTTCCGTAATAAAAATTTCGTGTGTGGAAAGCAGCTGTAATGATTGGTGTGAACACGAGGAGCACGCACGAGGAGTAATGAAAACTCTTCACCTAGGCCAGGAAACACATTTGCCTTGGTACCATCTGGTCAAATTGGAATTCCAACAGCTCGGGAGCCTAACAGTGATTCTTCATCTCTGCGTAGCCCACCCACCCAGTCCTTCAGAGCGTTACATTAGAGGCCTCCACACCCGGCCACGCGGTCTACCCTCAGCCTCTCCTGCGCTGAAGCCAGCGCCTGCCCCTTGAACGGTCAGTTTCATTAAATATTTTTTTTGCAAATAAGCAGCCAATGTCCCAACAATAATGGGAGAAATTGCCAGGACGGTGGATTTCTCGCGGTCCTGCTTTTTCATCGGATGTGAATCTGGTCCATTTTGAGAGGGATTTTATTGCACTGCCTTCACATTGTGTTTGGGGGGGGGGGGGGTGCGTGGCTTCTCAATTTAAAGTGGCACTTTTCAAGTTTGAGTCCGAGTCGCACGTTTGAGGGGGACTGGGCTGGAGTTTGAGAATCGCTTGGTATTCACACGCGGGGAGTCCTGCTGGGTGGAGTTAGCATCGGTTCGGTCCAGGTCTTAAGCCTCGCCTCTCTTTCACCGCTGTCGAATGTCTGTCCTCGGATGGTGTAACGAGACGTGGTGCAGACGGCACCGTCTCCCCAAGGTGGAGGAGAGAGGTGCTTTGAAAAATATTGTTGCTAAAAAACAAAACACCAATCACAATTGGTTTTGGGATCGAGGGACATGGTAATGGGTGTGTTAATATGCGGCAAAAATAGGGCATACAGGGTAGGGATTGAGTTACGGTTCGTATGTATGTGGAGCTTTTGCACCGTACGTAGCCATCCGTGTTAACCGGAGGTGCGTGGGAAGGAGAACAAACAGAAAAAGTTCTAAAGATATTCGTTTTAATTGGCGACAGAGCTTTTTTTTTAAATAGCGGCAGTGTTTCTCACAACTGCGCTTTTCCGGGCCGCAGGGTTGTCGTGAGACGAGATGACGCGCTACGTTCACCACGGGGTGCTTAACAGGGTCTAGTGTAAGTGTGGCGGTGGGCTGCGTGTCAAGAGCGAAACTTCCCCTTCCAACTTTGTTTGGCAAATGTGGACGAGCCATTTCCCGCTGTGCCCCCTCCCCCCCCCCTCCTCGGGACGGAGCGCTGCTATTGGCTCTCCACACTCCCACACTCGAACATTGTTCGAACGCACCTCGGGGCTAAGTCGGAGAGTGGCCCTGATGGAGTCGGTTAGACATTTTAGACGCTCTTTGTGTGTGCGAAGAATGAAGCAAAGGTTTCGCGTCTATGGTTTTCATCAATTTGGCCGCTTCACGTGCAGTCCCCAACAGCGACTCTCTCGTGCGTGTGCCGCGTGCTTTCCCCGCGTGTTCTACTGTCGGCACAAACACCCCAAAAACTTGAATATTATATTTACTTGACGATATTTCTGCCTTAAGCGTTTTGTACAGCGATTCCCTGCTACAGTTCCCTGCACCCCGTAGGGTTTCCGGGTGAGTGGTCTGTAGGTCCCCGATCCCCCATTCCTCCCCCCATGCCCCCCCCCCCCACCCCCGGGACGTACAGACCAAGGGAACGGGGTGCTATGGCAGACCCTCGTCTCGCTGTGTTACGCAACCTTGATTCGATTTTACGTCGGCTCTGACTGGTGAAGAAGGGGCAGTGGGTGTCATCCTAAAACTTTAGCAATTGTAGATCACTTGGGCTCGTACACGACCGCTCTTTCACACGGGTTCTAAAAAAAAAAAAACGCCCGATTGGCTGAATTGAAATGCTATCCATTTAGTTGTAGTCTTAAAAAAAAACGTGTGCTAGAAAATCTCAATGAAATTGCGTATGATATGTACCGTGTTTTGTTGTGAATCGCTGGGAGTACGAGACGCCAATGTGTTGACAGGTTTCGATTCGCGACCAAATGCGAATGAATTCGTCTTCGTGCACATTAAATGTATTGGAAATCTGCGCGCAGAAAAGCAATCATGTTACTACTAACTGTGTTTGATATTTCACAAGGATACAGTCATGGAAGGGAGGG